GTCTTTTGGTCATGAAGTTGCATTCACTTTTTCCCACATACCACTTTTCTCTTTTTTTTCATTCTCCGGTGAGCAGACCGACTGACTGACATATGTCCAATATGGGAATATGGGTTAATCTGGAAGATGCAGAGGGTAAGACTACGCGGTGGCATATGTTGTGCTTTCTGTGGCATATGTGTAAAAAATCTCATTTGGACGAGTTCAGAAGCGATGCAAACTCATTAACATCCTTTTTTTTAATTATCTTTCATTAAGGGAAGTACCTGTGCCGTTTTCCTCGGCTTTGCGAGACTTTATACACTCTTAAATAAGCATATTTCTTAATTTCACTCTAAAGAATATATATATTGCTTTTGTTCATTCCTATACGCAAAAATTTGTATTTTCTAAAAATCCAATCTGGCGTATACTTAATTTTTATTACAATTACTACGTATACGTATTTTTTACACTTTAAAATATGCATATTCTCTAATTTATTATATATATACATTTCTATCCGTTAAAATATATAACCATCGGTATTATTTTCTGAAAATCCAACCTGTCGTATACTTAATTTGTATAACAATTATAACGTATACGTAATTTTATACATTCTAAAATATGCATATTCTTTAATTTCAGTTTTTTCTACATTAATATCCATAAGAATGTGGAAGAATTACTAGAATTTTTATAAAATCCAACCTAACGTATACCCAATTTTTATGAAAATTATTGCGTATACGTAAGTTAATACACTATAAAATATGCATGCATATTCCTAAATTTCACTCTCAAGAATATTTATATAGCTTTTGTTCATTACTATCCGTTAAAATACGCAATAATTAGTAGTATTTCCTTCATATCCAACCTGGCGTATACGTAATTTGTATACCAATTATGACGTATACGTAATTTTATACTTCCTAAAAAATGCATATTCTTTAATTTCAGTATTTTTTACATTACTATCCGTTAAAATATCCAACAATCGGTAGTATTTTCTGAAAATCCAACCTGGCGTATACTTAATTTGTACAACAATTATTACGTATACGTAATTTTATACATTCTTAAATATGTTTATTCTTTAAATTATTTTTTGTTCTCATTTCTATCCTTTAAAATATCCAACAATAGTATTTTCCTCAAATCCAACCTGACGTGTACGTAATATTTGTATCATTTATTACGTATACGTAATTTTTTATCACCAACTAATGAATTCTTCACTCTCTTTCGTGTTTTTCCTCTAACACCTCCAAGGTTGCCCAACTCTTTGGGATGTGGCTCACGCAATTTCGAATCTCGTACCTCGATAGCAATGAAAAATATTCAATAAAAATGGAATACGGGTTACATATGGCCCCGGCCAAATGTCAACAAACGAAAAATGCGTGTATTTACGCGACATATTTACGACGTTTTAAATGAAAGCACGTGTTTAGCAAGACAAGCGAGGCTAGCTACGCTCCCAACGCTCCCGGCACTGCTGATGCCTCAAATATCGCACCTAAAAAGCACTGCCAAAGTGGCAGGACCATCAGCATCATCCTCATCCGGGGCAAGCAACCTGAAACGAGACCGTAAAATGGCGAGCACAGGCAATAAAAACTAGAACAACTGGGGGCATGAAGGCGGCGGGAGGGAGGGAGGGAGGGAGGGAGGTCTAAGCGCGGGCAGGTGGAGCGCATTACTTTGAAAGTACATTGAGCTTGAAAATGACTTTGTAAATGGCGCTCGACAAATATTTTATTACCAGGGGAACAGCAACAATTTACTTTGTTCCCCATGCCCCGAGTCCTGGCCCCCTTTACTGGAGTGTTGCCGTCACTTTTCCGCTCTCCCGCGGCTTCTTTGCCTTTATGTTTCCCCTTAATTTTGGTTTAAACAATTATGTTTGCCTCTTCAAGTTTCACTATTCTTGCAATACAAATATTTGCATAGCAAAGTTTAGCCGGAAATTTGTTGTTTGAAATTGGATTTATAGAGTTTCCTGTTAAAAATCAAAGGTATTTTTTATATAACAAGAAAAACTAAAAAAGGAAAGGTAAGCAAAGAAGAGGCAGTATATATAACTGCTTTGTTTATTAGTTTAAATGGTATAATAAACATAATTTTTTTAAACGTGAGTTACTTTATATGCGATATACCTCTTTTTCCGCACCAATTTGCTTTAAAAATACAATTAAGAATTTGGTGACCGTTCAGCATAAACAGCATGCATAAATCAAAGGATAATAAATTCGATTTGTAATCTCCTATGCCGGCTTTATTATCGATGACAACGAAAATCCCATTTAATTCCAACTTTATTGGCCAAAAAATGTTGTGTTGTTCAGCGCAAAACGCCTGCTGTGAGAATTTCATTAAAAATTATCAAGTTAATTTAACAAATTTGTGTGAGTTTCTACGGGAGAGGAAATGGTGAAAGCGTAGGATGTGCTCCTCCACGGGGTGGAGGCGAGGCCCTCGGGGCAAGTGCCGGGACTGGGTGGGCGAGTTATGGAATGTTGCCAAAATGCCAGGGGGTTAGACCTGCGGTTGCGGTTTGTCCTGGGCTGCGATGGTCCTGCTATGTTCCTGGCTTTTGAGTTATCCCTTTCGCGGTTACCTTTTTTCGCTCGCCATTGTTTTTGTCGGTCCATTGTTTTGTGTCCTGCGGATCGCAGCAGGCGTAGAGCCAGAAGTTTGGGTCTGTCCTGTCCCTTAGCCCGGGCCATTGTGTTCTGCGCCGGTGCTGAGCGGGACATTTTTGTCCGTCCCGCGTCCTGTTTGCACTTGTTGGAGTGTTGACTTTGACGTGGTCAATGCCAGGGTGCCGAAACAGCTTCATTACCGCACCGTTTCCCAGTTGATTACAATTCGCGAAATTAACGCCCATGTTGAGATTGCTCCTTAATGCTCCATCTCTCCGCCAAGTAAGATAGTCCTTTGGCCATCGGACACTCTGCGACTCATCCGCGGCACGGCGCGCGTAGTTTGCATTAATTTCGCGTTAATTTTACGCGATAATCGTATTTCTTGGCATAATAGTCTGCGATGGGGTCCTGGTCGGGGGTTTCCATATTGCTTTAATGGCGGCTAAAATGCTCTTAATGGCATCTATTCCAGATTTTATTTATGCACTCCAAAATCACATTGAAGTCGCGCCACATCTCTACTCAGATTCAAGTGAAAATTGGTGAATAAATTCCATAACGAGATGGCAAGCCTTGAATTTCAATGTTGAAAATTTATAAAGCTTATTCTATACTTTGGGAAATTACATTTATGGGAATTGAAGGTATCAGAAAGAAAGCCAATTGCCTACTTTTATAGCTTGGGTATCCCTGAAGGCTATTTTGGTCAGAACTTTGAAATGTATTAAAGTAGTTATATTTAACTGTTTAAATCATATAACTTCTGTAAAATAAGAAAAAATCTTCATAGCATTTATAATTTAATAATTCATATCAAAATTAATCGCTGAAAAATTGCAAAAGGTATATAAACAAAAATCATTCAAATAGGAAAATTGGCACTATGGCAACGGCCAGCTCAATCGAACCGATCACCCAAATATAGATTATTGAAAATTTGGTGACCTTTGCTGGCAAACCCTATTTTAGATTTCCGAACGGCTTTCGGGCGTAATCCTGAAACGCTTTTGTTTGATTTGCTGTCGCTGCCATGGCCGGCAAATTAAAAGTCGCATGAATTGGCCCTGGCAAACACTGGCGTGGTGTTTTACGCGGCGTTAGGGGGTTTTTTCTTTTTTTTGTTGTTCGGTAATAAATGGGGGATGGGGAAATGAGCAATGGACCTTCAACAAAATTCTAATTATTCATTGTCGACGCGCCGCTCGCTGACAGCGAAAACAATGAGCGCACTCAACTGTGAAAACTGCACAAAGCGCATTCCAGACTCAGACAGAGAGAGGGAGCGAAAGAGACGGCTAGTGGGCCAGGATAGAGAGGGAGATATGGAGACAGAGATAGGGAGTGACGCATTTACTGTCGCACTAAAAATAAAGCTTCGGGCCAAAAGGATTTTCCAGCCATGAGAAACATTGTCAACATTTTTTACAATTTTCTAGTCGTTATTTACCATTGTTTCAGCTCGAGCCATTGTAGCAGATGCACAGATACAGATACAGATACAAATGGGAGTGTGCAGGCTGTAGCTACAGATACACGTACAGATCCGCAGATACTACTGTGTATCCATGACTGTTGGTTATGGCAGCAATTTGCAGCATTTAGTCCGAGTCCATTTAACTTTAATGCACTCCGCATCGGTCCGCCCGTTGGAGTTATCGCAGCATCCTTTATGGAAACGGCAGCAGACGATCTTTGATTTATGGCCAGCAATCAGGAATGCATTCAGCTCGGTGCCACAAGGACATCCCATCCCGTCCTGGGATGTAACCAGCGCCCTCCCCGATGCCCAATTACAAGCAGTTGGCAGTATGGCCAAAACTTTTTTCCACAGACCATCTGACCCACGCCCAATTAATGAACACTCGGCCCAGTGCCAAAATCCGCTTAGACGCAGTGCGACACGGTCGAAAAAATGCAAAGGGAAGTACACTAGAAAAGGGTAAAAATAAATAAATTAGAACTTTGTTTTTACTTTCACTTTCACGACTTTCCATTTCTGGGTTAACTTTGTCCTCAATCGGTGATAAATTGTCAATTTGACCTCTATATTTTAATGTATGTATATAGATACATTTCCTATTATTGAGTTGAAAAGCTAAAAAGTTTATTTGATGTTAACAAAGACTGAAACTTGATATTTATCCTTGATATTTTTGTTGCTTATTTATCTAAAATATTTTGATTTAGCATCATGGACTTCACAATTTCACTCGAAGGCATAATCTTACATTTTTTATCATTTATCTTTTTGGTAATACTAACTACAGTTTTGTTTGTTTAAATTTTTATATTTTCTTTGGAAAAACGAAATTTTCCCATCGCAGGGAGATATTTTTTCCAGGCCTTGCTCGAAACCCAAATATATGCCTCCCAGGCTGAAGTAGGCTCTGATTCTATGTTTTATAGAAAATTTCAATGAAAAATCAACAAAATTCTGGTTTCCTTTAATGTGTAAGTATTGAATGCATTTGCACATGGATAGAAAATAATGCAAAATAACTCCACCAGATGCATAGTTCTGAAGGTACCTCTGTGTAGCAGACAAGTGCACTCCAAATCCCAGTAGTTCCGACTCGGAAACAGCACAGGACGCCAGGATACCGATGGCCAACGCGGTGGTGAGCACAACGTCGCCAATGGCAGGGCGGCGCCTGCTCCGGGACGTGAACCGGCTCCTGGCCTCGGGCTACCACATCGTGGCGGATGACAACATGGCAAACCTGAATGTGCGATTCGAAGGGCCACTGGGCAGCATCTACCAGGGCGGCGTTTGGACCGTCAACTTGTCCATGCCGCAGGAATATCCGCTTAAGGCTCCGCGCGTCCGCTTCGTCACCAAGATTCTGCATCCGAACATTGAGTTCACATCGGGACTTGTCTGCTTGAATGCCTTTAAGCAGGCCTGGTCGGCCAGCTATGACCTGGTCAATATCTTCGACACCTTCCTGCCGCAACTGTTGCGCCACCCGAATCCGCATGATCCGCTCAATCACCGGGCCGCGGCCATCATGAAGCACTCGGAGCAGCTCTTTCGCGAGCACGTCCTGGTCTGTGTGAAGATGTACGCCCTGCCTGTGGCCACCAATCCACGTAACCTGGTCGAGGAGGGACTCGAGAAGCATTCCTCGGACCTAAGTCTGTCCGATCTTTTGTCAGACGAGGACAATGACGATGAGGAGGGCGATCAAGCTGGATCTGGAGCCGGAGCTGGTGATAGGGCTTCTGGTGGTGGTTCTGGAAATGCTGCTGATCCGGAAGATGGTCCCGCTCCTGGCCCTGGAGCTGGTGATGCCGCTGCTGCTGGGAGCAACTGTTGAAAACGAAAAACTAAGCATTCCACTGCTTTCGTTTTTTCTTTTGTGCCTTGGTTTGTATATGGACAAATTCGCTAAATTGTAAATATAATTTTTCATCTTGTTTCCCCCCTGTTGCGGGAATCTTTGGAATGTTCCATTAAGCTAGTTAGACTTAGCCCAACCGAAGAATTTACGGGTGAAACTTAAATTATTATAAATGTTGAATTATTAAAAGGCATCGGGAATAAAGTATGTTAAGCTAAATCTCCATTTTATTTATTTACAGAAGAACAACCATTTCGAATTTCCCTTAATCAAAAGCCAAACTGTGTGTCTTAATTGCCTCTTCTTGGATTTAAATTTCTGATTTACAACAAATTCAAATTCATGATTCATAACAATAACAAAGTTTTATAGCTTGTAAAATGTAAAGGCAGCTGGGTGTTGTTTGCAATTTAATTGCGAACCTTAATTGTGTCGAGCCAGATGAGGCCATATTGCCGTAATGTTCCGATAAGAAATTAATTTTGCTCCATTACGGATAATTACGGATTCACTGGCCTTAATTGAGACTGATGTCAACTTCACTCAACACTTCCCAAATGGGCCTTAAGCAGGTGCTGATTTCTGATCAATTTGTCTGATTAGGCTGAAAGTGAAGGGAAGAGTCTGGCCAGGATATGGGAGGACAACAAGTGGAAACTACTTTGCCGACCGACAAACAATGGGGATTAAGTGCAGTCATGCGCCAACAAGGATTTAATTGTGATAATTATTTAAACACAATTAATTTTTAGTGCCCAAGAGGAGGGACTCGCAGTCATAACAAACTTGAAGCGTTTTCAATTGAATTTTCTTTCACTAATTAATTGATTTTCCCTTGGCTAACAAGTGGATTTTCGACTACAAACTTTATTTGCTATTTGCCAAATTCTAAGGAAATTTCGTATTGCAGACAAATCAATATCTTCAGGAGAGGAGGAAAAAAAACAGACGACAATTTGTCTGCCTGTCCCCGAAAATGGTTTAATGCGATTGCAGCCAGAAGCAGAGCACCTCTACGTGAAGTTGGCTTTATTGACGCCTGCTGCTTGGCCTGGTCGGAATCCAAATGCTGCCTGACTGACTCACTGGCTGGCCACCTTCCTTCCTTCCTGGCAATTTCAGGCCAGAGACCGGTTTGCCTTTGCCAATGAGAGGGAGTGCACTGTTCCAGACAGCTGCGCAGACAATCCGGGCCAGACGAGGCGAAGGAGTTGGGGTTCCGGCCAGGTCGAATGCCTGTCTGCGTGTGCTGCCATCATCGAATTAGAATACGACGTGGCACAATGCCTCTCGGGCCCCGAATTTATGCAATAGTCGTTGCCATTTTCGGATCTGAATGACTATATCTTCACATTTCCACAACGAAACGATGTCTTTAGTGAGACATTCGATGGAAATGAATGGGAGTTGCAGTCAGAGGCAGATCGTCTCTGCTCATCGGGGACATCAAACACGTGGCGTGCTTAAAGATTGTTGAAGGATGAGTTGACAACTTAACAGATATATGCCAGTAAATGTGTTTTGTAGTCCCCGGGAGCTTAAAACTAATGACATCGATGAGGTGAAGCAAAAACTGACAGATGGGAGGGGGACACTGAATTACCGGTTTTATGAAAGCAAATTACTAAAACACTTGAGATCTTTACCATGATTGATGCGTATCCAGGGGGCTTTTTAGTTTCGGTATATTTAAAGTGCTAAATAATCATTAAATTCGATCAAATCTTTACTTTGCTATCTCCTTGGGTGGCCAACTGTCTAGACTCTTGACATTTATGTGCCTTGATGGGAAAGCCTCTGACTTAAACAGCCTATATTTGTGCAGAGCACTTGAATAGAAAATGCTCCTTGAAGGGACGAATGGAAAATGAAGACCGGGTCAATAGACGGTTAAAGCCAACTGTACTGACTTTGAGCCTGCATCCGCTGGCGCTAATTTATTCAAGTCAATTGACTCGCAGCGAGGCGAGCATGGCTCAGTTGGCCATGCACGGTAATGGCAGGCGGGGACTGGCCTCATTAGCATATTCTAATTAATTTATATTATTCCAAAATGCACAAAACTTAATTGGTATGGAGCACTTAGTTAATGAAACTGAAGTTCCCACGGAGCTCGGCCCCTTTTTCTCGCGCTGGTTTTCTCTTCTCCCAACGGAACTCACGCCAAATCCTCGGCTGTTGACAATTTCGGCGTGACTTGGAATGGAAGGCATGAGGGAGGAAAGGCACTTGATGGAAAGTTTCAGCCAACATTACCTTACAATCCCGTAAAGGGAACGCTTCCCCACAGCCCCTGTGCTCATTAAGGGCTGGAGCTCCAGCTTCCCGTTTGTTGTCAAACAAATTTCAGTCGCCGTCTTGGCCGAGTTAGTTATGACTGCCAACTTTGCGACACGCAATTTGCATTTCGGTTTCCTTGCTCGGTTCGCATTTCAGCTTCTGGCCAAGGGGTTTGTCCGGGAAGTGTTTGCAAGTTATTTCTTTCTGCCTGTTTGACAACCGAAGGACATGTGTTCAGGTTCCACGGAGGGGCTCTCGTATTCCGCTCTGTGCCCCACATTCCTGTCCCAGCTAATTTATGCCAAAACAGTTCTGTGTCAGGCAGATGCGGATACGATTGTCGAAATCGGCGCACCTTTGTGTATGTGTCCCCGCATAAATGTCTTGTTAATTTTCACAAGCCCAAGTTGGTCCCAGCCTCAATCTCCACTCGGCGGGATTCTCCTGCGGTTTCCCATTGTTTGCCTACACAATTGTGGCCTCCTTCCTGCCCCTCCTTTTGCTCCTGCTCCAGCTCTGAGGCTGGGAATGTGCAATACCTGGATTGGAGCCTCCTTTGGACATGTGCCAAACAATGCAGCTTCAATTACCAGGCAGCTTACAGCTTGTTTAGCTGAGAATGTTTTTGTTCGGCAGGTTCAGAGAAATTCATTCCCACTGCCAATTGAAGGTACTACCTCCTAGGTAGATTGTTTGCCAGCAGACACCTTTGTCAGGGCGGCACTTGAGGTTTTCTTAAGGCTGAGGCATCTTTAGGGAGCTGGTCGTGAATACTAAACTGAGTGGCTTTGTTGAACAACAAGATTGATAATTTGTAACATGTATACAATTTCTATTTATGTATATTTATTGGTAAGACAAAACTGCACTAAAATATTAACTTGGCCATCAAGGTGACCAAAAAGCTATGCTGCCCTGATTAAAGATGAGGGATTCTCTTCAAAAATCGAAATCCTCTTTTCTTTTCCCCCCGATAAAAGTCATCAATCTGGCTGCTTACTAAACCTAAACGGATGTAAGACAACCTTCAATGAAGGGCTACAGAAAATCGGATCCAACCTTGAACTGGAATGCGAATGATAAAGTAAGGCACTGAATGGCACACAGGTCTGCCCCATTCAAATTGCTGGACATTAAACGGATGTCGATAAATGAGATTGACAATGACAAACATGAAAGCGAAAAAGTAGCCAGAGACAGAGAGAGAAAGGCGCATTTCCCGCTCCTTCGCCGAGTCAATAAAATCCCCAAAAAGCAAAATCCCGGCCCTGAGGTCACAGTGGGATAAGCTAAAAAAAAGGAGGAAATTCTTAAACCAAAGCATAGGGATCTGAGTGACAGCTGAAACCCCTGGTACCCCAGCTCCCGATCCCCGTTAGCCCCTTCTCCGAGACCGAGTCTGTCTCCGGGTTAACAGATGGCAGAACATTTACGGTCACAGTGCCACATATGTCAACCGGAGCGAGTCCGGATGATTGCGAGGCCAGTGGAGTTACAGGCAGAGAAACAGCAACTCTAAATTTCCATTTGATTCTCGGTAAACGTGGTTTTAGTTTAAATCAAGAGAGAAATTCATTCTTTTTCTGTAGAGGAAGTACTGACAAAAAAATATTCACAGCAACTGCTGTCATTTGCTTCCTCTTTTTGCAGGTTTTCAGTGTACGAAATGGGGAGCTGGGGTTGACATGGGAGATGGTCAACTGAAATGAGCAAATGTCAAGTGCAAGCCAAAAGCAAGAGAAGCCAAACATGCCAAATCCAATGGCATTTGTCAGCGTTTTGTTTAAATGCGAATTAAAGAATCTCTCCTTCGGGTGGGGAAATTTGTGGGACCTTTGTGCTCCGGCTGCACCCACTCATGGGAGATTGCTTATTTGGCTGCTCCACTGCTGCTGCTGCTGGCCACTTGGCGCGAGTGGCAAGTGCAAACACAGGCTGCCAGGAGCAGGCAAGCTGCTCCCCCTTCTTCATGTACCATTTGCATAAATCAAATCAGAATTTGCATTGCTGCAGCGGGCAAATAGCAGCTGCCGACTCAAGAATACACACACACACACACACAGTCAGTCAGCCTGGCTGGATAAACACGTACACGCAGAACAGGTGGGCACAGGTAACTCTGCCTCTGTGTGTGCTCGAACACGCACCGAGAGTGAGCAATGAGCACGCAGCCAAACTTACGCACGCTCGCCCACAGAACAAACACAAACAGGGACAAAGTTACGCTCCGGGCTCACCCACCCGCACCCACCCACACACCCGACAAAAGTCGCGCTAACGATGTGCCAGAAAAAGGCAAAAGGTCTGGAGTCAAGGACCCCGGAGCATCAAGCATCAAAAACTTTCTATAGTTCAGTGTACTTCTTTGCCCAGATGTGTGCATAATTTCATAGCATACATCCCAGCGCTGGTCGTGTTTACTTTATAAACTAACTCGAACTGAATCTGGTTAATAATGGATTTATTGTATTTAACTTAATGTCTAGCCCCGGAAGCTATTTTAGGCTTTTGATTGTAGTAGAAGTGCCTTAAAGCAGCGAATGCTAATTACTCATACGCCATGTGTGCCAGCTCAAAATGTTATCCAATAGTTATATTTGTAATCTGAACTCCTGCTTGATTGCTTGAACAAATATAAATTATAATAGGAGAATGAGCGGAGAAGTGCGTTTTATTTTACAAAATTGATAAATATCAAGGTTTTCAATTACTCATACGCCATGTGTGCCTACTCGCGATATTGAAACTTTAAATTGTAAACTAAATATGAACGAAAAGTGCGTATTATTTTACGATTTATGTTAATTGATACATGGTGAAGTATTTAATAAATGCCAGAATATCAGGGTATTGAAATTTCCATTTTGTGCTACTTTTAAGGCTGTACCTTTGTTGGGTGAGCAATGCTAACTCTTCCTTTGATTTCTTTGCCATTTCTTGCACATTAGCTCAAAAACTTCCGTTGCTAATTTACGGGGCGTAGCTTCAACACGTGCACAGCCGTACGATGAAGTGCATTAACACCCTGCCACACCCTGCCACGTCTAGCTCCACTTTGTGGCAACTTTTAGCCTTGTGCAAATTAAATAATAAATGTGCAAAGTTGAGCCAATTCATAATGTTAATCTCAGAAATGTTGAGTGACTTTTGAGTACATTTTTGCTGTCTGCGATAATTGTAATTTAATTGGTGAGCGCTTGACAATTGCCTTTGTACTTCTGGGGACTTTGGAATTTCTAATTTCTAATTCAATTATCACTTCAGGAATGTCGACAGGCGTGCCATAAATTTTACTGACCGGTGCCGCATTCCATATTCAAGAGCTATTTTTACTGATAGAGGATTAGCCATATTTTACACCGTCATTGAAGTATCGACTCGAAAACTGCCAATTTATTAAAAGTGATAAATTGCCACCCGGGACGTTGTCAGGCTGCGCGAATGAAAAATACCACGTATTCATCTATTTTTTATCACGTCACAAAAAAAAACCGCTCGGAGGCCATTCAGTGGCAGTGTCAATGTCGCTCCGGTGAGTGAATAGCAAGGATAATGCCCTCAATCAAGTTCGTGGCCCTGTTCGGCTGACGTGACTGTTGCTCATTTCACGCTTGGCCTTGCCACGTCCCATTGTCCTGCTGCCAGGATATTGCCAGCCGCTGGCTGATTACCAGCGAACTCGCAGGAAGTTCCGATAAGATTGTAGGTCCATAAACGTCAGGGCGCCCCACTGGACCTGAAATTCTGGCTAGCTGCGGTTAGGTGGTGTTGATGCCCCAAATCACTCTCCGTATCTCACCTGCTGGCATACCTGGTGTGCTCCTCCTGGCACAATCATCTCTTTACATTAAATTTGATAGAAATTTGTTGGAGCTTTTTTCTAAATACAAAATGTTTACAACATACTCGCAGGAATTCTCTGAACTCTATCCATATCTACAGCGACAACTGAAGAAAGGATAGAAACATTCAATCAAAACAAGAATCAAGAATACTTACACGAGGTCCTTGGATTAGTTGCTGTAGAGGAATAAGGTTCTGGTACTACAGCCTGTAAAGAGCCTGGCTCGTCATGGCTTTTTAGCTCTGCAGCATCCTTACCGCTGGACTTGGCCTTCGACCTGCCGCCAATGAAGAAATTTGATAGGATATTCCCTCCACCGCCACTTCCTCCGGAGCTGCCACTTCCACCTGCACCGCCACTGCCCCCAGCACCCCCACTTTCATCAGCACCGGCGCCTCCACCTGCTCTTCGCTTACTTGAATCCATAAAAGGCTCCATTATTTCCATTGGTATGGGGTAAATAATTCTGACCCTTCGTTCAGCGGCAATCGAAGATAGGATTTGCAGATGCCTTAGCTAAGTCATAGGATACTCATAATTCATTCTATATAAGACCTCTGAAGTTTACCTGTAGAGTGATCTTGTTCTGGGCCATCACATCGGAGGCCTCTTTTAGGGCCTTGGAGGCCTTAAGCTCACCCTCTGCCAAAATGATCTTGGCACGAGCTTCCCTTATAGCCTCCGCCTCGCTGGCTAGGGACCTTTCCAGACTGGCCGGCAATATAATATCCATTCTATGTAGAAACACCATTCAAAATAATAATGATTGCTAGGATGATGCCAAAAAAAAATATGCTTACAAATCTACCCGTTCCATACGCACACCCCATCGGGCTGTGATCTCAGCGACCGCATGCAGGATCTCACGGGAGAGTGCCTGCCTGGAGGTCAGCAGGACGTTGAGAGTCTTGGAGCCGACGATGTTCCGGAGTGTAACTTTGGCAATCATCAAGGTGGCCTCGTTAACATTGTCCACTTGGATGATAGAGTCGATGGCATCATAGATACAATAGTAGATGACGGCGTTTACGGTGATCGTTACCGAATCCTTGGTGAGCACATCCTGTGGCCAAACTTTGTGAACATCGGTACGCATATCCACCGCCTGGACATCATCGATGCACGGCAGGTGAAACACCATTCCGGGACCCTTGGCCCCCTTACGGAGCCGTCCCAGGCGGAGGATGATCAGACGGATGTACTCGGGAACAACGATGATACAACAGCACAGCGACAAGGGAAAGAACAGAACCACAAAGAGCCAGCAAAAGAACACTGCAAACTTCTCGAAAGCAGAAGACTTGTCCTCCTCGGCTAAAGAAGGCATGGACTGATTAGCATTAAGTTTGAGTTAGTTCTTTAAGCTTTTCTTACTGGTCTGAATGTACCGACTTGGTGGCGGTTTCCGACTGCTGCCGTCATTATTTGAGGGTCGTCGGAAGATAGACGTTTCTTGGCCTTCATTTGGCAGGGCCTTTGGTGACTCTGGGCCGGCTAGTGGCTTACTTTCGTCCGGATTGCTCATAACGAAAAAAATGTATAACTATTTGAAACTCTGAACCTAAAAATGTATGTGGTGTTTGTAATAAAAATCCATCCTTTTTGATAAAATAACAAAAGGCTCTCAAACAAGAATATTCACTTCCATGAATTTTCTCATTTATTTTCATGCAAGCTAGTGAGACTGCGAATGTGAATGGAAGGGGGGGTTGCAGAGGAATGCACATTTGCCGCAAGTACTCATAAATTTCCCCTTTCCAACGAGAAAAGCTCAACTGCAGCCCCATTCACTGTCAACCCGCAAAAACCCCAAAAGTGCACATTACTCTGCTTATAAGCAAACCACTTTTTTCCCGGCGAATACTCAGGCAGTGGCAGCGGGAAAAAGGTCTGAATGCGCAATGAGGGATCGGAAGGTGAAGGAAATACGATTTGGTCTTAGCTGTGGAAATTTTAAGTAAGAAAGATTGCACTAGAAATATTTATTCTCCAATAAATACTAATTATTATACGGATAATGCTCCCCCAATTAAACCCCTGTTTGGAGCATAAAACCGAAATGTATTTGTGCATACAAATCTAGAATTCTTAAATAAAGACCTTGATAAAGATAGTAATTGATGCTAGATCAAAAAAAAAAGCTAAGATCGAAGATTATATCTCTTTGCAGTTTGCAATTAAATCAGTTGGCCAAATTTTGATCGATCATAACTTAGCCAAAACTGCATTAATTTTAATTCGGAAAACGTTCCTATGTTAGTTTTTATTAGATTAATAAATCTGCATACTCAATTTAAAGTTTAAAATAAATAAAAATTTTCCCAATTTTTGACAATTTAAAAATTTTCAAATTTTGAAAAAAATTTAAAAATTCAATTTTTGATCGGACATGGCTAGATAGAATCGGCTGTTGATTCTGATCAATAATATATATGATTTATAGGGTCGGAAATGACTCCTTCACTATATTTATAGCTTTTGACTCAATTTTAAAATCCTGCATTTGTATAAAATTCAAAAACAAAATATCAATAGGCTTTACTTATCTATGCTTCTGTTCCAAAATCTACCAAATCGTTTACAATTTACCAAATTACTATAATTTGGTAGTGTCTATACAAGCATGCATATAAAATATTATAATAAATTGCATATTGCTATAAGGCATATGGCTGCGAAACGCACTGTACCCTAGGCCATGCCAACCGCGTCAAAAGTGTCAAAATCTGACATGGAAAAATGAACCCAACACGAAGAGCTCCTAATTTCAGTTACAAAAGCCAGTCGTCGGCTCCTTGCCGTGGCCTTTGTGAGGCCTCCAGAGGCGACAGCGAAAGCCTGCCCAAGTAGAGAAAGTGGTCGGAACGGGACGCGGATGAGGACGACAAGCAGGAACGGGAACGGGAACAGGAACAGGAACAGGAAGGGTGGCTGCCTGGTGAGAAGGCTTCTTCCGATGATAATACCTGGCGGGCGTGAACGTGACGATGACTGGCACGATAACATTGAAATATTACCTTGGCCAAAAGAAGACCAGCAGACCAAAGGTGTGCAGGAGTGAATGAACGGAGGAACACCCATCGTGGGCAATTATAATTAGATGTGACTGACGGTCGGAGCTCAATTAAAAGCCACGTGGCTGGGCGAGCAACGAAAATTGGGTTAAAACGTGCACCGGCAAATAGTTACAGCCGAGGAGCGCAGCAGGTCCTAAAAACCGCTCCAAATTGTTTCTATTTCAATTTGCCAGCCTGGGTTTCGGCTTTCTGGTTAGCTTTTCGGGGTGCGGAAGCGTGACATTTTGGCCGTATTGAAATTTATGCTTTCCCGACTCAAATCCCGCACATTTACACAACTTTTGGTTTGGGTCGCGCCCAAGTTGGGTTGGGTGGCGGCACCAAAAGTTTTCCTTTTCGTTTTCATTTTCATTTTCATGCCAAATTTCGGCACACTCACACACACACACATACATCCGCGTCCGCGGTCGGACCCCCTGACCCCTCCCGGATCCAAGTCCGTTCAGAACAGGAAGCCTTCGGCAATGCGACGATGGGGAAATTGGTTTATTTTATTCCCATCGACAGTTTGCCGGGGCCCTGGGCTCGCTGATGCTAGGGAATTTTCAAATTAACATGAAATACGATTTAACGATTTTACTCGGCAAAAATCTAATTAGGAACAAAAAAAAACAATTTTCGAATTGATTGCTAACTTTTTTCCGAACCAAAAATGCCGAAATAATTTGATAGCAGCATTAGTTGCGTGTCCGAGTGAGAATCGGGCGCTTTAAGCCAGAAAATTGACTGGTTTCAGCCCGGCTTTTGGCGGCTGTCGGTTGGTCAGACTGCAAGTGGCCTCAGTCTGGCCACAAGCTAATGAAACGAGTGCCAAATGGAGTTACGACCAACAGCAGCAGGCAGTAATAATAACTAGGCCAAAAATAAGAGGACGAAGGAAAGTTGGTATTACTGGAGCGAAGATCTAATACACTTTGTTGCCAATTTTAATAATTTTTAAAGATCTCTTTCAGCTTTAAATAAATTTAACAATACAAAAAGGTCTTTAACAAGTCCAGCATGCTTTAAATTTTAGCCTGAAACCCTTTCGCATTCTATGACTGTGTTATTTGTATATAAAAATATATACATTTGTTTATATATTTCCGAAATGCCACAACTGCAGAGCTGAGGAAAAAAACCAAAACTTCTCTCAACAAAGATATATGTATATAAGAGGGGTCTTTGAACCCATTTTTACTGGCCACCGCCCTCGTGCTCATCCGGAAACCCTTCCACTCCCACTTCCGCTTCCTCTTCCACTTAGCCACATGCAGCTGGTAATGCATTCGGAGTGTGTGACCGCAGAAACACCGAAAACCAAAAGCCAAAAAAGACTGAAGTGGAGAGCACCCAGAAACACAAGAATGAATGAAGTGGAAGACATGAATGGAAATAGGCGAAATAAGAACCAAAAAAAACAACAAGGCACCCAACACTAAAAAGTGGTGCAAAAAAATGCAGGGTAAATGTGCTCGTTAGTGGTTTTCTGGCTGAGTTTTCACTGTCGATTGTCTGCGAGCCCCCAGCCCGAGAACCCGAGTTGGAGCGTCTCCCCTTTGGGTGCGACAGAGGAATCCCCCAGATCCCTATCCGTATCCGCATCCGTATCGCATAAATTGCTAGCCCTTCCCGGAATCCCGGTTCGAATGTTTGACTTTAAGCAAAGTCAACACGCAATTTAAATAACAATTGGACTTTCTTATGCGTGTGTGGGTTGAGTGGGCTGAGTGTCATTAGCAAGACATTTATACGCCTCAGTTGAGCGCCCAACACATGTTTATGCATATCGGCAAACCTTCTGCGGAGCATAAATTAAGTCAAGGCCAGGACTTTGCTGACAACGCAGAACATTGTGCCGAACAACGAGCGACACATGTCTAAGAACTTGGGTCTTAACAAGGTCGAGGGAGCATTACTTACACGCACATGGGTGTACTTCTGGGGGAGATTGTGAAATTGCGATTGAAAGTGGCAGAAAATACCCACAGTAGCCATTTGCCAAAGGATAAACCGAAAGTAAAAGCCCCAAGAAAGTGCACTGACTGCAGTCCTTAGTCCTTCTTTGGCTTAGCTTCTTACACTCCATATGGTAAGCATCTTCTTTGGCAACTTAAAAAACGATTTTCCCATAGTGTGTATTATTATAACGATCAGTAAATCCTATGTATATTTTAAAGCAGTTGTTTGTACTAGATTGCTGCTAACATATTTTGCACATTCACTGGTCGAGACTGAAAGTATTCAGGCATTGAGTGAATGCTTTTACACCCACAAGAAAGTGTGTGTGGACTGAGTGGTCACCTGAAAGCTACCGTCCGACTTATACATCCTTTCTCTGCTCCTCTTCGTCCTTCCGCCCTTATCCTCTTTACATTCACGTTTTATCTAAGCTCAGCTTTGGCATTGTTAATGCCAACACATTTTCACATTTTTACTCACTTGGCAAATTTACGTATTTCCCAGCCACATCCCTTTTCTCTTTCCCATTTCCCAGCACCGATGTCTGGATGTCACGGCATTTGTACTCTCCTGCACTTTAGCGAGCGCACAAATCCGCACGAGGAACGCCAAAAAAAAGAAAGAAAAGGGATTTTATCTTTCAGTCGCTTGTTGCTCCGGCTCCTTGAAGTCGCTATCCGGACTACGGACATTTCCGGCTTGGGCAATACTTATGTATGTGTGCTCGACCTGACATGGACTTATCGCTTGTCCAGATTTATGCCGGGGTCCAAACAATGCCGCTGCTGATTGCGGGAATTAACAGCTCCCGTTCCCTTGCAATACACACTCTCACCCACTAATTTATGGCCTAAACTGTGGGTCAAAACAGTTTGGACATGATTGAATTTATTCGAAACTTTTGGTGGTCTCTAGCAGGGAGCTACCAAGTCATCTGTGCTGATTTCCATGGCGCGTTTTTCGTTGTTTTCCCAGCATTCCAGCGCCGAACAATGGTTGCGAAAAAAGAAATCGAAAGTGGCAAAGGAGAGCGTGTGCAGAAAGACAAATTTAATGAAATTTCAAATTGCTATTCGCAGTCTGTCTGGGTCGCACAATGCTCCCGCATCCTTGTCGTTTTCACACAGGCTCATCAGGTCGTTCTGGGTTTCCTCTAGGGAACTCTTCCAGAAAAATTGATGAAATCTAAAAATTAAGATTTAAAAATTAAAAGAGAATTCAAAGCTCAAAGATCAATCAATAACTTAATCGTTCCTAATTTTTGAATTCTTAATAATTTAATAATAATTCGATTACTTAAATATAATAACAATTTGAATAATCTTACCCCTGAAATAATTTGTAGTGTGAAATTTGGAAACGAAACCGTGTGTCTCCGTTCTTTGTTGGATTCCGTTGGCTTTGCATGTCGGACAGGACTCGTCTGAGTCGCCTCGTTCAGTGTGTCTCCTTTGTGCCGATGTGACAGCTGCTCATTTCACGGTCGGTAATTTCAATGAATTTTGCGGCGATCCTGGATCCAGGCAGGACATGCCATGCCTTGCCATGCCAGTCAGGGCCACAGCACGCCATCCACTTATTTGTATGTTGCTCATTAATTAAATTTCCCATTTTGCTATTGTACAAACTAAATAAACTTTATACCGTCCTAATTTAAGTTAATAACCTTAGGAAAATGCATTATTTCTTGGAAATTGTTACTGTGTGTTTTTGTGTTTGAGTGCAAAATAATGTATAAATTAATTAGCTTAATATGGTATTCTTTTCACTCAAAATGTTTAACATTTTAGGTGAGTGCGGGTGTCAAATGATTAAAGATACAACATTTCAGTATATCCTGTCACTACTGGTTAAAATAATAATATAATAAAGTATTTATAGAAAGAGTATTTGGTATACATGTTTAATTTCCCTTTGGGGAATGGAAGTAAACAATACTAAATATTAAAACAACAGTTTTTAACACTAACAATTTAACACTTTTAATAACAGAACTTTAAAAATTGGTCAATACTTAAAATTTTTTAAATAAATATCATATTATGTAAAATTATTTGCATTCCTTAATTTTGTACACGCTATTTTTCCACACGCAGCATATCCGCATAGCGAACGGGTAGATAGGCAAAGAAGCTATTCAACATGGAGTTGCCCGTGAGGAGGTGCGGATTCATGGCCTTCCAGCAGGAGCGAACCACGCCAAGAATCTTATCGTTGAGCGGCTTGCGGTAGTTGAACTTTAATTTCTTGGCCAGTTTCACAGCGCTACCATGCTCCGCATAGGTGAACGCGGTGTTGCCGAAGCCTTCAGTGTCGACACTGGGTACAAACCTCAGCTTGCAATCCACACGGTGGAAGAAGGGCAGACTTTGTTCTACCGCCTGGCTGATTTCCTTAGGGCTATAGGTCTTGCCGTATCGCCTCTTGATCCACTCTAGCATCACGGTTGACTTGTGGGCATCGGGAAAGGCGGCATAGACGCACCGCGGATCCTGGCGAAGTATGGTAAATGCGTCCCGGAGCAGTCGATTCATCTGCTGGAGGTTGTCTGGATCAAAGCGCTCTATTTTCTCGGTCCAAGTCAGGATGGCAGGCTTATTGCAGGGTATGTCAGATTCGTTCTGATTCAAATTGATGGACTTTTGATTTCGCTGGTGCGCCTCCAGAGATCCGAACCACATACCTTCTGCACACTGAACAATTGCGGCCACTACCTGCTCCCGCGGTTGTATCCGTGGATTGTAGCCATCTTCGCTGGATGCGCAGCTGTCTGCCGACTGCCTAAGCGATCGGATGATCTGCCGCCGGATAACGTCCCTTGGTGCGAGATATTCCTCCTTTGGCGCGATCTCGTGGTAATGATATACAAATGGTCTATTCTCTCGATGTGCTTCAAAGAAGCGTCCCTGCTTCCTGTTCTTCCTGTTCCTCCGTGCACACTCTGAGTCGACGGCCTTCGGCGTTATGGACACTTGCCGCGATGGCTTCTTTTGATCCGTAGTCCTGGGAGGGCACCTTTTCGGCTTCTGTTCTTTTGGCTCTATTGGGCAGGTAATGTCGTCTTCTGGATCTGAGATCCTTACTGTCTCCAGTTTATTAATGGTGTTTTGGCCAGTGATCACGTGAACGTCCATCTTAGGCGACGTATTCAGCAGGGCGATGTCCTCCTCGTGGAACATATACTTCACCTTATTCGGCTGAGTGGCCGTGGGCACCGTGCCCATGACACACATCTGGTCGTGATCCTCCAGGAGCATGACGTCCGTGAGATGACGCCCACGCAACCGTTGCCACCGCAAGGTGCAATCCTCGATACCCTTATCCAGTTCCGCCACAATGCGTTTCTTTAAGGCTTCATTTTCACGGGTTGTAATGTCCACAAGCGATAGGCAGAGTTTATGAGCTTTCACCAAAGCCTCGTCTTTGACCAGCTGCTCCTCGCGATGCGCCTCCTTGTGAAACAAACACAAGGGAGCAGCCTTGTCCACATCTGACGCACCCACCTGGGTCCAGTACTCGGTCATGATATCGCCCAACACCTTGAAGAGCATTCGCCGCACCGGCTGGAACTTGTAATTGGCGAACCATCGGCTTTCATCGTTCACCTTGTAATTGGGGCGCTCCCCCGCCGGCCAGAAGGGAAAGGTAACCACAAAGCGGGGCGGTAGACTTACTAAGTTATTGGTGGCACGCACCTTAGGCTTTGGCAGCGACATGAAGTACGGAGAACGGATGGGTTTCGGCTTGGGCGTCTGATTGGAGACAACGTGGATTGAATGCGGTGAACATGTAAATTCTTTAGCTATCGATTGCGATCCGGTTCGAATTGGAAGCTGCTTCCGGTTGAGCCGCTCCACGCCCGGCGGCAGGATGCGGTCCAATTCGCGCATCGTCATTTCCAGGTCCAGGTAAGTGATAGCAGACATAATGATTCGTTCGCTGTACTCGAAGCCGGCGCCCTTGTAACAGGCCTCCAGTAGGAAGTACAGGAAGGCCAGGTCACTGCAACGGCACGCTAAGATCAGCTTCCGGAGCATTCGCGTCTTCACCATCGGTGTGATGCCCAGGAGACTCAAACAGAACTGAGTGCGGTACACAGAACCCTGAGCTTCGTCATCCCGAATGGCAAAATAGAGGTCACCAATGGCCTGGATCTGGAAGTCGGAGAGATTGGTGAACCATGTGGCCCCCACAGGTGCTGCCTTGTCGCGCATGTCTTCAAATAATTTTTGAAAAACCTTAAAATCACTTAAAAATTTTGATAAAAATCAATATTAAATTACTCAAAATTTTGATGTAATGCTTTTGGTGTAAAAGCTTTTAACATATGAAAAGAAGCTGAAATATGTTGCCTTAAATTGAAAGCCCATTTTCAAGGCCAACTCTGATGACTCTTTTTAACACATTGAGCTATAGGAAATATTTTTAAACAAGAATGACTCACTGCTAGATATAGGCCACATTCTCATTATAGACTCTCTCTCATCAATTGTTCACACTGAATTGACACGCTCAACACTTATCGTCCAGCGGCAATCACCGATGATTGAGGCAATTGCTATGGCATCGGCTTCAGAGTCAGCATGAAAATGCCATTAAGTCGGACGATAGACAACAGGTTGCCACTGGACCTTCAGGGATACGAGCTCCCAGTGCATTGTTTCCTGCTGCAGTTATCTTTCTCAGTGGTCGGTCCCAAACCCATATGGGAGCTTCCATCGTCCGTCCTGACAAGTGACAATGATGGATTAGTTTATCAGAGCGGGTCAGGACATTCATTTGCTCTTTGTTTCGAGGTTCGCAGTTCCTCGCCGGGCCAGGAGTCGCGTCGGTCTCCTTGGGGACTAATAACTTTATCCGTCATCTGAGCGAAATATAATAGAGTAATTTTCTATGTGACGCGCCAGGATAATTGGCTGGACTCGGACTGTGGTCCGGCCATATGTCGCTGCACTTGCAATCAGATATAAATGGTGGCAGGAGTCGAGGAGAGGAGAGTGGCGGACTTGCGTGGATTCTGGGGCGGGTCAGCAGAAGAATGGGCAAATCACATAAATTACTTTATGATGGCGACCGGGCCATGAATCCGGGCAGGCCACCCTGGGAAAACTTTCTTTCAGGCCGGCACATGTGGTCACGGAGGGAAAAAAGAAGGCAGTGCCAACTTGCAGACTGCCACAAGGAAGCAACAAAAGTCATTTCCAAGTTATTACCCCGCTCCGACACCCGCTCCATGGCCTGGTCAGTCAGTTGCCATTTGTTTGTCGCTTCATAAAAAAAAAAAGAAGGAAAAACAACAAAAAATAAAGGCAGAGATGGTGAGAAAACAAAAGTTCTACTACTTCTTTGGATCCCTGAACTTTTGTCAGCTTCGCTCTGCGATAAAGTTTTCCCTTCTATTTCATTTTCCCCCCAATTCCTGTTTGGGAATGGACTCTCTCGCCCAATTTTTGACCATTCCGTTTATTTTTCTGTATTTTTTTATCCCTATTTTTCCTGGCTGCCGAAAAAACTTTGCCATTCAACAAACTTGCATGAAAAATGCAATTCCAAATAAAATTTAAGTTTTCCAGTTACTCCACGCTGCCAGAATATGCAAATGATTAAATTTAAAACCGTCGAGACCGGTGGCTGATGTTAGCTTAAAGTGGTTTGTGTGGCTTAAGTTCCGAACGGCAAGGCAGAAAAACATAAAATATTTGAAATTAACTTCAATAAAATACATAATTTCCCTGACTATCCCACCAGCAAGTTTTTTGTAATTGCTATCAGTGAAGAGGTCAGAGATGAAACTATATGCAGATAGAGATTAATAAAGATTCTGTTGATGGAAACTGTATAATGATTTACTGCATGGAAAAGATTGATTAAATGGAAAACAGTAAACGTTCCTATTCGATCTCTATGATATTATTTCACAAGAAACAGTAAACTTTGTTTGCAAACATCACACATATTGTTAGGTTTATTATTTTCAAGAAATTAAAAATTATTACGTTATGAGCAATCGAAACGAAGCAAAGCCAGAAGAACCACCGAAAGACGACCAAAAGGCTTATGCCTTTCCACCACCGCCACCAAGTCGGTACATTCAGACCAGTAAGGAAAGCTTAAGAACTAACTCAAACATAATGCTAATCAGTCCATGTCTCCTTCAGCCGAGGAGGACAAATCTTCGCCTTTCGAGAAGTTTGCAATGTTCTTTTGCTGGCTCTTTGTGGTTCTTTTCTTCCCCTTGTCGCTGTGCTGTTGTATCATCGTTGTTCCCGAGTACATCCGTCTGATCATCCTCCGCCTGGGACGCCTCCGAAAGGGTGCCAAGGGTCCCGGAATGGTGTTTTACCTGCCGTGCATCGATGATGTCCAGGCGGTGGATATGCGCACCGATGTCTTCAAGGTATTGCCCCAGGAAGTCGTCACCAAAGACTCGGTGACCATCACTGTGAACGCCGTAATTTACTATTGCATCTATGATGCCATCGACTCAATCATCCAAGTGGACAATGTAAACGAGGCCACTTTGATGATTGCAAAAGTCACACTCCGCAACATTGTTGGCTCCAAGACGCTCAACGTACTGCTGACCTCTAGACAGGCGCTCTCCCGTGAGATCCTGCAGGCGGTCGCTGAGATCACAGGCCGTTGGGGTGTGCGTATGGAACGGGTGGACATGTAAGCCTCAATGTATATCCGAATCAATACTTAGGAGAGTATCCTGCATCCCACAGAATGGACATCTCGCTGCCGGACACCTTGAAGCGATCCCTGGCCAGCGAGGCGGAGGCTGTGCGTGAAGCCCGCGCCAAGATCATCCTAGCCGAGGGTGAAGCCAAGGCCTCCATGGCGCTGAAGGAGGCCTCTGATGTGATGTCCGAGAACCAGATAACCCTGCAGGTATGCTCAAAAAAATATATTGATTTCCGGATACATGTTTATCTTTTTCAGCTGAGGCATCTTCAAGTTCTTTCCTCGCTAGCGATTAAGAAACGTGTCAATGTCATCTTTCCCGTTCCCTTGGAGATTATGGAACCCTTTTTCGACGAGAAGGAGTTGAGGAAGTGGCACCCCGGTGGGGATGATAAAAGGGGTGGGAGTGATCCCGATTTACCTAGTTTTTTTACCCCAAAAGTATATATTGAGGATCCTGATCTACCGGATAATTTAATAGATGCCGATGGGTCCGAACCAAGTTACGATCCTACTCCGAATCAAGGCAGGAATCAAAAAGATGAGGAACCGGATAACTCCAAGTCGACCTCGACCTGGGATTTGGCGACATACTTTAGGCAAAAGCCAAGTTCTGAGGAGCCCGGGCCATCGCCTAGAAAGCGAAGCAAAAAAGCGACTGGGACTCAGACCAAAGGATCCGATGATAGCGAACCGTATTCACTCCTGCCCAGCGCTTCAGTTCGTCCAAGTTCGCCACGTTCTGCTCCTGAAGTACCACCGACTGCTCCTGCTCCTACTGTTCCTCCGAGAACTCATCCAACTCCTCCTACTCCACCACCGATCCCGCCTGCTCCCACACGTCCTCCGATTCCTCCTCATCCTACTCTTCCTCCGATTCCTCCTCATCCTACTCTTCCTCCGATTCCTCCTCATCCTAATCTTCCTCCGATTCCTCCTCCTCCGACGCCAGCCCCCATTCCTAATCCTCCTCCTCCTCCTCGTACTCCGGAATCGCAGAATAAAAGTAATTACAAGCCCGATGATAATTACTACTTTTGAATCTCATTTATACTATCCAAAATAAATCTTTTTTATAATAAAACTTTTAAGGTTTTTTTAAAGACATTTAAGAATCTATAAAGAATGCCTTGATATTTATTTCATTCTTATATCTGAAGGAAAATTGTACTAACTTTTTCATCAAAATTACGAATTGAAATAATAGAAAAAATATATATTTTAAGCAATATGGAGAGCTGCAAGCTAGAAGACTACTTTAGTAAGGAAGATGGACAGAAAATGATCACGGCACAGGAATGCCTGCAGATGAAACGAGACATGGAAGCCGAGAATCAATCTGATTTCGAGGCTAGTCCCTTGGCCCTCTGCATGATGATAACCCTTCTTCTTTTCGGGATTGGCCTCTGGATTTGGTTAATCTCCTGGGGCTGTTTCTTCGGGGAAAAATTGGAGAACATTTTGCTTAAGGAAAAGAAAAAGGAAGAGAAAATAGAAGAGAAGAAGGAAAAGAAAATGCGGGACACAATAGAAGAGAAAAAGGATGGCAAAAGGGTCAGACTTATGGGAGGTAAAATGAACAGGCCCAACTATAAGGAAGTTTCCTTTTCGAACAGCTCCAATAACGACATCTCTGAGCTTAGCATTCGATCGCGGATCTTAAGAAACTGTAACCCGATTAACTATAATTACATCTCACATCCGGGTTTATCTCGAGAAGAACGCCAAACTTCATCCCAAACCCAAACGGTTGAGGCTCCGACAACCTACAGCACCACTGCCTCCAGCTTGGCAAAGGAGAGCTCCAAATCCCCCAAAAAATACAAGATACAATGGACCAAACTCCTGAAGCTGGGTCGCCGTGAAGACTCCGAAAACTAAAACTAAAAGATGATGCCTGGAATATTTTTATTGATTATAAAAATATTAAATTAAGTAATTATAAATATTAAACATGATTGCCTTTGAAAATGGAATAAATGTAAACAACATCTTAAGTTTGATTCATTTTCCTTAACTTCCTTGAAAAGAGCACCTAAATAATTAACTAAACCTGTACCGTTTTTGTAAATATACAAGACAGAAGGACCCTAATAAAAACCATGGTTAATTGAGTAACCTTTTGGATCAGGCTGCTCCAAATGAGTATAAGTTATCTGTCAGCTGTGTAAGGTATACAAACCAGTTTCCCAACAACTAAATGGAAATTCATTATACATGAGCAGCCAAAGCCAAATGTGGAAAAATCAAAAGGGGAAACAACAATACATTTCCCTACTGAACGAGTATGAATCCCGCCTGCAGACTGAACCTGGATAGCCCCGAGTGCCAGAAATGGATAACCGCCGTGACCTCCCACTGCGGCTCCCTGCTGCCGAATGCGGAGCAGGCGTCACTCTGGGATACCTGGTGGCCGGACGAGCTTCCCGCTCCGTACAAGACCTGGGTCAGCACCATGTCCTCCTTTGACTGCTTCAGAGTTCGCAAGGAGGTGGCCAATCAGGTGGATGGGCGTCTCCATGCACAGAGCAATAGCAACACGGCCTTGTGGAGTTCATGCCGTTGGAGCATGCTCATTATTGTGCTGCTCTCGGTGCTGATGTCCATATTCTTTGCCCTGCGAATGGCGATCGAAACTTGGCGTGGACAGCAATCCCAGGAAGTCTCCACGTGTCCATCCACGTCCAAGAAATTGAAACCGATCTGCGTCGATGTGGAATCTCCGCCGTGTCAGCCTTGCCAGCCCAGGTCCCCTATCTCCATGGGCCAGCGCTCGGATCCGCTTACCGGTTACGTACAGTACAGATGCCAAAAGATGTTAAAGACCAGCTCCGTGCCAACCTGTATACCAATGGACATGAAATATCCCATCCAGGCTGAGTCTTCTCTGCGTCCCAGAAAGCCCTCCCCGCAGTCATCGCGAAAGAAGAAATCTTCCAAAAAATAACAGCCAAGGCGAACGCTAGCAAAAAATCGACAACAAATTCGTTCGAAGGCTGTCGGGGAGCTGTGCTCAATCGCGGATAAGATTTATGAAACATTTTCCACCCCGATTTGTTGTCTTTTTTTGTACGCCACGCCTCTAGTTTTTCTCCATTTATTTTTTTTATGCAGCACAACGAGTGCAGCGCGAGACACAAAAACAAATAAATATTCAAACAGAGGCACTGTGGATTTTCATATTGGAAACTGGAGGCAAACAAGGGCCTTTGAGGGGTAAGATCGAAATGTAATATTCATTTCGGTTTCGTATATAACGAGATTCGTCACAGCGGAAATGATAACACAGCAAGCACTATGTCAATGAAAGGAATTTTTCCTATAAATCAATAAATGGAAAAAGTTTCCAAGTTAACATTATATATTGAGTCCTGTTTGGGGGCTTTCATTTCGCTCTCTATCGTTTTCTTTAATTTTAATATGTATTTTTTATTTATACAATAAATCCATTAAGAGCTTTTTGATGTACATGAACCCAGTGTCCGAAAGTGCTTTCTCGTTGGCGAGACACACACGGATCCCAAAAAGCATGCATATCCGAGCATTCGCCCGGAGTGACCTCACAGAAGTGGCTGGCCAAGTGTTGTTCCTGGCAGCGTATCAACATTTTCCCTATAAATACGGCCGATGTCGTTAATCTCAAATACAGGCAATTTTTAAAAATGCATGTGGTATTGTTTATCGCACGCTCGACTGCCTGGCTGGCCTCGGCTGGCCTCGGTTTGGGGCGTGAGCGAGTGTCAGGGTGCACGGGATTGGCAATAAAGAAACAATTGCATTTAATTTCAATTGAATGCACACACACACATACACACACTCAAATCGAAATTGTAGCAAACAATTTAGAAAAAATGCATTTGTATTTACGTTATGTCTAAATGATTGCTCAAATTATGGCTGCCAATGGGAATTGATGGGACTCCTTCTGCCACGAACAGGATACCCTCTACTTGAACAGGAGAAAGGGTATACGAAATTTGTTTATAGTCACATACATAGATCGATTTAAATTGATATATATCTATATTTAGCATCATTAGCGTTCTATGTAATATATTTTCTAAATAAAACCATGATTAAGGAATTAAAGGATTAAGCGATGGACAGACAATGCATTGAAATTTGTTACAATGGCGATTGTTTAGCGGCTAGAAATTAATAATAATATATCTAGTAATATTTCATAGTAAGATCATTGAAATAAGGTCCCATAAAGCCATCTTTACAAAATAAACTTCTCTAAAACGCAATACCTTTAAAAGAAAAATATTCCAAAAATACTATCTCTTTTGAGTACACTAAAGAAAACGAGGTATCATATGGCAGTAACTCTTTTGTCGTGTCGGTTATTTTTATTTAAGGCATTTGTTTGCCGGTTGAGAACGAGACTCGAATCGGAACGCATATATTTGCCAGAGTGGCTGGCGTGTGTCGCAGCCGTCGTGGCACTTAAATCACGGCCACAACTGTAGAGAAATTGAAAACTTTTGCCATGCTGTATGTTTGTTTGTTTGTCCATTCGCCGGATTGTTTGTTTGTTTGTTTGTTGCTCCAATGGCTGGTACTTTTAATTCAGAGCGGGGACTGGGCGACGCGACCCTTGGCTGACTTTGATTTATTCGACCGGCCCCCGCTGTCCAAATGGAATTAAAAGTTTAACAGTTTTGTTGGGCGCTTTAGTGCTTTAAATTCGCATTGATTGCTATTGACAAATTGATTTTCTTTCCTGCCCCGTACTGTCAGTTTCAGTTTCAGTTGCAGTTGCATTGCGTTGCATTACAAAGACCCAGCGATGCCACATTATGACAGACTGTCGTCGTAAATCAGCAGCCACAGACCGCAAACGAGCCGAGACCGATGTTTCTGGCCATGTCAACCCTTTTGGTTCGGTTATTATTTGCATTTCAGACGCAAGACGAGGACATTTAATTTGCACAAATATTTTAATAGGAATGCAACTTGAAGTATTTGCGGCAATTAAACTCAAAGTGCATCGAATTCATGTTCATATTTGCACCTTCTCGAGTCAAATTAGAATTTGATTTGCTGTCCTGTAAATTTATTTATCGAATCAATCACAGGACCCTTGACGGAGGAGCCTCGTTCACAAATTATTTACTCACATTGATTTGTCCCCTTGGGCTGGTCTATGCTGCTCTGTGCCGTGCCTGTGCTGGTCCTGGAACATGGCCACATTGTTCGGTTTGTCCCTCCTTTGAGCCCAAATTGATGAAGCAATGTTTTTGAGCTTGTGCTGCTGCATACTTTGCGGCGTCTCTCATTGTTGTTGGCCAGGAGTCAGGAGCATGGAGCCCGAAGCACGGAGCACAAAAGTCCAGAGTCCGGAGAGGCTACTCCGCCATGCGGCATTTGTAAGCAGGAAGGCACACATCCATTCCGCAGACCGTCGACAGCTGGCGGTTGTGGGTCGGGCTGGCATATTAGAATTTGATAAATGTGCAGCACGGATACAGGACGTACTGCAGTTTAGGATATACGGAGCACTGAGAGAATCTCTGGTGGCCAAGTCCCCAGGCATACATAGTTGGTGTAATTAACTCCTGTTTTGCCTTCGCTTGAACCCAATTTTGGGAGGCGAAGCAGCTGCAACATTTTGAAAGGACTCTGACAGTAACGTAACAAAGTGCGGCTAATTAAAAAACGAAATTAAAAAGAAATTACACTGAAATGAAATTTTTGGAAAACAATTTAAGCCACAAAATTAATTTGTTAAGGTACATTAATGTTTTTATAATATATTTTAAGGGTTTTCCTATAGGAAATGCATATTCGAAATACAAAAGATTAATCAATTCCTTTTAGACACATGATTTTCCGACCTAATTAAGAATTTTGAGAACTTTAAATGTTAAAATATTTCTCTATGCATAAGTAAAAGTTTTGTTAAAAATTCTCTGGGTGTAATGCAGATTGTTTCCAGGGTTCAGCTTCATTCTTTACACGATTTAACTCGTTGATTTTGTGGCTTACACTCATTAAGCCAGCCTGGCCCCCGATGCCATTGTTTGTATATGGGTTGGAAGCCTTTTTCCATGGAAGAGAGAAAAGCTGCTAACCGAGCCTGGACAATCGCTGGAGCCCCTTACTTTGGCCATTTAAGCAGGCTGCACACTGCTCTTTGTTTGATTGAGACTGGCACTTGGATTCCGCCTCGGAGTGGGATTCGCATGCGGTTGCGTATACGCCCCATGGGCCCAACGCCAACGCCGAAGATGTGGCCTGCATGTCGACGCTGATTTTTATTCTCGCCCTTGGTCTGGGTCTCGGACCCCAACTTGATTTATTCCCAAGTCCTGCGCCGCCTGCATGCAGTCCCCAGCTGGCCATTGTGTGGCCCAGTCTCACTTTTCAAGAACTCAAACAAAGTATTAAATCGCACAAAAGCGATATGGAAAATATTAATAATCTTTGGCCGCACTCCCGGAATTTACGATGGGCCCGTCGCTGATTTATTCCACCCACGGTTTGACCTCATTACCCATTCTGTGGTCAGCGAAGCCGGTGGCAATGGTGGTTTTAAAGTGAATATCACTGTGGACCCTCCTGCCGAATGTTGTACTAATTCTTCAGCAAGTTTATCGCTCCCTGCCATAAATGCTGCTTGCATAATTCAAAGAAGCCATCGCAGGAGCTGGAAGTATCAATTCAGGGAGCATAATATGGCAATCGACAAGCAAACAATCGGTAAATATGAATTTTAGATTTGATTGAATTTGAATTACACTCACTGTATGGGTGTGAGTGCGCATTTTGGAGCGTAAGCACCCAATTTGACATGGCATAATGCAGATATCAATGGTCTTCTCCTTCATTCATTTGTTATCATTGTGTGTTTGTGTTCCTCAACTGAAGTTTGTTAAGCCGGAGAGCATATTATGTTTTATGAAACGCTTTTCCTGTGGATATATGTAGCTTTATTGACAGTCTAAAAATGTACAAATATCCAAACAGCTGTCATTAACAGAAATTGTTAGTAAATAAAATCCGAGAGCTTATTGGCGTTTTACGATTTCTTACAGAATTCTTCATTGATTAAATTTTGTTTTCAAATCAAAGTATATATTAATTTTAGTAATCAATGGCGTTTGGTCTTAGTATAAACCTAAACTATGTGTATTCTAGATATAAAAAATCGATATTCTATAGGCTAATTTTTTGAGTCAATCAAAGTTTTTCACTTAAGCTAAAAATGCATTAAATTTAATTTGGAAAGCTTTTCATTGCTAGTTTTTAAGGGGTTAACAAAACTGCATACTTAATTTTATGTTTTACAAAATTAATTTTTTATAAAATTTTGACATTTTTAACGATGTAACCCCTTATAAAATTTTGAAATTTTCGGAAATATTTCGAAAATTTATTTTTTAACCGGACATGGCTAGATCAACTCAGTTTTTTATGCTGATCAATAATATACATATATGGTTTATAGGGTCGGAAATGATCAATTGACTTTTTCATACCTTTTAACCCTGAAAGTGTAGAACATAAATAAGACCTATATAAAGTGTTGATAACATTAAATTTATTATATTATATATATTATATATTATATATAAATACATTATATTTATTTAATTACATGAAATTAGTGTTAAATTAAGTTGAACAATCATTAAATTTATGTTTGTTAAATTAAAATAAATAACAAAGAAGTACTTTTGAAAATATTTGCTCTTTAAATATTTACTAAATCTCTTATTATTTTCCAAAAGCACCCTTCTGCTTTGATTCCTTTGAAAGATAACTCATTAAAATAAAGACTCCTCTTTAATTTGCATTTAAATGCATTGACTAAGTGACAACAATAGCTGTGTTCACTATTAATTATTTGAAACATTGATTAAATGTCCCACTTAAAACTATTGGTAATTAAATGGACTTTATGCAAAGTCACACCGCTTTTATAGGCTTCCAACTGCCATAATTAATCTACGAAAATCAACAACCACACACAGCGGGCTATAGAGAATAATTAAACAATTTAATGATAGTTAATAATCAGCCTTTGTGACAACCGCCTTAAAGGGGGAGCGAGTGAGCCGACCTTTTTGATTATGTGCAAATCAGTTTTCACAGCAAATTAGGCAGCCACACATTAAAACTTTGACAGACAGGTCCAAACCCCAGCGGTGTCCTCGACCGCAGGCGCCATCCTCCTGCTCCTCCTGCTCCTCCACCACCGAACCAAGCCAAGGAAAGTTCACCCGGCGCCTCTTAAAAGTACACATGTAGCATATGTATGAGGAGCATCAAAAGTTTTAAAGCAGCTGCCGGTGGAGGACGACGGGGTAATCCTCCTCCGTTCCTTCCAAAAGTCACACGGAGACCTTCGTGGAAACAAAAAATGGGAAACTTTTCGCGGCAACGGGAGCATAAAAGAGCTAAGAAAATGCAAACAAAAGTGCAACAACTTTGAGGGCAACGCTTCCGAATTTCCTCTATGTCTTTGTGTCGCCCGCACGAAAAGTTTGTCATTACCTTTTCCATTCGAAAGACATTTAAGAGCTTCCCCAAACAATCTATTCCCCGAGCAAACAAAGTGTATAATCGAAAAAGCTATACAATGTATTAAAATTCATTATAATTAAATTTAATTTGACGGCCACTTAAAAAATGCTTTAGTCACTGACCAGATCTTTGGTTTTTGTGGCGGATTCGATTTACAGCCAATCATATTTTTCCAAATAAAGAGAATAATTTGTAATATCATTGCATCATGCGAAAAATAATCAAAAACACCATTTATTGAGGCATTTAAAATGTAAATAGTATATGCAAATGCAAATAGTTCATATTTTCAGGGGAAACCATAAAGGATTTTTAATGCGACGAACCAATAATAAATAAACGGAAAGCTCCTATAATTTATTGCACAATTTGCATAGTTCAGCTGGCAGTTTGTAATGCGTTTATAATTAGAACATTTTAAATATATTTTTTTTGATTTAATTACCAGAATGCCTAATTGAACTAAATCTATTTAATTATGATTCATATGAACTTTAGCTAAATTTATAATGGTCTTTAACATTCAAAATAATTAATCCCAGATTAATTTTTGTTGACATTTATTCTACCAACCTCTGAAATTTCTTTAATTTTCCGATTGGTCATTTCTGCCAAGCAGTCACTGCTCCGTCTTCCAAGTTCAGGTCTCAATCTTTCCTTTGGTCGCTTCTCCCTTGAGTGCCTGATGATGTAACCAACAGCCTCCGTCTGGGAATGGTTTGATACATGTTCCGCCCTTTGCAACCATGGATTTTGGTGTGTTCCATCGTTTTCCCAGCGTAATCCATTCCCATTCGACCCTTGGCAGGGGCTCCGGCTCGATGACAAACTGTTGCATGCTGTTCCCACTGCTCGCTGCGCATGCCTGTTCCTACTGTTAACCGATTTGGCCTGTGCAAACTGTTACCAGTTTTTCAAATTGCGGAGTTGCAGTGTGAGTTTATGAAAGAAATTTTATTTAAATATGAGCATAAAGACCTACGGATTCTTGGTAAATAATAGGAGAAAACCAATTTCGACTTCGTGAATGGAGTTTACTGCCTGATTATCAAATATAAGGTTATACCTAATACTAATACTAGGGTATTATATTTTTAGTCAAAAGCTTGAAAGGCTGTGAAGAAATCATTTCGAACCTATAAATCTTGATCAGCATGAAAAGCAGAATCGATCTAGCTTTTAATTTTAAATAGAGTATGCAGATTTATTAATCTTATAAAAACAAACATAGGAAAGCTTTTCAAATCAAAAATTAATGCTTTTTTGGCTTAGTTATGTGTTTTTTAAACTTTGATTTGTCAACAAAAATATCATATAAAAATATTGATTGAAAAATGAGAATGGCTTAAGCTTGGTTATGATCAATTTCCGATTCGAACCATTTAATTTTAATATATTTAATTACAGCTCCATTTTATATAATTTCAAACTACCAAGCAATTGAGTTTAGCTGTCCTTAAATTCTTGCCACTGCCTTTCATTGGGCTTCTATCAAATACCAAAGACATAAAATCAAATCAAATTTGTATCAAATTTTACAATGTAATTTCTTAATTAATAATATTTCTTTTAATACACATATTACACATGTGTACAATTAAGTTCCTTTGTAAACAGCTTTAAAGATAATTAAATCAGTTTTAAGTAAGTAGGTCAAGTATTTTGATATTTCGTCTCATATTTAATTGTTTCTGCCACTTTACTAATTAAATGAAGACAATTTTCTTCGTGCACTTGGCTCGACTCAATTCACCTGTCATCCACCGGCACACACACAAACACTGCCAACATCATTCCCACTCCACTCGGGTGTGCCCTGACCATGAAAGCTTTGCCACCAGTGACAATGAGCGACGAGTACGCCCCCAGGTTATATTCATAAGAAGCAGTGGGCGGAGAACGTGGACGTGGACGTGGAGGTGGACGTTGACTAGGAGAAGGAGAAGGTCAGTCTGTTGGAGGCGTCTAATCTCATTCATTTTGAATAAGACCGGCTCCAGCTTCAGCGTATTTAGCCTGAGTACTTGTGTCAACACAATTCAAGTCGGTTTCAAATTAAAAGGCCGTGTAATATGCGACTCGGAGACTGTTTTTGTTTTGGTTCTGCCTCTGTTTTCCTTGGTCTTACTGCGAGGCATCTGTCAATGGTGTCTCGGGGCTGCCATTGGGACAAATTGCCTTGGGCTGACGTCAGCAACTTTTCGTAAAAGTGAAAGTAATTAAAAAAGTTCAGTCGAACGGATTTTCAAAAATATATCTAATTGCTTACCAAAACGACTGCAATTCTTTGGCAGGATTACTCTCAGACCAAGAGGATAAAATCTAAAGGAGGCTTTTTGAAGAGTCTACAGTTGAAATCTATTTTATTACTTTTAAGCTTAGATTTTAGTTTTTCTATTCTATGGGAAAAAATATATAAGGAATCGGTAATCAAAAAAGATTATCAAATAGATTCATACCTCGTAAAATACCTGAAATAAATTGGATATAACGATATTATTAAAGTACTTTAACATGCTCGAAAACAAACGAAATTTAACCAAATTAAAGGCATTTTCCACAATAATAAGAAATTTCCCTTTCAATGAGACTTGAAGGCCAAAATGACCGCATCAAAAAGATACATACCTTCTTCATCTGTCCTTCTTCCTTCTGAGAAGGCAACTCTGCGATCTGGGTTTGGGGCATATTGACTTTACCCTCTGCCTGAAAATTGGCTACGTGACTTGACAATTCGTTGGAGCCGGGACGATGGCGACGATGATGACGATGAGGATGGCGCGAGGAGCCGCATGAAATGCAAATTCGGTAGCATTAAGAGTGGAGTGGAGGACTGGAGGTCGTGATGCGAGGATGCGGAGGAGGCAGGATGCTTGGCATCCAAGGCCATGGGCGGAAGAGAAACAAGTTGTTGGCTTAATTTCGTCACAGGCAGCTTGTTTTCATTAACTGGCCATCGAGGAGCTTTTGACTTGGGGGCCCGTCGCTCGTTAGGCGTATGAGCAATCGATTAAGAATAATGGGCCGTAGGATTTACAGTTGCAGCAGTGGAGAGCAATCAACATTAAGCGTTTAGTCTGCTGCCAATGACAAGCGGGCGAGGGGAGTGTAGCGGAGCCCTGGAAATTTCCTAGGCCTTCTTCCTGACTCGCATCCACAACAGTCCCTGGCATACAAATACACTGAGCGAAGCCTTCCGAGGTAAATAGTACACTTAATATCCTTATGGATAGAGAATAACCAATAGTATTTACACTCCATAGATAAAAACCAACTAGCGCAGACCACTCTATTTTTATTAGTTACACTTTTTTTTAATTAACACATCGAATATAATGTGGAATCCATATTTTTCCCGGTGCTAATGAGGGAGCGAAGCCAAGGATGCAACTGCAGTTGTGGACTCCTTTATCCTTTTCCTTTCCGCACGCCACACTCACACATATTTGTATGCGCGCAAGGAAGTTGATTATTAAGTGCGTTCGCGAGTTGCTCCTCTTAATGCCTCTCGCTGCATTCCCGGGCTTTTGTGAAGTCCTGGCTGCTTCCCGTCGTTGTCGTTGTTGTTGTTGTTGTTGTGTCTGTCCTGTATCCGCACGTGCGAGTGAGAATGTCGGCAAATTTCTTTATTGCGCTTTTATTTATCTGTCGGTGCCAGTTTCAGCATCGTTTACCGTTTCAATTTATCGACTCCATCTGACGAGGATGCAGGTGCTTCGTGTATCTGTATCCTTCTTTTGTGCATGTGCGCGTGTGTTGGCCGCAATAACCAGGAAACAATCCACATGGAATGGTAAGTGCACTTGCAGGACTCACATGGAAACCATATTCACAATCAATCCGTAAATAGTTAAAAATATTCATAGCGTTTGGAAAACATTGACATTTATTAGTGGAGAAAGAAAGGACACACACTCGTTTAGGGAAAGATTACCAAGAGGGTCATGGAAATATCTGGGTGATTGAGATAATGGAAAAAGGAATAATGCATATAAAGAAAAATTTTAGTATATTTTTATATTTTCATCTTGCGGGTCAGGGAAGTATTAAAAAGAACACCGGAAATTGAGAAAACAAAATTCGCAGCAAGTGGGCGCCAAAAAATAGGCAATACTTTTTGCTTCGTCTTTTCAGTAGCTTTGTGGCTCAGTATAAGCGTAAAGTTATATTTTATTTGAAAATATTTCAAAAATTTAAACCAAACAAGGCTTTTTACAACAATTAAGAAATATTTAATTTATTAAATAGCAACTTTAAATGTTTTATTCTAATACATTCAATGGGTGTTAAAAGAAAAAAATTCCTGCATAACGTTTTATTTTATTACCTTACTTTATTCTTAAATAATAATGCAATTTATCTGTAATGGGTTGATGTAATATTTTCACAAAATTCTCATATGTGCCTTTCGAATTCCCTTTAAAATTAGAATAATAAAAATTAGATGGCGTCTATCGATTGCCTTAAAATAAAGTTAGACTAGGCTTAAACCAAAAATTAAGACAAAATTTAAATGGCTAAAAAGCTCCGCCTGAAGTCTATGTCACAGGAGTTGCGATACCGACCAATTTTGCGGCTACTCATTTGGCGAAATCTGCGCATGGCCTCATGAATCTCCGGGACACTAATGGGCTTCACCACCTCCATGCCCCGTCCCTGGGTGACCTCGGGGCACACATGCATCATGGCTGGACTGCCGCCGGCGGAGGTAACCCGGCTGTATGGCTCTGTAGCGCGGTTGTCCGAATTCAGACGCGTCAGAATCGAGTAATCAACGATAGCGGCAATAGTCTCGTGCGCCAAATAGGCCAGGATGTTCATGGTGGGCGTGGGGATACGCAGGTCGGCGGGTAGATCGAGAAAGCGGCGGAACTTATTCTTGATCTTCTCACCATGTCGGCAGTAGAAGGAAGTCTTGCGCGCCTCGTTAAACTCCAGGTACTGCTGACCCGTTAGGATCTGCGAGATTCGATCGGCGCGAAACAGGCGTCGCATGCGGTCCTCGTCATGCAGCTCGTGCACATCTATGGCTAGTTCCTCGTCTTCCTCCTGCTGTTCCAGATCGTCCATGAAATCCTGGGGCCGGCCTGTCCGAATGCTGAGGAACTTCTTCAGAATTCTCATGTCCTTCAGGTGCTTTCTCATGCGTGCAATCTTCACCGGATGGTTGCGCATGAGGAACTCGAAGTCCGCCTGCGAGGGGCACGGATTCTGCTTGCGCCGCATGGCCACCAGGGAGGCCTCGTTAAAGATGCCGCGCAGCTGCTGCTGCAGGATCTGCTCTACCAGCTTGACGCTAGCCGTGCGCGGCTGATCGCTGTCACCGAAGCTGCGCATGATGTCGGCGATCTCCGTTAGCAGAGAGACGGGCGCGTCATCCGCTATCTGAACATTGGCAACGTTGCCGCTGGCGGAGCCACTTCCTCCACTCTGTGGTGGTATGTTTACATGCTGCTGGGCTGGATTCGTTGGTATGCTTCCACTTTGCAGCAGGATGACCTGGCGCTGGACGTGAATCGGTTTGATGTCCTCCGGTGTCTGCAGTTGCGGCGTGCTGGGCGCCGAGGGCGTAGTGGGTCCGATCATTATTGGCGGCGACGCCAAGTCGCTGGCCCCAATGCACACCGAATTTTGTCGCATGACGCGCTTGGCATTGTAATTCATCTTATTTACAAACAAATCACTTCTTGGGATCCCGACAGCTGATGCAAGAGTACAGACACCTCTTTGTTTTGAAGATGGACCACCGCGGAATTTATCGATACCCGCCATATTTTCGATTGACCGCAACCTTATAATTAAGTTGTAATATATATTATTATTTTATTATATTATTTAATAATTTCCATAATCATGAAATTTCTGCATCTACTCTTCTAAAATACATCTTAATATCTTCATATAATTATTGATGGTTTTGGTATTTGCGTGAACTATCGCTTAACGCACCTTCTGGGTATCGCTCATGCTTAAGATATCGGCTTATTCTTCTCCGCTCTAATATGCACACCACCATTTTTGTTTGGACAATGAAGTCGGTGAAAAAGTAATTAAATACTGGTAAAAGACAGCTAAACGGCAGCAACCCAATCGCCCCAAGATGTTCAATGGCATGGTGAGAACCATCCGCGACAGCGTGGTGGGCACCTATCCGTCCTGCCATGTCAACGCACGGCTGGAGGAGCGCAGGGCCAAGCAACGGGCGATGCGACAGGAGCGCAGGCGAAAACCGGACAAGCCCGATGACTTCGTCACCTACGAAGACTCGGGCAGCGACGAGGAGACGCCCCAGCAGCAGGAGGAGGTGCTGAACACGTCTTACAATCTTTGTGACTACCTGCGCAGCCGGGAGAGCTCCCTGCGGGATGTGAGTATACCTGGTATTTTAAGTCGGGTCTCATTCATTGCTTACATTTGAACTTTACTCTGTGTCTTCCCTGTAGCGCCGCAGCGTGAACGTGGAGTACACTAGCCGCTATGTCCTCACCCATGACATGCTGCGCGAGACGCAGATCAGTCTGGGCTACATAAACAAGGTCTTCTGTTCAAAGTGGCTGAGCAGCCGACAGGTGGTGTTCGGAACCAAGTGCAATAAGCTGCTCGTATACGACGTCAACATGCGGCGAGTGGACGCCATTCCCACCCTTTCCAACAGCCGGGCGAATCACCCAGAGGTGCAGGGAGGTCTACATGCCATTGAGCTGTCGCCCAGCCGATCCTTCCTCGCCACCGGGGCGCGAAACTCCTCCGACATTGCCGTGTACCGTCTTCCTACTCTGGACCCTGTGTGTGTGGGCGAGAGCGGGCACCGTGACCTGATCATGGGCATGTGTTGGCTTGACGACCAGTTCCTGGTATCCGGATCGAAAGATTCGCGGATGGCTCTGTGGCGCATCAACGAGGACCACATGGAGTTCCCGGATGGGGGTGAGGAGGCGTGTCCCACCTTTGCCACGATACACCCGCTCAGCGTCAAAGAAGTTCGCACTGCCCAGAGGGTAAGCTTACTTGCACATCTTATAGATTCATATTAATACTCTGATTGTCTACAGATACGTTCCCTCTGCTTTAACAAAGAGTTTAAGGAAATAGCAGCCCTCTCTCTCAATGGCTACATTCACATCTTCAATGCAGAGACCTTCAAACAGACACTTTCCCGTAAGCTTCCCAACTGCCAGGATAATGTTAGCATAGCCTACCACAGCGACGGGCTCTACGCCGTGGGCTGTCGTTCCTATACCATCCTACTGGACGCTCGTACGCTGCAAACGATTAAGAAGATCACGTCTCGGTACAGCGGATGCGGAATAAGAGCAACCTCCTTCGAGGGTAACCTCCTGACAGTAGGAACAGGACTGGGAATGCTGCTGTTCTATGACATCCGCGCCGGAAAGTATCTGGAGAGTAGTGTAAACGCCTCCCGCACAGTTGCCCTCAAGTGCAGTAAAGGTATTGTGGTAAGTTGTGAGCTAACAAATCATTAAAATAAATTGAACTTACGCGCAAGTTTTATTCCAGTACCCCGAAGACGAAATGGACGGCTTCCAGCAGGTGAAATACGTTCCCGCCATCTACACGCACTGTTACGACAGCACAAGGATGCGACTCTTTGCAGCCGGGGGACCACTTCCAGCCACGCTGGTGGGTAACTATGCAGGCGTTTGGCAATAAATCAGAGCAGCAAGGAATGCGACCCAGGCTCACACAACTGATTAGTTTTTAAGTGATTCTTCGAATCTAGTGATCATGATTTTTGCCCATTCTTTCTTTATTTCCCCTCCCTTTTTTTCAAGCTTTCAAAATCCGAGATTTGGATTGTTCTCCTTTTTTTAAGCTCAAATGTTCTTGCTTGTTTTACTTGATTTCTCAGTTTTAATTTAATCGATTTTATGTTAGGTTAAATATTATTAAGTTTGTATATTGCACGTAGACAGTATACACCACTTAGTAAATCTAAATGTAAATTCAAAATTATCGATCCTATTTATATATAGCTCATATATATATAGTACATACAATACAAGTAAAAGAAACTAAGTTATAGACAACACTAGCATTGATTAATAGTCTGATCTAAATATGGTAATAGAATTTCAAATTAAAGAAACCATTGAAAATTATCTTCCTTTTTTTTAAATAAAAAATAAAGGTGTATATTGCTCAGAGAGTACTGTATAGGGCGATCAACTCGGAGAATATCAACAAATGCCACAAGTGTGTACAAAGTACGGTGTGCCCAACAGCAACGGACAATTTCAAAATACATTAATACAAAAAGGAAATTTTACAAGATTTACATAATGCATCCACATGTTAAAACATCTAATACCCAAATATTATGCATTTATCTCTATGATGACGACAATCAGTTATTGTTATTGGATCCGCCGCCTCCTCCGCTCCACGCGGTCAGGAATCCCGTCCAGCCTCGACTGGTGCCATCTGAGGAAACTAAAAGAGAAACATTTGAGCGGAATCCAAAATAATCTCAATAAACACTACCTTTCTGACCCTTTGCCACACAGTTCAGCATCTCCATCTCGTTGCGACTCAATCGGAGAATGGTATTCAGGACGGGGACCAAGCGTTGACGTTCATCCGCATTGTTAAGGGTAAGGAACTGCAATAAGTGAAAAGTTTTCGATTTATTTCGAATCTTATAGATGGATATCTTAACTCACCTTTAAGAAAACGTTCTTCAAATACTCCGAATTATGCATATGCTGTTCCCGTTCCTCTGAACGCTCTTGGCGGCGCAGTTCCTCCTTAAGCATATCATTCATTTGGGTCAGTTTGGCCAGATCCTGTTCGTTCTCTGCCAAAAGGGAAGTCAAGTGCTTGACGCGGCTTTCCTGGATTACCAACCGTTCCTTGGTGGCCTGGAATTGGGCATTTTGGACGGCAAATTCTCCGCTTGCGGTCAAGTCCGCTTCATCGTCCTCCTGCTGAGAGACGCTGCGGCCAAAGTTAGATATGGTAGTCACTGTGTCACTGGTTATTTGGTTCATGGAAGTGTTGAGGAGCTCATCAAGAGGCATAAAGTCGTGTGATCGTCTCGAGGCAGTGGATATTTTTCGCTGGGCTGCCAGTTGGGCCAGGGAGATATCAGCTCCAGCAACGCCATCCAAATTCGTTTCGTGGTCCATGAGCAAGAAGTCAATCTTGGCCTGCTCCGGACTGGGCTCACCACTTACGGCGGATGTGTTGCTGCGCTGGGAGACGTTGAGCTGCTGCTTCTGCTGGGACTCTTCCACCTTTTGCTGCATCTGCTTTAATTGCTCCTGATAACTAGCGTCTAGTTTATCGATTCCCTGGCGATGTTGCTGCATAAGGTCGTGCTCGAACTGCAGCTGGCGCTGATTGTCCAGTGTCAGCAGATCGTTCTTCTGGCGCAATTCGTCCACTAGTGCCAGCAGCTCCTTGCTACGCTTCTGAAGCTCAGCATTGTCCTGCTGCAGTGCCTCGAGCTGGCCGTCCAACTGGGCAAGGCGTTCAGCTCTTCCTTCGTTGCTGACCCGCAGTTTACTTTCGCTCTCCCTCAGGGCGCTCAACTCATCCTCCAGCTCCTGCTCTTTGGTGCCCTTATTTTGGTTCTTTCGCAGAACCGCTTGCGCCTTTAACTTGTATTCCGTGTACTCCATTTGCAGATCCTCATGGGCTCGCTCTGCGTTTCGAACTGCCAGCTTAAGCTGCTTTTTGCTTGCCAATTGCGCCTCCAGCTCCTCGGTTCGACTGGTCAGCAGGTCGGTGGACTTGTTTAGCCGGCTCTCGTACTGCTGGGCGCTTTCCGCCAGCTGCAGACGTAATTGATCCGCTTCCGCCTTGGCCTTTTCTACACTCTGCTCCAAATCCTTGTTCTTGGTGAGTGCCTGCTGCTTGCTGTGAACGGCGTCCTTGACCTGTACCTGCATGCGATCGATCTGCTCTTTTAACTGTTGGGAATGCGTAGCTTCTCCGTTTTTGGCCTCCTCCAAAATGGCAATTTCTTTGCGCAGCTGGATAATGGTGTTTTCTTTGCTAGATAACGATTCTCGTACCGTTTCCAACTCACTTGACTTAGCTGTCAACTTGGCACTGACATCTGCCAGAGATTTCTCGGCTGCTTCGATCTCTAGATTCAGCACACTCGAGTTCTTCGTCTTCTCCTTTGATTTGAGCTTTTGGTTCTCAGCGCGCGCCGCGTTCAGGTCCTGCTGCAGTTGCGCCTGGGCCAATTTCAGGGCCTCCTGATTGATGGCTCCACTCTCATCCATCTCCTTAAGTTGCTGTGTCTGCTCCTGCAGCTTCTTTTTCAGTTTCGCAGCCAGGGCCCTGAGTTTGTGGTATTTCTCCTCGTAGCCTTCGTCCACTTCTCGTAGGCGACTCACTTCCTCGGCCCGTGATATCGTCGATGTGGACAGTACATCACTTTGAGCATCGGCATTAACCTGCTCTAGTTCGTCAACCCTGCTCTGGAGTTGCTCTATTATCTGTAACTTATCCAGCGTCGCCTGCTGACTCCCGGACAATTGAGCCTCTAGTTCTTGCTGCCGCTTAACCTGTGCTTCGTGCTGCTCCTGGAGGCGGGAGATGGCATCGCCGCGTCCCTTTAACGCCTCGTTCAGCTCACGCATTTCGGCCAGCAACTCGGAATGCTCCTGCTCTTTGAGGTGGAAGCGCGTGAGCAAGTCCTCGTTGTGTTGACGCAATTCTATGCAGATGGCCTCCAGATCCTGCAGCTGAATCTGTTGATTACTGCGCTCCTTTTCGATGACTTGGACGAGGCCTTGCATTTGGGAGAGTTTGGCCTGGAAGACGGACACATTTAGGTTGTTGGAATGATTTTCGTTCTTCTGCTGCTGCCTCGTTACGACGGCCAAGTGCTCCTTGTCCGCTCTCTGCTGTTCTTTTACGACTCCTGCCAGCTTTTCAATGGTACTTAATCTGTCCCAAAGACGTTGTACATCGAGATTGCTGCGCTGGTGCTCCTGTGACTGCTTAATCGTTTTGGACAGGCGCTCGAGGTCTTTGATTCTGAGCAGCAGTTTCTTGCGATCTAGGGCATATTCGTCATTGCGACGATTACTTTCCGCTTTTTCGGTGTCCTGCTTCAGCTGCTCATTCTCGGCCTGCAGAGAAGACATCTTGCCACACAGGAGCTGGGAAGCCCTGATGATCTCCGCCTGCCACTTGGAGACGGAGGCGGCGTACTCGTGCTGTGTCTCTAGTAGCACGCACTTGCACTCCTTCAGATTCTTAAGCTTGCGGTGAACGTCGATGAAGCGATCCTTTAAGGAGTTGAACTTTTTGCGCTGCTCGGAGTTGAGCTCCTTCATGCTCTGATACTTCTTCTGCATAAGTGTTGACTCCTCGTTTACCGTGACTAGTTGCTCTCGGAGGCGAGAGTTCTCTGCCTCCGCTTCCTTGATTTTGGCAATGTCTACCTCCAGCAGTTCCAAGTTCTTTCGCTGTTCATTGCCCAGGGCATTGACCTGCTGCATCGCCTTCTCCATGCGGTCCACGTCGGCCAAAAGGTCATCGTTTTCGTCACTCAGTCGCCCGAGCTGCCGCTTCAGGCTCTCGTTTTCGATCTCGAATTGCTCTAGCCGGTCGCTATCCTCCTTGGTCTTTCGCTTCAGGGTGTTAACTTGCTCGGTGAGGATCAGGTTCTTCTCCGTGAACTCCTGGACCATTTCCTGCATGGCTGGAAGGCTGCTCTGCTTTTCCGCCGCCCGCTTTAGGGCTTCCTTCAGCAGGCGGTTCTCCTCGGTCAGTTCTGAAAGTGGAACGACGTGGTCAATCGTAGCTTCTGGAAGTTTCTCTTCTCCACTCACCATCCTTGGCCTGCTTGGCCTTCTTGGCTATGTTGAGCAAGCCCTTGTATTTGCTGATGATTTCATCTTTGCTCAGCGCCTCAATTGGATTCGTATTCTTCTGCAAATGCAAATGCAAATAACAAGATGAGACGTCATCAACAATTTTAGCGAAATCTCCGCCCTGACCTGTGTTTCTCTCGGTGGTGCGGTGGTCTCCATGTTGATTGCTAACTGCCCCTCCTCGCAGACAGATTTGGTCCTATCATCTATGCCTCAGTTGGAGCAGGTCGCGGCTATTTTTTGTATGCAGCAACAAAAGATGTTGGGGAAATAAATTTGCTTTGGTCCTAAATCAGACTGAAGAAAACACACTATCAGCTGTTAGGGTTGCCAGAGCCAGAAAATTTATTTGTGCACCATGATGAGGTGACGCAATACCGAAAACTGAAAATAAATAAATAAATATTAAATATATACATACATAAATTTAAAAATATTACATGACATGACATTACATTACATTTTAAATAATTCTTCCAATTTCCAGATAAATTTATAAATTGTAACATATATAAAACTAAATATTTAATAATATAACAAGAAAGAAAGCAAAATTAGGCACACCAAAGTTTGTATAGCCTTGTAGATTGTAATAAGGTCATTAATAATTAATCAAATATAAAATATATAACTTTATTATTAAAGCAAATTTATTTTTGCACCATGATGAGGTGACGCAAAACCGAAATCTTAAAATAAATAAATAGATATATATAAAATATATATATACGTATAACAAAAAACATTACATGACATGATTTTACATTACATATTAAATAATTTTTCCAAATTCCAGATAAATTTATAAATTTTAAAATATAAAAATCAAATATTTAATAATATAACAAGCAAGAAAGCAAAATTCGACACCTTAAAAGCTTCTATAGCCTTGTAGATTGCAACAGGATCATTAATAATTAATAAAATAAAATATATTTATTTACCATTAAAACGAAGCAAAAACCTCAGCTTTCTCCTATACATGCTATTTGTAATTTCCATTCAACTATCGGTTCTATGGCAGTTGTATGATTTAGTAGTCCGATCCTGCTTATTCCGACTTCTATAGTAAGGAGAATTTGAAATCAAAGAAATATTTAGTGAAAGGTAATATAAGCAATGCTAAAACTTGCTAAATTCATATTAATTAATTAATTACTTTTTGTGCTTGTAAACTATCGAATCAGCCTCTCCTATCGATAATGTCTATCGGCGAACGCTCACACCCAGCACTGCACTAGCAAACAATATTTGGCATCACTAATTGTGTCCCTTATCATTTTCTTTTCATCCTCGGAAGTGATGGATTTAAGTGATAATAGCCAACTGGAGGATCAGTATTTCGTTTACAAACATGAGCAGCTGTTCGGCGAAAGCTTCCCGCTGTTCAAGGAGATCCGGAGGATGGGCAAGCTGTGCGATGTCACACTGAAGGTCGGTGGCGAGCAATCACCCCCAGCTCGAATGCAGGCGTTACCATTATCTTGGTGTCTAAATATAAAACGCCATCCGAATTATTGCAGGTTGAAGATCAGACGTTCTCCGCGCACCGCGTCGTGCTGGCGGCCACCATCCCGTACTTCTACGCGATGTTCACCAACAACATGGCTGAGAGCCGGATCAAGGAGATCACCATGAAGGAGAGCGCCATCGAACCGAGCGCTCTGGAGAGCCTCATCAACTATGTGTATAGCGGCCAGGTCCGCATCGACAACCAGAACGTTCAGAGTCTCATGGTGGGCGCGTCGTTCCTGCAGCTGTCCAACGTCCGGGACGCCTGCGCCAGCTTCCTGATCTCCCGCTTCCACCCGCACAACGTTCTGGGCATTCGCACCTTCGCCGACTCGATGATCTGCCGCCAGTTGATCGATGCAGCCGACAAGTACATTGACCAGAACTTCGCCAAAGTCTCCCAGTCAGAGGAATTCCTTTCGCTGGACTGCGACCAGCTCTTGGAGCTTATGCGTCGCGACGAGCTCAACGTACGCACTGAGGAGGTGATATTTGAAGCCTGTATGAAATGGGTAAAGTACGCGGAGGACAAGCGCTCCGAACTGTTTCCCCAGGTGCTGGCCGCAGTGCGTCTGCCCTTGCTTTCGCCACAGTTCCTGGCGGATCGTGTGGCCCGCGAGGAGCTCATCCGCTCCTCACACCAGTGTCGTGATCTTTTGGACGAAGCCAAGGACTTCCATTTGATGCCCGAGCGCCGCGGCCTGCTGCAGAGCTTTCGTACCCGCCAACGCTGTGGCGAGTTCTTCACGGGGCAAATATACGCCGTAGGCGGATTGGCCAGCACCGGGGAGTCTGTGAGCACAGTGGAGATCTACGATCCCCTGACCAAGAAGTGGAAAATGGGCGAACAGATGTCCATGATGAGGTGGGTGTTGCCGTAAATTATCTATACATACATTTATACCCTAATTAATGACCTCATTTACTGATAGATCTCGCGTGGGCGTGGCTGTGTTGGATGGCAAGCTGTACGCATTTGGCGGTTTCAATGGCACCGAACGCCTCTCCACGGTAGAGGTCTATGATCCGCGCAAGAATAAGTGGTCGCAAGGCTGTGCCATGCTGTGCAAGCGCAGCGCAGTGGGTGTGGCCGCCCTAGATGACTGTATCTATGTGTGCGGCGGATACGACGGTGTCACCTCGCTGAACACCGTTGAGGTTTACTACCCCAAGACCAACACATGGAAGACAGTGAGTCAAGGCCTTCTTCCACGAAGTGTGGGAAAATTGATCACTGTTTTATTTCTCTCTGTAGGTTGCTCAAATGATGAAGTACCGTTCTGCTGGCGGAGTAACGCAACTAAATGGCTATGTCTATGCACTCGGCGGCCACGATGGACTGTCGATATTCGATTCTGTGGAGAGATATGACCAGAACGAGGATGCCTGGGTTAAGATGTCGCCGATGCTTAACCGTCGCTGTCGCCTAGGAGTGGCCACGCTGAATGGTAAGATATACGTGTGTGGCGGATACTGCGGCAACTCCTTCCTACGCTCCGTGGAGTGTTACGACCCTCAAACGGACACCTGGAAACTGGTGACGCCCATGAACTGCAAGCGCTCCCGAGTGGCCCTGGCCGCCAACATGGGAAAGCTGTGGGCCATCGGTGGCTATGATGGCGAGTCAAATCTGTCCACTGTCGAGGTGTATGATCCGGAGACCGACAAATGGACCTTTATGCCGCCAATGTGTGCTCACAGTGGCGGTGTGGGGGCTGGTGTTATTCGGATCGAATAACCCGCAAGGGGCCTCTGGCCAAATCCGATACTCTAGCCACTTTCGTATTAGGTAATTTATGTGAATTGAAGCGATATATAGTCTAGAAACGATTGTTGAGTGTAACCTAGCTTTAGCCGCACCGGGCGTCCGCCACGTGGCAGCTCAACTCAGTTTCTTAAGCTCGTTTAGATCTTATAAAAATGTTCATATATTCGTCTCGATCCTTTTAGTGTTTATATCATTCCAGTTATTTAATTTTTTAGCTTCTACGCCTAGCCTTAAATACTCACTAAAATTGTAAACATGTAATCCTTAATTCAATTTAAATCCTTTAAATAAAAACATGTGTATAGCATGTTGGGAGAAATTTCATTTGTTGGATTTTTTTCTTGCCCCTGGAAAAGGTCATTCCATTTTGTGTGCAATTTTCTTTAAAAGGTATTAAAATAAGCGCACGTTTTTTCGCTTACCACATTTTTATACTTACTTTTGTCACTTTCAATAACTGGGGATTCGCTCTACGTATAAATCAATTGTGTTTCGACCATCCATATGGGCGGCAAATACGTTTTATTTGCTCAACAATAAATGGCTGGCAAACAACAAAGTATTGAACGACAAAAAGTGGGAAAAGCGACGAGGGCAGGGTCAAAAGTTAATAACTCTGAACTTGAACTAGAACCAGTATAAATTTTATTTAAATTTCAATAAATTCGGAATGCATTACTTAATTAACGTTTCTCAGAGTACGTATGAAGATTTAAAGTCTTATGTTGTTACTGCTTAATGGGGTAGATCTTTAGTACAATCTTTTTAAAAACTTCATGATTAAATTGCGAAAGAGACTAACGTTTCTGTGTTATTTGCCAGGTTGGGTATAAAAATCTACCTGTTTCCAATTATGATTACCGAAAATAAAACCCCAAAACGATTGATCTCCCCTCGCTGTATCTCAGTTGGCAATCCTCCATTGCTCATCTCCCTTAATAATTCTGTGGGCCACCCTGTCGCGTAGAGTGCAATTTTAAATTGAATTTGCACCACCTGCTCAATGGAGGGGAGCCAAAGGAATTCGCAGTGCAACAGGTGGTACTACCGCAACCGAAAATAGACGCAATCGAAAACAAAACCAATTTGCTGTCTATCACTGACCCATAAAATGTCATCCGCTGTTGCAAAAGGGCCATAATCCAATCAAACGGACACTTAACCGCCTGCCATTTTCCGCAGTTATCAGAACTCGTGCTGGAGCTGGAGTTCCAGTGACAGATAGGACCTTATCTGGTCCTGTTACCCATTCGCAGCCGCAACGCGGCTATTTACACAAGCGAGAAGGCTTTGCGGCGGTCTTATTTGATTTCGATAATCAAATCACAAATTGCTTGTCTATCGATGGGCAATTTTATTTTAATTAAATGCTAATTATGTTTACCAATGGTTGGTTGGAGTAAATATTTAGTTGCGTCACCAACAGGGGGGCTATGGGTCTCTGGCAATGGGAGTTTATGTCAGTTGTTGCCCAATGATTCAGTTATTTGGCAAATCTGTTAATTGCGGTGCCCTGAGCAATTGGCCATTTTCCGCCCCGAAATACATTGCAATTTAAATGCAAATTTTTTCAGAGCTGCGCGTGTACACTGTAACTTTTACGACACAAAGGTGCCGCAGCTGACAGGATATGCATACATATATATATTTATCTCGAGGAAGGAGGCAACGATAAAATTATGCCAGCAGGAAGCAGCGGTGCTTCCATGGTTAATTTTAGACCGAAAAACTGGCGTTATAGTGGCAACAAACAGAACAACTACTGGCCCCCGGATGTGTGTGTGTGTGTGGCATCCACTTGGCCTTTGCAAGTGGGTGTTCCGGATGTCTTATCTTGAATGCCACTGCCGCGACCTCGCCTCAAGTGCATTGTTGGTGGCCGGGCAGCTTCAAAAGATTTTCAAGCTCTGGCTTTATTTAACCGTCATTTCTGACACACCGCCTTGTGACGCATTTGCCACAATTTGTGCATACGATTTAAATACATTTATTCATTGATTGAATTATTTAAATTTTAAATGTTTAATGTACAGCTGAGGTAGAAAAAATAAAATCTGTTTTGGGGAATTAACCCTGAAAATTTGCTCTTAACGCACCTAGAAACTGTACAATTTTCAAAATTTAAATAACTGAATTATATTATTTGTATTTTATATTATATGTGGACACCTATGGAACACTTTGCAATATACAATAATTGTTTTCTAGTGATCTTGTAAACATTATTCAATATTTCGAATACAAACAAAACTGGAAATGGTATGTTGAATTATAAAACTGTATTTATTATGTATTTACAAATAGGTGACAAGAATGAAGAAGAATCTATTTATTGTTTATAATTTGAAACTTCATTTAACCCGAATTTATTATTGTTGCGGCTGTGTGTTTGCTTACTGAGGACACTAGTTTTGTTTGCTTAATGGGCTCCACCTGTAAATAATTTTAATTAAAACTTTTTTTGGACAAATAGCCGGAACAAAACCAACAATGTGCCAGGTAAATCATAAATATTAAAATGTTCGCAAAAAGTCAGAGAGCACGAAAATAAGCAAAATTGAAATTAATTTCGCCAGTTGGCCAGGCAGTTGGCTGCACCGTTGTCCTTTCTGCTAGCTGTTTTCTCCTTCCTCCTCCACGCTTATATTGCTTTTTTATATTTTTCTCTTTTCGCATTTCGCCTACTTTTTGCATATGTTTTATTCACATATGCAAACAGAATTTCCGTTCAATTCAATTGCTCGTCGAGGAGGCATATTTTTTACTCCGCGCTTTCGGTTTCGGTTGCCCACTGGCATCCCCTCACACACACACAGACACCACAAAGCCCCTGCAGGCCACCCCCACCCCCCCTCGCCAACGCCTCAGTTTCTATTCGACCAATTGTTGATATGCACGAACTCGAGCAAACACACACGCACAGGGGCACGAGCACGTTCGGCTTGCCTTCGTGTCCCGTCGCTCGTGCTTCCTGTTTCGGCTTTATCTCCCATCCGCCCGCCATCTTCCTACCTTGCCATCCGCTGCTTTTATAAAGGTCCGTTGCCGCTTCGATCTGTCGCTCAGTTGTTGCATACTTCTCGGCGCGTTCGTCACGCTACTTCCCAGCTAGAAAGGACAGAAAACTAAAACAAAGAACAGTGAAAGTTAGCTTCAAAAACATCAAATTTCCTTCATTTGTAAGTGAGACTTTGATTTTATTTTAATCTGTCCCTGCATGCATTAAAAAATGTGCTACATGTTTTTTAAATAGCTTTAAGTTATAAAATTGTGTGGCTCTTACAAAATGATCAGAATTTGATGTGTGTTCTGTTTTTTTAAACCGAAAATTCTATGCAAAATATTTATATTTCTTAAAAATATTTTTCTTCATTGAATTTTAACTGGATTTAAAATAGTTAAGTTTTAAATATTTAAATTTAACAAAATAAATTTTATAACTTATTTGAATGTGCAAAGTGATCGCTTATTGTTATATAGAAGATTTTTTATGTGAGGGTCGTTTTATTAAGTCAACCTCATAAAAAATAACAACAAAATATATAAACAAAATAAAATAGATATCTTTAAAATAGTACTATACTATTTTATGCTTAAAAAGCCAAAACTATTTCCCCAATTTCAACATGGATTGCTCTTCGTGACATATTTTCTCCTTTGAATATTATAAATGTATAAGAAAGCGGAATACAAAATAATTACCGCTGTTATCACAAAAATATGTCACTATCATAAACAAAAAGAAAAAAGTTCAGTTTTTTAGGATGTTTTTGGCGGACTTATTTAATATTTCTTAACAGATTTTATAGCCCTCCTGATCTCCTGGGGCTTCTCTTTATTAACGTCGCCAAGTTTTTATGACACCAAATTTTACTATTTAACCATTAAATTTCTTGACCAGCTTTCCTTCAATTTAAAGAAGATAAAAAGAGAAATTTTCACTTAATGCTGCTAAATTCCATACATCCAAAGTGCAGTTTATAATGGGGTCTTTAGGGGATTGCTTGGGAACTACGTGAGGCAGCTGATAATTGTATTGCTCAAAACCCGGGATGAATTAGGTTGACAGTGTGTAAATTTGCCTGATAAGCCGAGCAGATCCTTATTACAATTGGGTGCTAAAAACACACACATAATCAAACTTTTTTGGGACATTTCTCAGGCAACCTGCTTCTTTTGTTTTTTTGTTTTACATCTTTGGGCCCGGCGAGGGCACAAACATTGTTTATGGAGGATGGACGTCATCAATTGACAGCCGGCGGCGAGAGCTAATAAAAAGCAACATCAATGCAGGGAACCAGATTCCGGGAATGGGTATGGCACACATCCGGTGGCCGGGCACGCAACGCCAGCCATTAGGAGAGCACTCGCCCGCAAAGACACTACTGTCCCGGGTCCCGAGTCCGGGGCCTGGAGCCTGGGGGTCCGTGCCACGGATGACATGAGGTGGCGCTTTAAAACTGCCCCTGGGTCTTAACTTGTTTTATGTCAACTCGGACGACAACAGGGCAATTACAGCGTGTGTAGCCAGCAAATACTTGAGTTGCAGCTGCGCCTAAAAGATGCTTTAAAATGTAAGCCACTGCATGTGAGTGTGCCTACCAAGCTTACTAATTAACCCGGCCAACAAGAACAGCAACAACTGGGGCTGCCGGACTCATTACGGGAACCGGAGATGGCCACGCGGGGAGTGATTCTCCGGCCCGTAGCACTCTGGACCAAAATAGCATCCAAACACACAGGTACAGGGCAGGTGGCTAAAGCACAATTTAAGTGAATATTTTATTACAGGTCTAGGGCAGACTGGGGATAGCTAAAATATTTTGAAAACTATTTAAGTTCGTATAAATATTAAAATGTATTCTCAGGAAGAATTGTTTGTTCGATGATGAGAACATTTTCATATTAAGGCCTTTGCCCTTGAAATATTTATGTCGTAGGAAATACAACATACAAACAAAATACATACATTTTAATTCTGCAGTAGTTTAGGGTTTAAAGAAAGACTGTTGTACTATAAATTATTATTCCTTTCCACATTATAAACTTATTTAAATACGGGTTATCCACGAAAGGTTTCTGCAACTGCCGTCTATTATTCCGAATTATAATTTTCAAGATTTTACTATGGATTTATTTTGCCTAAAAAAAGGCTTTCAGACTAGTTTATTTTAGTCTAGTCTTAAATTTGTATCAAAACAAACAAATAACTAAATTAAATATTGAATAGATGTGTATAAAAATAAGTTAATTTTCGAGACACGCACTCATCTATAAATCAGGAGTGGCTAAGAGGACTAATCAGCTAAGAAAGTTCCTTGAACTGATTCAGAGAGGGTACCAAATGAAGTCATAAAAAAGTTTGAGCTACCTAAAATTCAACGAACCAAGACACGACACTTGGCTCGAACCGTGCCTTTGACTGGGATGGAACTCGTCATCAGCGCATTTCTGTAGATTACAATTTCAATCATTTGGGATTAATTTGGCCAAAGCACAAAGGTCACACATGCCCGAGCCTGCCGCTCCGCTGCCGTTTCCTTCCCTGTCGCCGTCTCAGCTCCCGGTGCCCCCACATCTTTAATGAGTCTCTTACAAAAGGATAACGAGGCAGACTGTACGCGTCCGCCCCGGGGTCGCTTTAATGCCTCACAAAGAACTTAAACCGCATAAATTTACATTTAGATCTACATTAACGGATGTTGCATGATGTATGGCGATGGATGCACGTGGCTAAAGCCCTCAGTCGTTAGTCCTCTGTCCTGGACTTAAACGGTTCTCGCGTTCAAAATGGGGGTGTCCCGGAAGTGCAGCTCCAGCGAGGTGGGCGTCTGCTGGTACTCCACCACGACCAAACGATTAGAGCCCACCTTAAGCACTTGTGCTGGCACGTATAGGGTAACCTGTGGCCCCACCAGCGGCCAGTACCGCCCGATATTTTCTCCGTTCACAAAAACAATGCCCTTGCCCCAGCCTGACATGTCCAGATAGGTGTCCGCAAGATCCGACTCCTTCTGAATCTCCATCTGGCCGTGATAGATAGCCGGCCCAGTGCGAAGAATCGTGCGCAGCTTCCGGATTTCTTGGAAACCCATGCGAGCAGCCTCATTTGATTCGGCTATAAGCTGTTCCAGGTTGTCATACAACTCCAGCGGGAACTGAGTCATATTCCAGTTACTCAGCACTTTCTTGTCCAACCGCACGTCCCGGACGATGCCCTTAAAATCGTTAAGCTTTCGGCCATAGTTAATCCGTCCCTGGTTCTCTACCAGAATCTGTAGCTTACGTCCGGCACTGACACTTAGCGCAATGTCAAACGCGGGTATCTCCCGGGCCACCAAACCCACGTACTCCCCATCTACGTAGACATAGCCGCGATCCGATACCCCGGCTACGTTCAAGATGCTCGGATCACGCTTGAAACTCGGTAACCACGTCTCATATAGCACCAAGCCGGAGTACTGACCCAGAGCCTCGAAGGACTTTGGCGTGGCCGACTGCATGAAGCCCGTGGAAAGTCGCTGCCGTGCTTCCTCCGATAGCAGGGTGCAGCAGCTAGTGAGGCGCACAGTTCCATAGGCTCGCTTGGGCACGGGTCCAGGCACCGGGACTTTGGGCAACGGCAGATAGCGGGCAATGATGCGACGCAGGGCTAGGTACTTTGGTGTGGGATCGCCGGCCTCCGTCATGGGTGCATCATAGTCGTAGCTAGTGATGTCCGCCATATAGTTGCCAGGTCCAATCTCATTGGCACCGGCCGTAAAACCGAAATTGGTTCCGCCGTAAAACATATAAAAGTTGACACTGGCACCACTATCCAGCATATCTCTAAAAGGGACAACAGGAATATAATCTGTAGTTAGTATCAGGAAATCTTCATTCATTCATCATTATAAAACTTACTTGAAAGTTTGGGAAATCGATTCCGTGCTGACATTGGCCATCGGTTCTGTCCAATGGGTTAGCCAGCCGGGATAATACTCCGCATTGACCAGCGGACCTTTGGGCTGGAACCGCCTTAGCATGGCCCAAGTAGGCCTGAGATCCTTGGTAGCTCCAAAGTCCATGGTGGCCAGGACACCCTGGATCTTGCCACAGCGTAGAACACTGGGTCCGTCGTTGGTGAAGAGCACCGCCTTACCCTTCACATGGCTCTCGGTCTCGTCGCGCAGCCAGTTGCGGTAGTTGAGATCGCAGGCAAAGTAGGAGCCGTACTCGTTCTCCACCTGAACCATGATGATGGGTCCACCATTTCCATACAGATATGGGGATATCTTGCTGAAGAGCTGCGAGTACCAGATGCGCACCTCACTGAGATAGTCTGATGGAAATATATATGTATATAGGTAGATATAAGTAATTTGAATTGAAGAATGCTTCACTTTATGGGTTACTTACTGACATCCGCTGTGCGAAGTTGAATCCCCGGGAATTTCTTGAGCAGCCAGTAGGGAAAGCCCCCCATGTCACGTTCTGCGCAGATGTAGGGACCCGGCCGGAGAATGACCAGCAGATCCTCCCCCACAGCCAGCCGAATAAAATGCTCCAGGTCGGCTATGCCATTCCAGACATAGACGCCATCGCGGGGATTATGTAGGGACCATTCTACATAACTGGCATAGTTAGAGGGATTAATTTACCTTTCGGATTTCTTAAACAACTAACAAAAACTCACGTGGTAACTGCATTAAGACCTGCAGCTCTCATGGTCCGCAGATGCCGCTGCCAGGTGCCAGGATGAGCTCGAAAATAGTGAAAGGAGCCTGCTATAAAACGGAAGGGTTCGCCATTCTTTAGGAACCGATCATTTTCGTAGTCGACCGTGAAAGTGCGATTCGCTGCGATACCCGGGATAGCTCCCAGCAGCACGAGAGTTCCCGCCAGGAGCCCTAAGCCCAGTTTCATTCTAAAAAAGAATTTCCAGAATGGATTATAAGATTAGGAAAGGATATATGTGATTTAAATCTTAAGATACTTATTGAGAGTCTGCTCTGTTTAGACTTTTAAATAACGTGTTTTTAGTAGAAATAGTAAAGATTGCCTATGAAAATTTTAAAAGACATTTATTAAAGGACATTGACATTCATAATGCTTAGACCTCTTTATAAATTTTCATTCATAAAGGCATAAAAATATCAGATCCTATGGCTTTCCAAATTTAAAACCTTAAAAGTAACTTATTTCAATACATTATTTTCTTGATATCAAGTGTATTGAAAGCTTAGCTTTAGTCATAAATATTCTTAAGTCGCATCTGGGAATCAAACATTTCTCTGGATAAGATAGCAATCAAATAATTAATTCGAGAGAGTATTTACATGTTATATAGGTATTATTTTATAATATTGTTGCACACGTGTAAGATCTCTGCGGTTGTTTGTCTCGTAAAATGTGAGTATTTATTAAACCTGATATTCAATGCTAATTAGGGCACCAGTTTAGTGATCTCGTGCTCCTATTAAATCAGAACTGTGAGCTGCGCATCATTTCTTTAAGTGGTCAGTCTATTTCCTATTTTCTTGCGACATTTCCTGACATTTGGTCTTAGCCCGTTCCGCTTCCTAGGAATTCAATCTAAATCAGTTGAGTTCATCTCGGCACAGAGCTCGACTCGGTTCGCCTGGGAGGCTTCAATTGAAGTTCACGGCTCAATTGCTTAGTGACAACAAAACGATTTAATCTTTTGTTTGTTTTGCTTGCAAACTGTTTGGAATTAATTCCATTTATCCCGGGCCATAATTCAATGCGGGAGTCGAATAAACGAAATATTCGGGCACGTTGCTGCATTCCCAACGGTTCTCATTAATTAATGCAAGCTCAGCCCAAGTCAAGTATTTACTTTGTATACTTGGGGCTAAAATTTCATACGCTAGTATCTGACCTGAGCAGCTGTTTCGCATAATTAATAGATTGTTTTCTTTTATTCAGAACTCGAATACATTTTCTTATGGATTCATTCTTATCGCCACCACGCTTATTTTGTTCTCTTTAACGTCTTCAGGCTAATGCGATTTGACATATGTTTGCTACGTGTGTTTGTGTTGTCTTTTCTTTTTGCTTTTCAATGCGTATTCCCGGGAGATTATTTTAAACTGAGAGTATTTGTCCAGGCATCATTATGTTATTTTTGAATAAACAATATTTATTTAGATGATTCACAGTCCTCTGATGGCTGACCATCAAAATTTGGTGACCATTTTCCGCTTGGAGGAATTTTCTTTTTATTATTTTTGTGAACAATATTTATCGTTATTTGTAATTGAAAATGTTTACACATATTTTAAAGCTTTGTCGGTAATTATAAGCCTTGAAATCGATCATTATTGCACCACATATACAAGAAAAATACAAAGTACATTTCCCAACTGCTGATTACAACTTGTGATTCCCTTCTTGCTATCATTTGATAATTTCCTGAATGATTTAGCCCTGATAAGCTAAGCATAATAATTTCGACATCTCCCTTATATAGGATGTATATTCATATAGTATGCATGTACGGGGAACTTTACAAATGTAAAGTAAAGGCCCCGAAATTGCAATTAACCATTTAATCAAAACATTTCCAATAAAAAACTTCCCCGTTCATTCATATATGTATATAAAGGGGCCAATTGTTGTTGTGCGTAGCAAGAACAAACACATTTTAATACTGATACTGAATCGGAGCGGGATGGGCGACGGGACCGAGGGCATTACATTTTTAAAACATTTGACCCAATTCAATTATTTTGCATACCCCGAAACCCAAACCTATAGGGAATGTACATAGGTAATGTTTACATACACCCCGCTGTGTTCCCCTTAACATTGCTTTTAAAGTGTCGAGAAAGTTAGTTCTGTCGCGCTCATTGACTAGGAGATTTACGGGATCGAATTTCTTGATACTGCGCTGAGTACTCATGGCAAACTCACCTCGCTGATAGCTTGACACTAAGTAGAAAAGGTATTTACTTATTGCTTTGATTTAGAGCAGCGACACAAAAACACACGAAGAAGAACAAAAGCGACTGTTAGTGAAAAATTGTAAACGAGGCTGGCGTTCCGCTTCGAATCCGAACTCAAACTGATCGTGCGTTGGCCAGAAACCCCGCTTAAGTCCAGAACCGAAGACCCGAGACTGGCAACATGAGGCCAGAATAATTGCACTGTACAATGGGACAATCGACCACTTTTTGTGACAATAAATAATAATTTTTAAGCGGTGGAGCCCAGGCAGTTCATGGATGTCCGATGGCCCACAATCCTTTGTCCCATCAGTATGAGCTGACGCTGATTGTTTTAAAGTGAAAAATAATTATGGTAACACAGGGTTATTCCTTTTGGGTCATTGCTTTATTCCCTTCAGTGTAGAGTTATAGTCTTGGCTTTTCATCATATCATGGAAAAGAGCTTCTTCCCGGTCATCCCTATGCATTCGTCAGGGGATGTAATTAAGGTCGATGGGTAATCACCATCACCATCACTTCACCTATCATCATAGATGTTAACAGCGGGGAGGCCGCGGACCGAATGAGGGGAGCGCGACTGAAGTGCCTGTATTTATAGTCCCCGAGGAAGAGAACAGAGAAAGTGAGAGCGAGAGTGAAAGGGTTCCTCAAGAGATGGGCAGAGAGAAACAGTGAGGGACTGAGAATGTGATAGATTTAAAGAAAGAGGGGGAGATAGTTTTGCAGTTTCTTAATTTTTAATGATCGTTTCTATTGCAGCTATTTGATTTAGTTGTCCGATTTAAATAAAATTAATAATATTAATACATCTAAAAATCTTTTTTTAATTGCTTTTGTCAACAAAAACTTTCTTGTTTCTGGCCCATAGTACACTGGCAACATTCGTATTGCAACATGGCGCCGATGTTGAAAGCAGAACTGCAGTTCAAAGAAAATGTAATTAAGAGAATTCTAAAATCGCAAAAACCATTAAAGTTATCTTTAACCCTTTTTTAGTAATTATAGGACACATTTAAATATTTATTAATATTGTTATTATTATCATTAAACAAATGTTTATTATATATTTAAAAGTACGCAATATTCGTTTCTATTTATAATTTATTTGTGAATGGATTTCGAATTAATATGAAATTATTGTACTTTTAAGTTTTCTTCATTTTGAAATTCATTTGTTAATCTGCAAAGTTAACCCTTTTATTTAAAAAATGTTTATTATTTTAAATATAGAGTACTCTTAAAAGAATAACTTTAGCGAATTTATTAAATACTATTATTTTGTTTAAAGCTGACTTTACTGTGGACATGAAAAATCCTAAGATAAGGCTGACTTGGGATCAGTTCCTCTTTAATTTAAAGGCTATCAGTTGAATTTATTTCTGACAAACAGGGTTTTGTCTTTGTATTCCATCAGTTGTTCCCGAAAGATGATCTGGTCAAGAGCATAAGCTCGCAGATCATGGTTACCACTCCTTTACAAATCCTGAGTCCTCAACCAGACTGATATCTGCAAACATTTGACGCCAGAGCAAAACCCCAATTTATATTCCGCCTTTCTCAACTGAGTTGATTGAAAGTAATATACCTTCAGTTCCTTCCGAGAATTCCTCAAGTTGTTTTAGGTTTGAATGATCCGTGTCCTTTAACGGGCCATTAGCATGCCGTAGACACTCAGCCTACATTAATGCAAATTTATTTAAAATATACACGTACGTTCCGGTATTGGTAAAAATTCGGAATTATCTGCATCAGCTGCAGGCCATAAAAAAGAGAGAGTTGATTCAAAAGTACAGTCACGCCTCATTTTTTATGCATTAACTGTGTGTCCTGGTGTTTGCTTTCGGCCCGAAACTCGGCCTCTTCGTATGCAAAAAGGGTGACAGGGGAATGCAGCCGCGGGCAATTGGCCAAAAAGTGAATTTTCCATGTTGTTTTATTATTAATTTCATACGTTCTCTTCTCTGTTGTTCATTCCGGCTCCGTTCTGTGTGCTCCTCTGTTTTCTGTTTTATATATATTTTTTTTCCTTTTTTGGGTTACAATCCGGAGGCCTCTATGTGGGCTAATAGTCCTATTTCGCCCGCCCACAACAAGGAAGCCGAGCTAGCACACACAATGTCCTGGCCGAAATGTAAATCCAGACGTAGGCCGCCTTGGCACGTCTTTAATCTCACACGCCTGTCGGCAGTTTAAAGTGTCCTCCGGGATGTGCACACATACATACATACCGGGGAACACACCGGGGAACATGACGGATGGAGGGTGAAGGGTGGCTTACATAGACAATTAGACAACAGACATGGCCAAGTTAACAGCTTAGCCGCATTCCGCACGCCACCGCATTAAAGCTGGGGCTAAAGGAGAACTAACTATCCTCCGGACTAGTCCTAGTTCGGATCCATTGTCCGACTGTCTGCTGTCGGCTTGACGTCCTGTCGACAGGACGTGGTAAGACGAGCCGGGGCCAGGTAGCTTGAGAACCGGAAGCTCGGCACATTTGCCGCCTGTTAATTCTGCAGCAGCAAAACTTTAGTGGCATTAGTTGAACACTGCACGGTGGGATAATCAAGAAAAATAAAGAAATTCTGGTTAGATATTGAAGATTTGTTAAAGATCTTTAAGGAATAATAATAAACCATACAATTATTAGAAATCCCTTAAGAGTTTTAAATGCAACCTTTAGAATTTTCTATGAAACACCTAACGCATTGTAAGCTTAAAGTTCTACCAACTCTGGCTGATACTTTGACATTTTCCATTGGCTTTTCTACTGGTCTATGTGCTTGTATAATTTGGGATTTAAAAAGCAAAACTTTGGGGCATTAGGCACTTAAGCTTCGCTCTAACGCCAAAGAAAACAAAGCAGAAGGCACAGCAGTGGCGAAGTCATAACATTGATGATGGGGCTTAAGTACTGGGCAACCTGTTGATTGTGGCGAAGCCAGCATCAATTCAATTCAAATGCATGTCGCTAAGTTCAATTGAATTGCTCCAGCATTTTCCGCCGCCCCCAGCCCACCATCCGCCGTGCAATGTTTGCTTGTTTGCGGTTGACGCCGCCGGTGGCAATCAATTGAATTACATGTTTGTTGTTTCCTGTGCACATCGTTAGACGTCGCCACGGTTGTAACACGAATTGCTCCTGTTTGTAGCCCCTGGTTTTATCAAGGAGTCAGATCCAGCATCACCAGCAACTGATGCAGATGCAGATGCAGCCAGGGGCATATCCATTTGCATGGCAATTTGACTTAACAAGGCGTGGCTCTTGCGACAACTCTGCGGCGTAATCATGCATGGCGTCAACTCGTTAAGAATAGCTTCCAGATATAGAAGTTGCACTTGGAAATCAACAGAATTGAAACCTTATTTCAATAGCTTTTCGGTTTATAAATCCCAAAAAGATTCAAATAGGAGCAAGAAACGAATATATATCATATATTAAATATCCCTCTTCAGGCATTAATCTTAATAATACCTATATTTTATTGTAATAAAGGATACCCTTTCGATAATATAATTTTTTAAAGTGCACAACTATTCTGTGAAAGCTTTTGTACATAAACTAATTATTCTGCTTTATAGCTCAACTTTACTGTTCATAGATAAAATCTATAAAATCTTAATTTTAATCAAGAAATTCTTGAGTGTAGCCTTCGCCTTGGTCTGGGAACTATAAATTGCAGCAGCAGCAGTCGCTGTTACAATTTCCCTCGATTGCATCTCGCCAAACGAGCAGCGAAATGTTTGCATATGGATGCTAAAGCCAGCTCAGTTCCATCGCCTTCAACGAAGGAGACTCCTTAACCCATTCCTTAACCCACTCACGCCGCACTCTGGCCCAGAACCCGGCCGCAAAAAAGGTCAAGTAGACGCCGCCGCCGCGAGGCATTTGTGAGTCTAAGTGCACCAAGGCAAATGTATGCAAAACCAAAAAGAAACCAAAACAAACAAAACAGGAAATGAAATGGAAAACATTTTTGGAGGGTTTCCCCCAGGTTATGTATGTATGTGTGTTTGCCTCGTTTTTTCCCTGAGGCAGTTAAATGTTGTAAGTTTTAGAGAAAATACTTATTCATGAAATTTTCAATTGAAAATAATCGGAGTGTATAAATGTGAATAATAATTATAGCCAAGTAAACATATCAGAAATTGTTGTTCCTATAAGTTATACCTTTAAATTATATACAATTTAAGTACTATGCATTCTTTATTAAATATGTTACTTATATACAAATTTATCTCCTAAGATCTATTTGAATTTTTCCGTTTTAGTTTGCTTTTCCAGCATTTTCCTAGAATTTCACTCCCGCCTAAAAGCAGTCAACGTCCAATGCTCAGTCAGAGTGCTTCGATCGCAGTGGCACTGCTGCTGCTGCTCCTGCTGACGGGAACAACGGACGCCGATCTGGAGGCGGATTCCTCATCCTCCTTCTCCGCCAGCACACAACCGCCTGGAGCCGAGGAGACACGCCGCGTGGCCAAACGGGCGCCCACCTCCAGCTTTATTGGGATGCGTGGCAAAAAGGACGAGGAGCGGGATAATGCAGAGGGCAACTGGCTGGCAGCTGGATCCGCACCCGATCCTCTGGACTATGCCGACGAGGATGCGGAAAACTACTACTCCGAAAACGGGCGGCGGCTCAAGAAGGCTCCTCTGGCCTTTGTGGGCGTGCGTGGCAAGAAGTTCATCCCGATAAGTGCCCGCCTAACCGACGTCTTGCAGCATCTGGAAGAGGAGCGGTTGCGGGAGAATCTACTGCAAGACTTCCTCGACCGCCTGGTGACGGGTCAGGGTGATGTCAGCAAGCGTGCACCCACCGGATTCACGGGAATGCGGGGCAAGAGACCCTCGTTTCTGGCCAATGATGAGAGCAGTGAAAGCGAGGCAGAGGAGCCCATGGATCTGCTCCAGAAACGGGCGCCAGTGAACTCCTTTGTGGGAGTGCGCGGCAAGAAGGATGTGTCGCATCAGCACTACAAGCGAGCTGCTCTGTCAGAGGTAAGTAACAAAAGTATATATTCATTATTTTAAAATTCTGATATATCCCTTGGATAGTTAACCTTAAGAAACTTGAAAATCTAATCGCTTTTAGTTCTGGCATAATTTCTTTAAAAAGTCCTACGACATGAGGGGAAAGAAGCAACGCTTCGCCGACTTCAACAGCAAATTTGTGGCGGTGCGTGGCAAGAAGAGTGAGCTGGAGGCGGATGGCATCGGGAACGGGAAGAGAGAGAGCCAGCAGCAGTACCTGGTCCATCCTTGGCTATACCTATGGGGTGATAAGAGGGCGCCTAGTGGCTTTCTGGGCATGCGTGGCAAACGTGAAGGTGAGTTTATATTATGCTATTCTTAAGTCTTTAATTCTGGTTTAAACATATTCATTACTCATTCAAGTGGTTTAAAATATTTTAAATACATTTTTAAATATTTCTTTCAGCTCTCTTAGAGTAGACTTCGCCCCCCAATATGAATGGTCGTGATGGAAGTTCCTCTTAGAGCTACGGAAATAGGCAAATCAAGACAGGATGCAAGCAGGTGATCGATCGATGGAGCAGAGACGGAATCTGGAGAAGGAATACAAAGGGTGTTTTAAATAATCACTGGGCTGGAGATTATTTGAAACATCAACAAACTACACACAAAACAAATCCCACGACTTAATTTCAGCTTAATGTATATTGGAGACTTGCTAATTATGTAATGTATATTGATTGGAATTGAATGAAACTTCAATTAAACTATTTGCATATCTAAGTGTGAACTCTTAATCAAAATTATAAACAACACTAATATAGAACTAATTGAAATGCACAAGGAAAAGGACAAAAAAAACAGAGAAGAGGAAACATTTATTTATTTTCAAGATGTATATTTATTAAACAACTTTCGTTGTGGTACATCTACGTATACAAGAGATATATATACACATACATAAATAGCACAAATGAATATTGTAAATAATGTATGGTAAATAATGAATAAATAATTATTTCACAAGTGAAATCAAATAATTAAATTGCTTTTGTTTATAAGTTACTTTTTTATTGAGTGGAACAGTCAGCTAAAAATATATAAAATTTACATTTTGATAGTTGTATACTCTTCTTAAAGCTTTCTGGATGGTATGGTAATTATTTGGGCTTATATTATAAAGTTTAGGGTAGGTCAACCTGGTTTATGTCTAGTACTTAAGCTGATATTTATTTAAATAGCATAAACAATAATTTTAATTATCTTTCTTAGAAACTTCCTACCAAAGTGAATGTTCTTTCTTTTAAAGAAACAAATATAAATTATCGACATCAAATGTTCTGCTGACACTTCCCAGAATTTAATTTCATCTACACATGTAGGTACAAGCTACAAGTTTGCAAATACAAAACAAAAAACACAAACAATTAGGAACAGCACTGATAATGTTGGAATAATAGAGTGTTAAAGGTTGAGGGAATAACCGAAATCTAAACTGCGCATCAACTTGAAACCAGGTTCTCAGGTAGAACGGATCCAGGATCCTCTACAACAGGTAACTGCTGATGTTTCTTGGAAAATATATAAATTAATATAATATAATTGCTTTTAAAATAATAAAGTAAAAAAAGAGCTAAAGAAAACCTTTAGCTAAGTACTTTGTTGATTAGTGTAGTCTGTCACTTTCACAAATCATACACGATTTCGGCATTTTCCGTGGGTTCATGGTGTGTGTGTGTGTGTGTGCTCCACCCGCTTGGTGCCCCCCACATTGGCGACGTCACCAAAAGTTCTCTCCGTTCTCCAAAGCCTCGTTCTCCCAAGCCACGCTCAGAAAGCTCCAAAGCCGATCCACAGAGCGGAGGCTCCGGACCGGGCCCATGTACCTTATATATAGCAGCTGCTGGACGTTCTTGGGCAGTTAGTTTTAACCTGCGACTCGTGGCGGCAACATCGTCGGATCGTCTCAGCGAAACCAATTACCAATTACCAGTTCGTGAGTGCCCCGTGCTGGTTTCTTTCACATTTCTGCTGGATGGCTCCGAAAGAGACACTTTTGATAGTTCAATTTTCGATGTGCCAATTTTCGTGATACAAGACTGTAATTACAGTGCCCAGCAGTGGTCGCAATTAATGCGTGAAGACAGTGGAAAAGTTTCTCCCCAATCAGTCGTCACCTACATACGCGAGTGCAGCGCTGCGTGGAAAACCTGTATTTTCCGCTCCCGCTCCAGCTGATTCCGCAGTGCAGTGAAATTTCTCGAGCCCATCCAGCTGCAGCAGATACCACTCCAGCTCCAGTAACTTTCAGTTTGTCTCATTTATATTACCAACCTTTTTAGCTTCCAAATTTTGGCCCAATATCGTCACTTGCCAGCCATGCTGAGGCTTTGGGCCTGCCTACTCCTCCTGCGCTCCATCCAGGCGGTTCCATTCTACGGCGAGTGAGTATTGCAAACGGTTCAGCTTTATAAAACTGTGTATTGTTTGTTTCATGCACATTTCACGTAGTTTTGGAACTTGATGGTTAACACACATCGACATCTTCAGATAAGGCATGAATATTATGTTGATCGTTTGCTTAAAATATAATAAACAAAAAAAACACCTAATCTTAACCATGTCATTGCTTTTTTGGTAAAATTAATTGCAAATATATTGAAACAGACTTAATTTACTGTTTATTAAATGAGCTGTAGAATGAATTAGTTTCATTTAAAAGGGTTTTGAATGGAATCATTCAGTGTTCACATTATTATATTTCTCGAATATCGTAATATTTGTGCCCACAAGTTCACCTCAAAAAAGATAATTAATCCGAAATAGAACCGATATTATATAAAGCCGGATCATATATTAACCTTATAAAAAACCTATCATTATAACACCAACACTTCTGAATCAATTAAACAATGAAAACGATTAGCAATCCCCTTAAAAATCAATCACTGTTCATTATATGGTAATAGGTTTTAACGACTTAAGTTAATTTAAAGTCGTAGTTAATAATGTGTACGTCCTGTAGTACCAATTGAGTGCCCCAGACCTAATATTCTTAGAAATATTTTAGAATCCTTCTTCCAATAAATAAGTATTGACTTCCAGTTCAAGTTCGGAAGAGTCCACAGAATTGAAAGAGTCGTCTGGATCCACCGAGTCCTCTGATATCTCCAGGTGAACTATCCGTATTCTTAGCACCCCAAAAGTTCAGCTCCCACCATTTCCCCAGTAGAATTCCACATAAAACCCCAAAGACAACTACATAACAAAGCAAACACCCGTGCACAGAAAGAAATATTTTTAAAATAAATGGTATTATATAGAAACATATTAAATATAATCAATGAATATACCAAAATTTATTCACCATGGTCTAGAGAATAAGGGTGAGCTAATAACACTTCCATATTTGGTAAAATCAAGTTTAAAGGTTTTAAAAATAGAATTTTATATTATAAGAGGATAAAAAACTATATAAATAGTATGATATTTAACGATTTAGTGATAACTCCCACATATGGCTACATCTTTGCTAACAATTTTTGTATGTCCAAGAAGTTTACATGCGAAATATCTTAAACAATCTTTTCAAGTTTCAATATTTGTGCGCGCCAGCAAGTTTAAGGCTTTGCGCGAGCTGACACCCCATAAAAGTTGGCTAATACCACACAGGTAACCGGGTTCAGTATTTTTTACGACATTACCAATCCCCGGACAGCCAGCCCTGTTTGTTCTTGGAGAAATTTCGCCCGCTAAACGAAACTGCAAATAAAGTTGACCGAAATGTTTAGTGCGGTGGCGGCGAAAAGTTCCCCCAGAAAGAAAGAAAGAAAGTCCCAAGCTCTGCCGTGTATTGACCTCAATTGATAAACCTTAAGCCGAAACTGTTGCCGCTCTGAGGTTCGGATTGGATCGGATCGGATTGGATTGGATTGTCTGGAGATTGCCAGCCGTCGAACTGAACTGAATTCTTCGGCACGAATCTGCCGCTTAACCCCGGATCTTGCCGACTTGCATTCATCTTGTCGTTTGCGAAAGACCCTGCATTGCCACAAGAGAACAATGTGCAACCAAAGTGGGGCAACACCGCGGGACTTGGGCAACGCGAAGATCTTCTTCCTCCGATCTGCAGAGATCTGCTCCACACTTGGCTGCCTCCACTGCCAAGCTTAACCTTTGGGTTCAAGCCACCGCAGGGCTCATCTCCGACACGATTCTTGAGCGGCTTTGGCCCTGAAAGAGTAATTGACATTTGACACGTCATTGAGTTGAGGTGGAATAGGAGGAGGAGGAGGAGATGGACTACCCCAAAAGTGTATAATCTGCCCTCGAACTAGGTCACCCACAATTTGTTTTATTTCTCCCTTTTACGCTCTCTAAATGCTTTGATTCTGCCTGTGCCTGCCACGGCTGCGCTTTAATTAAATCAGGCAGCCATTTGGAGGCATCCGCTCTGGCCCCGCGGCACAAACACTTCCCTGGAAATCTCTGATTCACCATCCGAGCCCAGTGCTCACCTTTCTCCGGCTCGGTGTCCAATGACTTTCGCTATGGTGGAACGAGCGGTCACAATTTAGTTTTGTTTACACATTTTATTAGTTCCCTCTACATTGGTTATGCATTCTACGGTTCACATTTGTTTAATGTGCTCTGATTTGTTTACAAATCAATTAGAGGTTGGTAGGAGAGCTGGTAAATATACAATATAAAAGAACTGAATATGAAGGGGTCTTATTTAAACTGTAAATCTTGGTTAATAAGTCTTAATGAAAGTAACTTTATCTAACTTAATTATAATAACTTAAAAAGAAACTATTACCCCTAACCTGGGTTTAGTTAATGAATGATTTAAAAAAAAACTAATTAAAGCTCAAGCTTGCCTTTGTAATCATATAAGACTCAATCAAAATCACGGAGAGTTGATTCAACTCCCATCTGACACAGATTTGTGCAGACTTTGCTCAGACCCCTTTATTTCTTATAAAAAATTGAGCAAAAAAAGGAGGCATACACTCATTGGGCCAATGGCCAAGCCTCAATATCTTTTTTGTCGGCTTAAATCACTTTGAGCCCTAACTGCTCACGTTCCGCCGGGATGAGTCATTCCAAAACCCAGAAGTCCAGAACCACAGAAGTAACTCAGAGTCAGCAAGCGGACAATTTGTTTACGTTTTGCCTTTTCAAGCATTATAGTTTTATTATTAATATATCTGAAGCTTGTTTCGTTTGTTTTTTCCACTTAGCACTTATTACGAGCTTTTTTTTAATTATCAGTAGCTTCCGCGAACCGAATTTTAATGACCCGCAGCGAAAAAATATATGTATTTGATGTCGTTTTGAGGAGGCTTCATAGAAAGTGTCTCAGTCTGAGTCAGTTTCATGGGTATACGAACACCCCTGAGTCTAGATTTTGAATGCATTGAGAGACCCAGAAAAAAACCAAAATCCGTCGACATAAATCTCATTTGATGGATGACATCTGCTGGAACATATCTCAAGTTTCGTTTGCTCGTTTTTTCGGGCACTTAAAAAGTTATTTTTGTTTGATTCTATATAGAGGAGGAGTTCGGACCAACTTAAAATGCGGCTCAGGTAAATGCTGCGCAAAAAGCCAAACAATGAGCACGATCAGCATATATAGCTTATAGAGGAGAACGGAGGTATTTAGCTTTGTAGCTAGGAGTTAAGGAGTTAAGAGCTTCTTTTATGCGAGGCAACAGTGGAGGCATATGAATTATTGTTTCGTTCCGTTCGCCATGGAATTTGCATGAAATAAACACTGAATCAAGACACATATCATGGAATAACGACTAACCAGAACACTCTACACCCACCCGCCGGTTTACAGCTTTATGCCACACCTAACCCACCACCCATTGCCGCTGCATCGCACCCTGTTCGCACCACTAGCACCGCTTCAGCCCCTCCATCCGCTTGATCCTCTCGAGCCACTGCATGCCCAGGCCTCGCAGCGGACGGCGAGTGTGTGGACCGGACCTGGATCCATCCAGGGTCCTGCTCCCATTCCATTGGCCCCACAGCGTCACTCATCTCACCTGTTGCCCCTCTACAGCAGTGGCTTTGATACGGAGTTTGTACCTCTGGAGCACCAGCAGCCGCAGCAACAAGGACGTCAGGAACCGGCTGGCCCAGTTCCAGCTCAGACACCAGGCGGAGTGGATCAAAAACCATTCAGTAAGTGGATAAAAATAATAGTTAAATATATCCACTAGTACTTAGAATCACCTTTATAATTGATTATAAATCTAAACTTTTATTTACCTTTAATGAACTTTAAAAAAATGCATACGAAATGAACTTTAGTAGCCTCTTGAATAAGTAATATTAATTAAAATTGTTATTTTAATGACATTTCCTTATTTCGTAGATGTGGAGACTATAACTACGGATGTGAATGCCCCAAACCCGGCCATATTCTTCCAGCAGCAGTTCCCCTTCTTTGGCAATGAGTTTTTCAACTCCTTCGGAGGCTTTGGCTTTGGTGCTACCCAGGAGCCCTGGTGGAAGGGGTAAGTAAGAGGAATTACTCCTCCACTTGATCTTAGACAAATGCTCCAAGTTATGGTCAGCAAGTAGGTAGGTTCTCCGCCGTCTTTCCTAATCACCGCACACGAGTGATTCTGCTGCTACTCGGTGGGGCTGGGTGTTCTTGGAATTTGGCAATTAAGGGAGCACAATGTCAAGTTCACTTCAGCCATTAAATATATGATTGTATTTTTTAATTGTGTAAAGTTGCTGCTGGGTTGGCTTATCGCCAATGAGAAGGCAATCGAGCATATCAATTAAAATAAATACTTAAATCATTTTCCATCCAAGATTACTCTCCCAAGACGAGGAGGGAGCTTATTATTTGTAGGGTTCGATTGTGGCTTCGATTAATTGCTAGCCAGCTGTGCCAGATATTTGTGTGTCTGTACATAGAGTGTGAATGAATATATAGTAGTAGTGGCATCTATATTGGATAAGTGCACGAATATACATTAAGCTTGTAGAGGCGAGCTTGCACTTTTTTTAAATTGTGAAATCGTCGTCGTTTTCACTGTGAGCGATGAACTCGTCGTCGTTCGTAGTTACAGCAAAATGAAAGTCAGAGATGTGGCAAATTGAAAAATTAGCTGCATAAAAACCTATTTATCTCTATATCTATCTATATCTATATGTATATGGAGGAGAGCTACATCTGTATGTACATACGGTTCACTGGGAAATTTCTAAAAAATAACTCACACAATGAGTTCGCATTCAGAAACAAACAAATACGAATTTCAACGTTGCCATAATTGAATTGATGGTCTGGCAAAGCTGTTGGGCAAACGCGCAGCACATAATGCCTATATAGAAGTGCGGACTGAATGTAGTATAGAAGCTATGCCTTTTCCAGTCGGATCATTGTGCAAATCCATTCAGCAAACACTCGACCGATGATGAACCGTCTGATAAGTGCCTTGGACTAACTTTGATTGGAGATACGAATAGGGTATATCTGGAATCTGGTGGCGCATTGACACTGTGATTTGCATGTGTGACTAACTCATTAGCATTCAAGGCTTGCCCAGGGGGTGTATGAAATAAATTCTAGAAAAATTAGTACTTGGATACAAATATAGCATTTGCTTATTAATTCTTAAATAGTAAAATAGTGCCTCTATAAATAATGGTTACAATAAAATATCAAAATGGAAGACGAACTTTATCTAATTCAAAGGTGCATTGATCCAATGATCTACTCCACTTCCCGAATGATTACCCAATAAGACGAACTTTATCTAATCCAAAGGAGCATTGATCCAATGATCTACTCCACTTCCCGAATGATTACCCAATAAATCCACTAACCTCATCCATCGTTCAGCCCCAATGTGTGCACCGAGAAGGAGGAAGATGAGACCGTGACCAGCGCAACGGAGACTGATGAAACCGTGGACACCTTTGGCCAGGAACGTGACGGTGTCAGCAGCGTGGTGCGCTCTCCGCTCTTCGGTCAGTTCCAGTTCAGCGTGAACTCCTGCGCGGAGAAGCCCAACAAGCACGTCTGCACCAAGATGTAAGATTTGGGGAAACAGGAAAATTACTTATATTAATAAGCTTAGCTAACTGGTTGCTTCTCCTCTTCAGAGTCAATCAGAACGGCAAAAAGAAGACACTGACTCTGACCCGGCAGTGCTGCTATGGCTATGGACGCCCACGGAATGCTGACTTTACCACTCCTTGCGAGAAGATCGACATTAAGGATGTGGAGGCCACGGCCAGTGACATGGGAGCCAAGCAGTTCCTCGAGAGCGCTCGCAGTGCCGGCGAGCTGGCCGAGATGCTGGGCGGAGGCAATGGCAAGAAGGTTACCCTCTTTGTGCCCAATGACGCCGCCTTTGTGGAGTACCGCTCACAGCAGCAGCAGGATAATGCAAGTGAAATTATTTCCAAGAATTTAGTATATATATTAACATTCTTTATAATCAATAGAACGTTGAAGATGCCAAGGCAGAGGCCTCCAAGCCTTCTATCTACAAATTGCACGCGGTGCTCGGGGAAGTGCAGCTGGAGGATGTTCAGAACGAGAAGCTGCTGCAGACAGAGCTGCCCGACCAGATGATCCGCATCAATAGCTACCAGCTGCCGGCTGCTCTGGGCTTGGAGCCCTACCGTTACGCCGCCAACTGTGTGCCCATCGAGAAGCATGATAAGCTCTCCGAGCAGGCTCTCGTCCACACGCTGGGTGGAGTACTCAAGCCGGTGACCAAGAATGTGATGGATATCATCAGGGCACGCGCTGATATGTCCATTATGCGCACTGTCCTGGAGAAGACCAACCTGAGCGCCATGCTGGAGAGTGATCGTCCGGTGACCATCTTTGTGCCCACCGATGCTGCCTTCGACAAGCTGGAACCACATCTGCGCCGAGCTCTCAAGGAGGGACGTGGCTGTGCCTCAAGTGAGTGTAGAAAATGCTGACTTTTAATTAAAACAATAATTAAACTATGTTATTCCTTAGACATCCTGAAGAACCACTTGCTGGACCTCACCTTCTGCTCTCTGGCCACCGTTCCGGGTGCCAAGACAACAGCCTACAATTTGCTGGGAGAGGCTATGCTCCTCAATCGCACTCATCTCGATAAGAATCTGACGGGACCCGCTCCGATCTATATCAACAATCTGGCCAAGATCATAGATGCTGATATTATGGGAACCAATGGAGTTCTGCATGTTATCGACACCATCTTACCAACGGATTCGGCTCTGCCCATGACCTCGCTGATGACACAAAAGAACCTGACCATCTTCCAGCAACTGTTGGATGCCTCTGGCTATGCCGATCAGTTCGACGATCTGGACAACGTCACCATCTTTGCGCCCACGGACAAGGCCCTACAGAACACCGAGTGGGCACGTCTGCTCAAGGAGCAACCGGAGGGGTTGAACAAAAACCAGGATCTACTGGAATTCCTCAACTACCATGTTGTCAAGCCCATGATCAAGACCTGCGACTTGACGGAGCAGTCACTTCCTACGGTATCCGGCTCCAGTGTCCGCCTCAATCTCTACTCCACCCATGCTCTCTTCTCGGACGTGATGAACCGAGCCACGGTGAACTGCGCCCGACTTGTTCACTTTGATGACGAGAGCTGTGGCTCCGTGCTCCATCAGGTGGATCGCCCCTTGGCTCCACCCAAGAATGTGAGTTGTGAGATTGCAATCATGAATATTCAAATAAATTTAACGTCACATTTTCCCCACAGAACATGCTCAAGCTGCTGGAAGCCAATCCCAACTACAGCAAGTTCCTGGAACTGGTGCGCAAGGCTAATCTCACCCAGCTGCTGTCCAACGACTCGCGCAGCTTCACCCTGCTGGTTCCCAAGAACGATGTCTTCGAGGAGCTAACCGAGTCCACCGAGGGATCAAAGCCCTCGGATCCCTTGGGTCTGGTCAAGACGCACATTGTGGAGGACGTAGTCTGCTGTGCTGGCATCATTCCCACCAATTGGCCATTCGTCCGTTCCATTGAGTCCATCTCCGGCCAGCACCTGCGCATCACCCGCGACCGCCGGCCCAAGATCGAGAATGCCGGTGTCACCAAGTGTGATGTGGTGGCCACCAATGGCATTCTTCACGAGATCAACGACATCATCGTCGTCCGCCCCCAGCGGAACCAGCAGCGGCCTCAGCTGATTCCTCCCGGTGCTGGCTATCAGCCCCAGGGTGACTTCGATGTCTTCTTCTGAACTCTAGCTCCCATTAGGGGCTCCCTATCTCAAGCACATGATATATAAAGCATATATTTATATTTACTCTTAACGATTTGTCAATTGATTGGAAGCTATGAAATAAAATAAATAGTATTAAAAAAATTAATATATACCTTTCAATGTTTACAGAGTTTGAAGGGTTTGTTTGTGCTTAGATTAGATTAAACTAGAGGGAATAGGGAGTGAAAATGCATTTATACTGATTAAATATTGTTTTTGTAGTTTGGTTTAATTCATTTAATCTTGAAATTCATTATTCTAGAATGTTCCATGGTCCTTAGGTTTCTATTATTCCTATACTTCGTCAAGATTCCTCCCATTATAAAACTTTCCACTAAAGCATTTCAAACATATGATTTGATTATATTTCTTTGCTTTGATTATAGTTCTAGATTCTAGAGAGTGTAATGAAGAGCAGTTCTTATCTCTTCGATAGCTTATCGCAAAGAGCAGGCAACCAAGAGAAAAGCATTTGGGTTTCCAACTATACTAGTATTCTCTCTCGCCCTCACAATTTCTAACACTATTGGAACGGCCCATCCCCCCAGAGAGCGCAGCCTATAAAAGCGCTTTATTCTCGGTCAATTCTATTCATTTGCACCTCGTACACTAAACGGATCAAGATGTCGGGATCTCTGCCAGCCACCTTTGTCAAGGGCTTCCACGATGAGGAGCAAGTGCGTCGCATGGAGTACCGGGATCTGGGCAAGACGGGCCTGCGAGTCTCCACACTAGCACTCGGTGGCGCCACTCTGAGCAATCTCTTTTTCGACGACTTTGATCGTGAGGAGGGCATCCGCACGGTGCACGAGGCCATCAAGTCTGGGATCAATTACATAGACACCGCTCCCTTCTATGGCAAGTCGGAAGAGCTCCTTGGGCAGGCACTGAAGGATGTGCCCCGGGAGGCGTATTACATTGCCACTAAGGTGGCGCGTTATGAAATGGATCCGAAGAAGATGTTCAATTACACAGCCGAAAAGGCGAGGGAGAGCGTGAAGCGGAGCCTTAAGCTACTCGGCCTGGACAGAGTAGATGTCCTGCAGGTGGGTTTTGCCATTTAACTGGTTCTGAATCGATTTCAAGTGACTTTCATTGACAGGTCCACGATGTGGATGCCGCACCCAGTTTGGACATGGTGTTGAACGAAACCATTCCCGTTCTGGAGGAGTACGTGAAGGCGGGCAAGGCCCGTTTTATTGGTATAACCGCCTATGATGTGGACATTCTAAAGGAGTGCGCCGAGCGAGCCAAGGGTCGCGTCCATGTGGTGCTCAACTATGCCCGCTACACTTTGCTGGACAACACACTTCTGCGTTACATGAAGGACTTTGAGGAGCTGGGCGTGGGCATCATCTGTGCCGCCGCCCATTCGCTGGGTCTGCTGAGCAATGGTGGACCTAAGGCCTGGCATCCGGGCAGTAAGGAACTCCAGGATGTGGGTAAACGCGGTGCCCAGTTCTGCCGGGAGAACGGCGTGGAGCTCGGCAAGCTGGCCATGTATTATACAATGCAGCTGGAAGGAGCGGCCACCTTCCTCATCGGCATTCCCAACCGGGAGCTGTTGCGGATCAATCTGGCTGCAGTCCGCGATGGCCTTACCCCCAAAGAGCAGGAAGTGCTAAAGTATCTGCTCGAAAAGTAAGTCTGCAGCCCGAACAGGGAACTGTGCAAGTCGGACTGTCGGATTTGGTGTTAGCAATTGCATCACGGGCACGAACTTGGCCTCGGTGTGGCCAAACTGGTTGCTGGACACCCAATCCAATCCAGTCCAATCTCCAGTCAAGTCCACTATACATGTATCTCTATTTCTGTTTTCAGCGTTTTCACCAAATCCTACAGCTGGGGCTCCACTCTTTCCACGGTTAATATGTTCAACTAAGTGGTGATCGGAACTGGCATCCCATACTCAAACATGGTTGAATTTTGAAACGCAATCGGAAGAAGCAGGAAGATCGGATTTAGTCAAGCTTGCTTGATAATCTTATAAATTAATCTTATAAAATAATGGATTAAATAACATTATTAATACCAATCAACTGTCTTTTCTAACATTAAATGTCATTGAAGTGAAGCTAAGCTTATTTGAAGTCTTGCTTAAATGCTTACCAAACTAATAAGCTATTTTATGAGGTAAATTAATTAATATACTTGACCCGGCTCTTAGTATATATTTATACTTCATAACAAATTAATAAATATGTAATGCAATAGTATAAACAAATTTTATTTTTATCTATTTAAAGAAGCATATCTTTTTCAAGGCACTCCTAGATACAATTTAAATAAAATAATATAAAACATATAATATTTAATTGTATATTTACACAATATAGAATTTGTAAGTGACTTGAATGTCAATTTCAAGATAAGCTTGCTGATTCAGCTGTTAATCAGGTTTATTTTCACTGTTTATAAAAAGGTATTTATACTTATACACACACACATCTTACGTAATTGTATTTTCTGCTTTATTTTTATTTGTTGGAATTTATTTGTTGACAAAAAACACTAACCGCAGCCGGCTTAATTTACTTGTTAAATTGCATTTGTTTTTACTGAGAGAAGCAGAGAGACAGCTTCAAACAATTGAGAAAAGAAAAGCTTCAAGAGAATGTAGAATTCTTTCCAAGGCGTCGGCTTTCCAATTAGCTCTCTTTAACAACACCCATGCTCTCTTTTTTTTATATTTTGATTAGTTTGTTGACAATAAAATCAACTAGATAAGTTACGAGCTGTTAGACGGCCTGAATTCAATAGGTTTATTTTTAATCTTCCTCATATATTGTAAAGCATATTTATAATGCAACCTTTTGAAACCGTCCCTGTATTCGCTCTTACCGACTTGCTGATAAATATGCGTTCTCTGATCTACTAAACATAAGCTAAATATATGGCAATCTGTAGCCAGTACTTCTCTGACAGTCCATTGAATTTCAACAGAGTGCGAAATAAATTGAGATCATCAATAATGTCTGGACGATTGCCGGCTACCTATGTGAAGGGATTCCACGACGAGACAAAGGTGCGTCGCATGGAATACCGCAAGCTTGGAAAGACAGGCCTGGAAGTCTCAAAAGTCTCTTTCGGAGGCGGTGCCCTCTGTGTCAACTACGGGTAAGAGTACTGATCAAGAACAACATCTCTTTAATTGAATTAAAGCTCTGTGCTACGATCAGAGAACATATGTCCAGCTAATGGAAATATTACTATTAGGATTAATACATAATGTTGCCTATTTAAAATTCCATATCATATTAATTAAAATATAAAATAAATAACTCCCAGTAATTAAATTTGAGGTGATCCTTAGCGAAGTTAAAGCATCAATAAATAACGAGGGCCTTTAGAGTTTAAGGAATTTATTTAAGTAAAGTTTAACAATTACTACTGCCAAATGACATACTCTTTTCCAAATTCTTTCTTTATCTGTCTTTACATTTGAATTTAAATGTTAGATCCCTTTTATTTATATTTATATTTAAGCTACAAATCAAAATTAATAGTCTTGTCTTAACCCCTGTACAGCTTTGAATTGGAAGAGGGTATTAAGACTGTAAACGAGGCTCTAAAATCGGGCATCAACTACATCGACACCGCTCCCTGGTATGGCCAGGGTCGCTCCGAGGAAGTACTAGGCCTGGCCCTCAAGGATGTGCCCAGGGAATCCTACTATATTGCCACCAAGGTTGCGCGCTATGAGCTTAACTATGAGAACATGTTCGATTTTAGCGCCAAAAAGACCCGCGAGAGCGTGGAGAAGAGTCTGAAGCTCTTAGGTCTAGACTATGTGGATGTTATCCAGATCCATGACATCGAGTTTGCCCCAAACTTGGACATTGTCATTAATGAGACGTTACCCACGCTGGAGCAGCTGGTCAAGGAGGGCAAAGCGCGATTCATTGGTGTGTCTGCCTACCCGATTTCGGTGCTCAAGGAGTGCCTGACCCGAGCGGCGGGCAGATTCGATGTAAATATAATATTAATTTAAATTAAACTCATTAATTTAAAGTATTTTTACCCAAATATTAAAGACTGTTCTCACCTATGCCCGATACACGATGATTGATAACACGCTCCTGGAGTACCTGGACTTCTTCAAGTCCCAGAATGTGGGAGTCATTTGTGCTGCCGCGCACGCGCTTGGACTTCTGACCAATGGCGGACCCCAGCCATGGCATCCAGCCAGCGAGGAGCAGAAGGCCATCGTCCGAAAAGCCTCCGAGGTGTGCCAGGAGCGAGGTGTGGAGCTGGGTAAGCTGGCCATGTTCCACACGATAAACGGATTACCGGAGGTGAGCACCGTCCTCGTGGGCATGCAGACGCGTCAACTGCTGCGGATCAATTTGGAGGCCGCCGAGGTGGGATTAAGCGATAAGGAGCAGGAAGTGCTGCAGTATCTGGGAGAAAGGTGAGTGTGCGACTCGGAAGTTGGCCAAAAAGAGGCACAGCGAAAATTGTGCAACTCGGATACAATGTTACCATTACATCACTACCACTTCCCTGCGGTTGGGGGTCCAGTCCATACAACTATGTGTGCATGATCATTGTCAATCTTGGCCATCGGTGCAGTAGGCACCGCCAGACGATTGCCTCTCTTCCACCGTCCGTCGATTACTGGCCACTTCCCTCTGCTGGTGGTTGAACTTGTTGGTCTCTCCACTGGTTTTTCGTTCCCATTCCCTCCCTCCTGCTGGTGAGCTTCGTGCTTCACAGGCCTTTCGAGTATTTGCTGCGATTTTCCACCATTTTCCTCCACACCTATCTGTTTTGGCTAATTTTCACGATCCTCGCTATTACTGAAGGCATTATGTAAAATTTGTATTTTCAGTGTTTTGACTAAACCTTTCAATTGGGAGGGTAACGAACTGGAGCGATACTGGGCAGCCATCAAGAAGAATTAATCATCCTTAAAAGGCGGACCCTTTTATGTTTAATAAACTAATAAACAATACAGATTTTCATACTTTAAATTAATTTTGTTTTCTTTTTAACCCGTGCGACCTCTGAAGATGGTTTTATTTTGCCCTAGAAATGAACTTGAGATAGTTTGCTTTCGAAAGAGGAAGCTGATAAAAACGTATCAGTTGCAGATAGAAAACCAATAATAATCAATAAGCAAAAAGCACTTGCCAAGAATGTGACATAAATTATAAGGAAATAGTGATTAAATTTATAATATGAGAATATATTAGAAAGGTAAGGTATATACAGAAACATACTCTAACAACACTAAGAAAAATAATTCGGCAATTAATTATCACCAAAAGAATAGTTCCGAATCATGCTCTTTAAGGAAAATATTAATAAAATATATTTGTAGATACTTAGATTATTATTTTCTACAAATTCTACAGACAGTTCGTTTATATCTAGATTTATGAATTCATAACTTAACTAAATTTATCAATTGAACTCATAACTAATATTATAATTTATTGTTACTAAAAAATACAAGATTACTACTGATTTTATTATTAAATAGACTCAAAAACTTAAAACAGCAAACCCTGGTATGGAAATGTGCAGGCTTTGGAGAGCCATAACAACTTAATCATGTCCAGCTGAGTTTCCACGAAGCTTTTTTTTTGGCCACTTCCACCTTTCGCTAGGCATGGCCAGGCCCGAATCGCTAACTAATTACGCTTTAATTAACGCAATAAATGAAAAACAAAAGATGTAAATAGAGACACAAAGGCAAGCGGGAAAGCAAACAAAAAGCCGCAAGGAAAACCATTGCACAAAATTATTAAATTTGTTGCATGAAGGAGAACCGAATCGAGGCGAGACGAGACGAAGCGAGAGTCGCAAAAACGGGGAAGTTTAATAACATTTTGAATAATGAACGCCAACAAAAACAAAAAAAGAAAAACAAAAAAACTGATTGGATGAATGCAGCGCTAAAAATGCGAAACGAATGCACAGAGCAAAGATCCACATGCCACACGCGAAAAGCGGAAATGTCTTTGGAGCGAGATGCCGCATTTTGTTTTCCTTAAACTGACGCTTTAAAATAATGTTTCCATACCCTGTCAGAAGGTGTTATTGTTTTTTATTTTCATTATATCCTTTCAATTAAAATTAAACCAGCAAAAGTGATACACTTACAAGTCTTTGATTCTTTTAAAAGCATGCATATGCACATGTGTTCTTTTGGAAAGATAACTTATTTGTTGATAGCCAATTAATGATAAATTAAGATATACAATTTTATGACTTTTAATTAGTGACAAGTAAAATATGAGCTTAATGCTTAAACTCAAAACTAACTTTACAATCATAAACTAATTGGATTATTCAGTATTACAGAAAGAATTGATACACTATTCAACAATAATAAAATTATATTAAAATTGTATTATATATTCTTGGCCAAAACCATCAAATTAAAGGATATCTAATGCTTCGACTTCCAAAACCTGTCTTTGCTTATGCTTTTCTTTGGCTTTTTCGCTCGGCAATGCCAATAAATTTTCATCTTATCACGAGTGCAGTACAATTAAATATTTTTATGCTCAGCTATTGACCAGATTCTCACTCCCTCTCTTTCTCTGGAGCTCACCGCTCTCTTAGGCCATCTCTTTCGTTCGCCAGCTGGCCATCTCTTTCTCTGAGCTTTTGAGCCGCGCTTATATGCGCTGCGCAGCCGCAGTCGCTTCGTCACTTCGAATCTTGGCTAGCAGCTGTTCAGACGTGTTCGGAACCCAGAAAATCGCGGCTCTTATATCTAAAATTTTTGTTAAGTAATACTGAAGAGTGCACCATGTCGGGATTACAGAATTGCATTCTCCTCTTGATGGCCTCCAGCTTATTGCTGGTCGTCTACGTGTCGGCCAACAAGCAACAGCAGCAGCGCCAGCAGAACCAAGGTAAGGAGCTCCCAGGAAAAGGCAGGTGCAACTGATTCATCCGTATTGGGAGAGGAGTCTCGGAGAAATTTTCAATGCCAAGTGCGAGTTCTTCTTCTGCGGGCTGTTCTAGCCGGGCCAAAATAAACCAAAACCGGTTGTGGGAGCTCAGTTATGCCGGCGACTTCCTAAAGATGAGTGAACCCTACCATTTGTTGTACTTCGATGGGCATAGAGTTGGATGTAACGGTTGCTTCTATAGAAAGAAAGTTTAAATTCGGTTAAAAGATAGTCGTAAAATAGTACCAGGTTTTCTTGCTGTGGAAAATAACAGAACTAGGGAAAATGTGAATTGATATAAAACTTTTCAAGAAGTTCTGATGAAGAAAATCTATAAAAACCCTGTTTTTTCCAAATCCGTCCAGCTGTAAAAGTAAAAGTTACTCGTTAGGTAAACACCAACTAGTTAACCATTTTTCATGGAACTTTTCCAACTCTTTCGTAAATTATCAACCAAGTCGACCTTCTTTAAGACCTCTTTGGCAAGTCGTTTGAAATACGTTTATTAGCTCATCGGAAACGGTCACTTACTTTGGTTAAATGTCATCCAAGAAAATCGTTTATCTTGTTGCAGAAATCTGGGAACAAGACCTTTCGGACACCTTTAAGATTGAGGGCAGTGACCAGGGTATTCAAAAGGTGAACCTTAAGTGTGGCGCCGACTCAATGAATGTAGTGCTGGAGACGGAGAAACCCTTCACGGGCGTGATGTACACGCGTGGCAGCTTCTACAAACAGACGCCGCCGTGCTTCATGAAGCCCACTGCCAGCCAGGGAGCTCGCTCCTTGGAGATGAACTTCCAGCTGGATCAGTGCCAGACGCTGCGTGAGGGAGACCTCTACACCAACATCGTGGTGATCCAGAATGATCCAGAGCTTATTACGCCCGGGGACTCGGCCTTCTCGCTGGAGTGCGACTTCCGGCAGCCGCGCAGCCTGGATGTGGAGGCCAGTATGCAGACCAGGGACAGGTAAGGTGGCGGCACTGAGTCCGGAGCTCTTGATTACAATCTGATCTGCAATAGAAATCCGCAAAAGTTGCGCGGAGCACGCGGCGGAGCCCGCCAGCGCCAATAGAACCCTTCAACTACTCTCAGATCTTCCCCCTTCGACTACCAGCACCTCCAATAGCTGTACATAAGGTACAAGAGAGATGAGCCCATTTATTTATTGCTTTTCCAAACTAAAATCGAGCCTAGTAGAGCGCTATACTAACCTTTAAAAAAGCAACACAATACAGGTGCGGTCAAAATAGTGGGAAAATAGTAGAAATCCAAAACCATTTGAAACCGTGATAGTTAAGAAAAGTTCCTGAAGTTTAAATATCTCAAAGTTTATATAATTTTTTGAGGCAAGGATATAAATAGTCAAGACTTTTAAAAGACTGATTCCTATTTAGATACATTTTTCATAAAAAGTTTAAAACTTTAAAACAATTCCAAATCATAATTCATATCTTGACTTCCAAATATTACTTTATTGTTTTAAGAAATAATATTTCCCTGTATATTTAGATCTTAGATAATAACTTTGCAGACAGATATATTTTTTGGTCTATCGTATTTTGACCGCATAATTATGGTACAAACTCACAGTTCCACATAAAAACCCAACTGCATACATTCCACAGAGTGGCCACTGGCTCCAAAATCACACTCACTAGTCCCGATCCCGCGGCTCCCACGGAACATCTACACAACTCGGTGGTTAGCAACAGCGACACGGTAGAGTACATACCAAAGTTCAGCAGGCCAAATAGAACCATACACCTGGGCTCCGTCGAGGAGGTGGAACTGCCCTCCTCCGGACATTCCCGCGACGAGCTCTAGGGACACCTCACTGCACTCTGCACGACACAAACACGACCAAAACACAATCACAACACTTGAAAAACACTTCAGAGTACAGGTGAGACAACAGGACACGCTTTTTTGTTTGCCATCTATTTTTATACTTAATTTTCTTTAGAATAAATAAATTTAAATACATTTCAATATCATATCCCTGAATTATTCACAGGAAAGTCGCTCAGAATGCAACGGAAGCACCAACGGAGGCGAGTTAATGGCTTTTGAGCGGCGAATGCACTAACACCACTTCATGTATTTTCATTTAAATGGTTTTTCATTTCCTGTGATATTTTTTAAGTTTTGAGTTTAATAAACATTTTGAAGAAAAGCGCAGAACTCTTGAAGACAAATTTGAAATTTTATTTAAAATCAAAAAACGGTTGTAAAGGTGTGACCAATCGTACTAAAAGTATTTAAATATTTTGGTATATTTCAGCCGGGATTTTTGGTATGTTACAATGCCCCACTAGTGGTCATACCATATTTGCAAAACTTGAAAACAACGAAAAATAACAACTAAAACTAAATAAAAGGTGGATTAGACGCAAATTAATTGTTATTAAAAGAGATTTGACCTTGAGAATAGCGGAAAGTACCTGGGATTCGCTATACTTAGCCCTGAAAGGGTGTGCAAGAGTCCGTCTGGCCGAATTTATTTTGCACTGCCCACTGCGCAGTCCCAATTTGACGAATTGCACAAAGAACAAATTTGTAAATCGAATTAAGCGAACGCCTGTGTCATCCAAAAGAGAATTAATTCCCGCTGCAGATGGATCATCGTGTTTTCCTGTCGCTGATCTTTGTGCTCAGCGGCACCTTTAATGTCCTGGTGGTGAAGTAAGTGTCGGGATATAAGAATATACTTTGGAACGAACTAAACAAATATGCATCTGCCTGTGCGTGTGCATGTTATTTCAGATGGGCCAATCAGCAGCAGGTGATTGGGAGCGATGGCAAGCTACACGGCTTCCAACATCCGGTGGTCTTCACTCTGCTCATGTTTCTGGGCGAGTTTCTATGCTACCTCGCCTTCAAGCTGATTCGTCTGATCTCCAGCCGCCGCGGGGTTAGTACTGGAAAAGCAATTGGGCCTTGATTCTTTTTAATCCAAATGCATCCCCATTCTATAGGCAAGCACCGAGCTGGACAGCATTCTGGCTCATGGAAGCAACGAGTTTAGTCCCTTGAGTATGCTTCTGCCCACAGTGTTGGATGTAGTTGCCTCCATACTTCTGTTTACCGGCCTGTACTTGACTTACGCGACCAGCTTTCAGATGATAAGAGGTGCGTCTATCACTCGTCGTTTGTCTCACTTATCTCCGCTCACTCTTGCTGACTCATCTTCTCCACAGGCGCTGCACTCATCTTCGTCGGCATTTTTAGCACCATGTTCCTGAACCATACCCTTACCTCCCGTCATTGGCTGGCCATCTTCACCATCACTTGCGGACTTCTGGACATTGTTTGCCTGGACGTTCAACGCGTTGATTATGATAGTGTTACCCTGCCGCATACGGATCACAAATCAATACTGACCGGGGATATGCTTATCATCATTGCCGAGATCCTGCACGGTCTACAGTATGTATACGAGGAGAAGCAGTTGAAGACGTCCAATGTAGCGCCGCTACAAGCCGCCGGGTGGCAGGGCATCTTTGGTCTGATCATCACCTCGCTGTTGGCTGTTTGCCTTCACTTTTTGCCCACCATGAATCCCTTTAACGAGAGCTCACGCGCTGTCTTTGATGACTGGGGTGACCTTTTAAGTGGTCTCCAAGGCAATCCAGCATTAATCATATCCCTGATCGGATTCACCATTTCGTGCGCCCTGTACAACTTCGTGGGCCTCTTTATTGCAATGTACTCTTCCAGTGCCAACCGGTTGCTGGCCGATGGTCTGCGCGTGTACTTTATCTGGGTGTTTGTCATCGTCATGGAGTGGGAGTACATCAACTTAATCACCATTATGGGCTTTATGATCCTGCAAATGGGCATCATCTTGTACCGTCAGGCCCTGTTTATCGACTGGTACCGATCTGCATTGGCTCGCTGGCAGCGCGCTCGCTACGTGGATTTGGGTGCCGACAACACGGCCGTTCCAATAGCCGGCCAGCGGATGTGATCTAGGCACGCAGACAGGCAGCCGGCGACAGTGAAGAAGGACTGACAACCGTACGCGGTGGATTGTGATATGAGAGATGGGCTGGCAGATCATCCCTGGGTTGATTCAAAAAGATTACTTATCGATTGTAAACGTTTAAATTAATAGATTTAATAAGAAAGTACATAAGATGTTTCTTGAAAATTCTTGCTCAACAAATTTAAATTTATTCTTTGTTACCCTGTTGCACACCTCTGCTACACCGATTTCTTTCGTTCGATACCCAATATGGTCTCCCCCACGCCTAGGAAGTAGAACATCTGGGCGATCCCAAATAGGGGGCCCACTACCATGATCCGGCACAGACCGCCCTTGAAAAATGCCCGCACACCCTCATTGTTTAGCGTCTTGCGGACACAGTCGACAATGCCATCGTATTTCTTGTCGCCTGAGGCCTGCAGGCGGGTCTTGATAACGTCGAGCGGCGTCACAGAGAAAGCCGACGTTGTCCCAGCCGTAAGTCCAGCCAACAGAGACCAGTAGAAGACGGCTTCACCAGAGCCATCTGCCTTTCGTGGGCCCTGGTTGTTAATTATGGCCATCAGCGGGAAGTAGATTACCGAGAACGTGACATCTCTCACTCCAGTGGCACCCACACCCTTGTATAGTCCAAAGATGCCACGTTCCCGGACAAGCTGCTTAGTCAGGCTTAGGGTTGTGATTTTCTCAACCTCTTTCCCGGCTGCGCGGGCATCTGCGGCTACGCGACCAGAGTCCTGCATCTGGATCTTAAGCAGCTCCATGGGCGTGGTGACTACGATCTGGAACAGACCGGCCAAGCCGCCGGCTAGCGCTGCCCTGGGCAGCGAGAGACCCCCCTCATTGGTGGCCAAGTGGAAGCGAAAGTAGTCGTTGGCAGTCAGTTTTATGGCCTTCTCGGGCGTGACCAGCAAGATGTTGACCGTCGATCCACGGTACATCCCAAAGAAGCCCTCGCTGGCAATTGTCTTCCGGAAACAATCGGCGCTGGGGAATAAGAGATTGATATCCATTTGATAATACTAAAAACTCTTTCCAGAACTCACATGCTGGAGTACATGCGTTCGCCATTGGGTCCAATCGCTTGGTTCTGCAGCCGGGTCTTGACCAGATCCAGTGGGTAGACACAGGAGACTCCAATGATTCCGGCAATACCTCCATTGATGACCTTTGGCAAAATACTGTAAGGGATCCACACTGTGGATGGGTTTTTAACAGGGCAGGAAACTTACTTAAATTGTGTTGACTTTTTTTGATCACTCTGGCCCATGGCGTGCTCCAAAAAGCCAATTTAAGTATTTTACATATTTATTTAATGTTATTAAATATATTTCGTTTGTTCATGTCTGACGTTTTTGATAAAGTATACATTGGATTTAGTCATGTTCTGGTTGCTACTAAAAGTTAAACTTTCGCCTGGCAGCAAAGGAAAATGCATTATTAATACAATTTGAGGCAAAACGTTCGTGGTTAGCTGCGGATTGCTCTGGGAAGTACACAGAGAAAGTGCCCAAACACAACAACAATTATAAACTCCACTACTAAACAAACTATACACATAATATAAGCATGGATTTTGCAACATCTTATTGTCATTGGGAGCATCAGTTGGTTATCTTCTGCCATGGTCTGTTATATCTTTATATATTGAGTGGATTAATGGGACTGGGAGGAACTTTAACAACTGCATATGATAGCTTTACTGTCTAGTGTGTGCTGACTACAGACTTTCTGACTTTACAATTACATTCATGGACAGCTTTAACAACATTTAAACACGATATACACATTCAACATTTAGAGAGTAGACTTAAAATGCTTCTGTCTTTTCATTTCTCTACTTTTTTTGCACACCCAGCAAACCCTCGGCCACACCCAAATAGTAGACCGTCTGGGCAATGCCAAATAAGGGAGCAATCACAATCATTCGGCACAGACCGCCCTTGAAGAAGGCCGTGGGACCCTCATGCTTCAACGTTTTCCTGTCGATTGTACAGTGATTAGAAGATGGAAACTTGCAAACGAATATATACACTCACGTGATGCAATCGGATATACCCTTGAACTCCTTCTCGCCGTCGGCTTTTTTAATCGCCTGCAGGCGCGTCTTGACCACATCGAAGGGATTAACCGCCAGGGCAGCGGTGGAGCCCGCAGCCAAGCCCGCCAGGAAGGAGCACCTGCAGGACGCAAAAAATGTAAATTATAAATTTAATCTTTAAACAAAGGGGATAAAGAATACCAGAATACCGCCTCGCCAGAGCCATCATTACGGCGTGGTCCCAGATCATTGAGCGTAGCGAACAGTGGGAAGTAAATGACAGAGAAGGTAACATCACGCAATCCTGTGGCTCCGATTCCCTTATACAGCCCAAAGATGCCCTTCTCCCGCAACAGCTGCGTCGCCAGTTGGGTGGCCGACACCTTTTCCACCGACTTTCCAGCAAGTTTAGCCGCCGCCGCCACTCGACCAGCGTCCTGCATCTGGATCTTAAGGAGTTCCATGGGCGTGGTGACAATGATTTGGAATGCACCGGCCAGACCGCCGGCAACCATTTGACTCGTCAAGGGCAGTTTGCCATCCTTGGTGGTGAGCTTGTGGCGGAAGTAGTCGTTGGCAGTCAACTTGATGGCCTTCTCAGGAGTGATCAGCAGGATGTTCACGCCAGAGCCGCGGTACATGCCAAAGTATCCTTCTGCAGCGTACGTCTTGCGGAAGCAATCGAACCTGGATTGGGGTTTAAAGAATTTTAGATATTTTACCATAACACTAGGCATGAATCGGTTCTACTTACATGCTTTTGTACATGCGTTCTCCATTGGGTCCGATTTGCTGGTTCTGCAGCCTCGTCTTGACCAAATCCAGGGGAAAAACACATGTTACACCAATGATTCCTGCTATGCCACCGTTAATGATCTTTGGCAGCAGGCTAAAATCGCAACAATATTGTATATTTTTAACAGCAAACTTAAATACAATGTTTTAGTGAATATATATTCATAGATACAAATATTTAAGTTATATTAATAATTGAGTTCTTTAATAAAGTGGATAATTATATGGTTTACTATATTATTTTAAAACTAAAACATCTTGAAAATTCTCTTAGTTTGAATTGTAGAAATTTCTTTCAGTATCTAAACTAACTATTTTATCAAAGAAATATTAAATTCCTTTAAATCGTACCCATATGTATGCGACTATACAGCATCCTTGTAAAATTTAGAAAAGTGTAGAATTTAAAAACTTGGTACATGGTTCAGAATTTTGCTTGATTTTTATAAATATTTCTTTTAAAATCGTAAGAGAGCATAAACTAGTCGGTGCTGGGATTTGCACTTGGCTAATTGACAAATATTTGCCCTGCGTTAACTTTTGCATTTGCTGTGCATGTGAAGTGGCGGCAATAACAACAAAATGTAAACAATGCTTGCTTGGATTGGCTTTGAACTTGGCCCACTTCACCGCTCTAAAGGTTCCTCAATAATTGGACTATCAGCCGAAGAAGATCAGCGGAAAGGTCAAATGGGTTGCCGCCCGTTAATAACAAACAAATATTTTGGGATGTCTGCCAACATCAACATCACAGTCTGTGTATATAGGATCGAATATATCTAGACTTAGCTTGGGTCTATTTTCGTTTTGCAATTGTCAGAATATATATACATATTTGCGAGAGAGAAGCAAAAACAAAGTGTAAAATGCAATCATATTATGTCATAGTATTGCTCTATCTATCTGCCTGTGGTTTTGCCCTAAATTTATTGAATTGGGAGTGGAGGAGGTCGCTCGATGGGAGGAACGGGAAAGGAAACTAGTGCCAAATTGTCTGTTGGCTGGCTGAGGGCCTCACTTCAAAACAAAAAGTATTTAAGTGTCTATTCTTGTGACAAGTGATGATACATTATGAAAAAACCAATACAGTATGTCTTCAAAATGTGAGAAAAGGCGTTTTCAAACCTCAAAAGTTCACTAACCCTGATTAATGATAAGGCTTTACTAATGAAGCTTATCAGAAAACACATCCCAAGATGCAATATTTGTCATGCATAATATTTAAACGCAGTAAAGATTATATTAATTATTATAAGCATGTACATTTAAGACAAGAATTATTATTACTATAAAAATACTACAAAAATCGAAATAAATCATGCATTTTTGATTCAAGATAAAGTATACTTATATACTTTATCCCAATCTTTAATTTGGAGCTTAATGCTGTGTTGAATAAAGGTTTATAAAAACAATCTTTAAAATAATAGGGTGTTAAAAAATAATAAAGATAAAACCTACTCCCTACTGAACTTGTATTTGCTAAATCGTATTGTTTTTCTGTTCAACCTTCTATAAATATTTTTCTCTAAATAAACAAGTGTTGTTTAATTTTTTGATTACATTACTCAGACTAATTAATATGTTTATTGATAACTTACGCGAATTGCTGTTGCTGTGGCTGCTCTAGAGGCTGTTTGTGGATCGCGTTGCTCGACATTCTGTGGAATATTTACACACACACACACTCGATAAAGATATTTGTTTGATGTCTGCCAAGAATTGGAACAAACTGGTTTGTTTGAAATTTGAAAATATCAATAAATAGGAACTACTGTTGTTAAGTTACCCCAATTAAACAATAAATTATGTGTACATTAACAGGCTGATAGGGCTGAATAAATAATGTACTTATTATAACGTTAGTGATAAGCGCGGGACGAGGCGCGGGCCAAAGTTTATTGACATGCCCAGTCTCGGGCCCCACGGAGATTAGCAGCATATCAATGGGGTGCCATTAGCCTGCATTCGTGAACAAATATTAAACAAATGCTTCGTTAGCACAATTACACTTGAGTGCTAAAAACGAAACAGTTGGACACATTTTCAGAGTGTTTTAAGGTAGTATTACACCCAATTTTATTTAAATCATGTACATAGAACTTGAGTTATTAGTTAACTCTATCATTCTAAGGTATTTTGATCTGAGAAACTGCAGATATTATATCCACATTCTACTATGCATAATCAGATATCAAATCCATTATTTAATCTTGAAGAACAAGTGTAGTGCTACCTTAAAGCAGCTCAACTGGCAAGGCCGAATAACGGGTTTTTCGAGCATTGCGCCAGCAGATAAGAGCGACTTTATTCTTTATCTTTCCACTTTTTTCGGGTCTAATTTAATCGAAAGATATCAGCTTGATGAAGGAAGTTGGCCTCACACAAGTTATAAACTTTCAGGGCGATAAAAGGAGTATATAGCTAAACCTTTTAAGATTGCGGCTTCAAAGGTAAAGACGTCGCGGTGTTGTTGCCGTGTCGAATCAAGTTATTGATTATTGCCCGAAACGGCGAATTCGGGTCGAGGGGCTCGACAGCGACAGTTTATTGCAAGTTTTTTTTTATTTACAGTACAGCCGCGTGTTACCTTTCGGACAGGTGATACACCGCTTCGATTTGTGATAACTGTTATTGGGGACACTCTCGGCTTGGGGGCACTGGAGCAGCAGCAACAGCAACCACTTGTGCGAAACTTTACGTAATTTGTCGTGTTTATCACAATTCTCGAGCACCTTTATTAAATTGAATTGATTGCCGCACTCTCTGATACGCACACGTTTGCATGTGTGTCTCTCTCGGGCCATTTTAATGTTTAAATAAATTCCTTCTTCACGCCCCCTCGCGAATCATCGTCCCACTCGACACACACGCGTTCCAACTCACATTTCAAGAATTGATTATTTGATGCGCCGCTCGATAATTGACTTGTTTGCTTTAAACTTAATAGTTGCTGCCGGGAAACAACTAATATTCGTTGGCGTTAGACTAAATTAAACTTATTTATTGATATTCTCTTCGCGCTCGTTCGTCGCTCTACGGAGTGACCGTGGCGGTTGAAAATACCTGAAATCAAAATGCTACCGAGCGCTGGTCACACTAAAATAATAAGCGCTTGTTTTATTTTTAAATCCTTATTTTCATATTTCTTTTAGTTTCAATTTCTTAAATTAGTTTTTGAACAACAGAACTCTATTAAAAATCCAGTTGTTTTCAAATTTCTGTCAGAGGCTCAAAAAAAATAAAACAAATCTTCGATTAATTTTGAAATCCCGATAGGTCGACGTCGGCGTTTTGCAACACTTGCGCCGCGGAAGCACAACAAAAGAATTTTGCAACACCAGAACTTTTCTGCTCTATAATTACATTCCTCAACTAAAAATAAAGTTGTAAACAGCGATATACTAACTAAAAATAGTGCAAACATGAGCTCGGCTCGTTTTGCGCGTTCCGGACGCGTCCGGATCTGCATTCTGATGAGCATGTTCATCGTGCTCATCATGATGATAGTCATCTACCAAATGTCCCAGCACCAATTGGACGAGAGCCGCGCCTTCCAGGAAGGTCTGAACGTCCAAATGCAATGTGAGTCCATTTCTGTTTTTAGACAAGTCCAAAAGCTTACTTTCGGCGGTATTTTGCAGCTCTCACCGCCGATAAGGTGACTGCGGAGAAGCGGATGAGTTTGTTGCGCACCGAGAAGATGAGTCTGCAGGAGAAGTACGAGGGCCAGCTGGCGGAGGCTGTTCAGAAGCAGCAGGAGATAGAGCGCGCCCTGCAGGAGAAGTTTGACGCACAACTTGAGAAGTACAAGCTGCTGGAGGGCAAGTACTCGGACCTAGAGGCGGAGTGTCTTAAGAGCAAGAAGAAACACATCGAGGACACCAACGCCTTTGATCAGAAGCTGCAAAAGCTGCTGGCCGATGTGCACAAAGACAAGGCCAGCAAGGAACAGGAAGTGTCGGCCTGGAAGGTAAGCTTTGTGAGTGTTTATTGCCTAAAGTTAAAACTTAATAATGCTTAATTTAGGATAAGCTGGAAAAGCTACATCGAGACTCAGAGCACAAGATACACGCCCTGGAGGCCACCATCTCAGAGTTCAAGGCGAACTGCCAGTATGTGCCCAAGGTGCAGCCAGCAGAGGCTCCGGCCCACGGCCACCAGCAGCAGCTTAACAAGCCGGGAGACCTCACACCCACAACAAGAAACTCCAGTCCAGCCCAACTGGCTCATAGCATCGAGAAGCCTCGCAACGAGAAGTCCTTCGATGCCCAAGTGCAAGTGAGTGACGGCGTCTACAGGATCGGCGGCGGGGTAAATCTAACAACTAACCCAAAACAAAACCAAACTTACTCAACTACTAACACTACGATTAAGAGCAATGGTGGCGGGGCCAAGGATAAGGCGCAACGGCCGGAGCAAGAGCCACTGCTCACCTTTGCCGTTCGCAACAACCACAGCTTGATAATAAACTCTGTTGAAAACTTTCAGATTGTGCCTGAGAAGCAGCAGCAGGAGGAACCGCAGCTTTCCGGCGGTCCAATTTCCCCTCTGAGCGCTCCCCGCAAGAGCAGCACTCAGTCGTCGGCCGGCGAACTGGCCGTCAAAAGCGCTGGCGAGGCTCCGAATGCCTCCGTGGCCCCCAAGGTGAGCAGCAGCGGCTTGCCGCCGCTTGCCAAGCCTCCGGCTAAGGCGGAGCGCAAACTGCCTGAAAACGTAGCCCCCATTCCCGAAAACTTCTATGAAAACAAAATGGACGGCAAGGGCGATGCCGGCGACATAGACACCGCTGCCGAGGAGCTACCAAAGAACGAGAACAATATCCGCTATGCAAATGCTGTAAATGATCTAGAGAACACCAAGAATCTAGGTGTTGCGCCCAAGCCTAACGAGGACTCTGGCGCCCACGAGGTCAAGGATGCCTTGAACGAGCCCAGCTTCAATTTACCAGCAGCCGGAGGTCAAAACTTCTTTGATGGGGATTTGCCAGCACCGGGTCCCGGACCCGTGCCCGATGAGCCGGCTAAACAGATGGCTGAGGCAGTTGGCGCTGTCGGCGGTGGCGAGGGCGACGACGATGATGATGTCGGCGATGTGGCCGTGAAGCAGCCGCAACATCTGCTCGACACTGACAATCTGAACAACGAGATCGTAGCTGATCAAGGTAAGGAGTTTGCCGAGGGAGGCATCCATCTAGAAGATGGCCTTGATGAGGATCAAGATGGTGAGTTACTGAAAGTAATTTAAAGACTTGAATTTAACCTTCGGATGAACTTGCAGAGGATGACTACTCCAATGTAGCGGCGCGCAAGAAGGGAGGCGAGGCGATTAGACATTAGGAGAAATTCGTTTAACATCTACCGGCAAGTGTGCAAAAGAATAGAAACCCAACTCCTCCCCTTTAGGCTAAAAACGTGCTCGCGCAAGCATAGAATTCATGGATCTGAATACAAAACTTAATTGAATATGTACTATAATGGGAGAATATACAACCAGGTCTATATGGGTGTGAGCACGCCCTAATTAGTTAATAAGTAAAGTTCAAGCTCATGACCGGCACTATGATTTACGATCATTTTTAAGACGCAATTCTAAATTCGAACGGAGGCCGAGAGGCGGTTCATAGAATGAACAAAAATCCACATAATACTAAGGCTTTTCTGTTTCAGATCCTTGCTAAGTTTATACATTTATCTTGTACTGATTCCTCATCACAAATTTTGCGCATCTCAAGGAACAACCTTGCGGTTGCTGTTTCCTCCATCCCCGTACAATCCTTGTTTGTACTTGGTTTTCTGTGATAAAAATAACTCGCTGCAGTGCATTTTGGGCAATGTTGCCTGTGTTTTTGTCGCCGCTTTCGAATGCCAACTCAACTCGTCTCATTTCACTAGTTTAGGTAGCCATGTAAGCCAGGAGATTGTACACACTCGCCTAGCATTCTAAAACACACGCAGAACTTTATTGGTATTGATAATAATAATAATAAACTAAATACATAAACGTTAATTTCTCGTTGCAATTAATTGAAAATTTCAAGATGCCATTATCAAATTAAGCGGCGCGAACTAAAACTACAAACTCGGAACTAAAAAGGAAATAACTGAAGGTAACGCTAAACGATAATGTATCGACAGTCCCATCCCATCACTGTGTGTGTGCCAGAATCCACGGGTGCACTATCACCTGGTCGAGCGGCAAACGGTGCTGCGGATTTAGGACAAGCAGCTTAGAAATCAGGTGAGCGGCCGCCTTGGAGATGTGCTCGGGCAGCTTGTAGTCCACCTTGAGGATCTTCTTGTAAGTCTCGTCGTAGTTCTTTGAGTAGAAGGGGGCGTGGCCTACCAACAGCTCAAAGCAGAGCACGCCCAAACTCCAGAGGTCAACATTTTTGGTGTGGGGCTTGCCCTGGACCATTTCAGGCGGCAGATAATCCACGGTGCCGCACAGCGTCATCCGCATTGAGTTGGGCTCGTGAACGGACCAACCGAAGTCTGCGATCTTCAAGACGCCTTTGTGGCCCAGCAACAAGTTCTCCGGCTTGATGTCGCGATGGATAATATCCCGCTCATGCAGGTAAAGCAGCGCCGAGCACAACGCCTGAATGTATATGGCCGATTGGCGTTCATCGAACCGCTTCAACGGTTGAGCTTGCAGAGCATTAAACAAAGTTCCCTGTGGCGCGTACTCCAGGATCAAGTAGATACGCACATCGTCGTGGAAGTAGGCGTACAGGCGCAGGATATGTGGGTGCCGCAGATGCGACTGGATCTCGATCTCGCGACGCACCTGATGCTCCACATTGGACTCACCGATCTGGCGCTTGAAAAGTACTTTTAGTGCCACCACGAATTGGGACTCCTTCTCACGTGCCAGATACACATTCCCGAACTTTCCGCGTCCCAATTGGCGGCCAATATCAAAGTTGTTCAGCTCCCACGTCTTCTTGGGCTTCTGAGCCTGGGTTTCTGCAGAAGATTTCGATTACACTTGGTGAAAACCTATGGAAACAAGACCTGTACCCACCAGTCTTTCCTTTCTCTTTGTTAGCACTGCTCGAGTTGCTGGAAGCAGTGGCGACTCCTGTGCCAGCACTCGGTTTCTGGACTGAGGCAGCATCAGCCTTCTTAATGGGTCCCACCGGAGCGGGAGCCACAAACTCTGAAGCTGCTTTCTGCAATGGAGCCGCAGTAGGCACCAGTGGTTTCTGAAGTTTTGATGCAGCAGTTAAGCCTGCCGAATGGGAGGATCCAAGCGCTGTTTTAGTAGGAAGACGCATGCCACCAGCTGTCGTCGTCGCAGTTCGGATTCCAGGGCCATGAGGCCCTATCATTGACTTGCTGTCTGGTGCTGAATTTTCGCTGGTAGGCTGGATTCCAACATTTTAGAAGGATCCTTACACTTTTGTCTTAAACTCACCTTCTTTGGAAGAACCAATGTCTTTTTCTGCATGTTCAGGAGGGCGCTCGCCGCTTCCGACTTCTGGGCCAGGGCATTTTCTTTAGGGCGCAACACAGTGCTGGGCTGCTGGGACATGGCGACACGCACAATAAACAGCAAATGAAACACAATTTGGTAAAATAACAAGTTTAAAATGTTTTAATGTGTGTAAAACATTCACGATTTTCGGTCAATCATGAAAAAATAAAATGCCGTTCGTTTGAATTGTGAAGCGGGTGTTGGCGTGGCAAGCTGAATGTCAGTTTGTAGTACGATCATTTGGCAAAGATACCTGTGACCGATTGTCGACGATCGATATTTAGAGTGAAAATACTAAATACTAAGTAGTCCCATACACACTCGGGCTGAAAATCCATTAGTATTTTGGTCTATCGATTACAATATTTGATCGTCGATTTTTAACAGAAGTTAGTATTTTTAATCGACTCATAAGCGGTCACACTGCAAGTCAGCTGTTGAGAAAAACCCAACTCTTGTATTGTTTTTATTTATAAACTCCCAGAAATGCGAAACCATGGAATCCACCGGCATAAATCTAAATATTAACACCTGTCGCGTCTGCCTGGAGATGGACGAGGCCAACACAAGTCTGTGCCTGTACGACGAAATCGAGTACAACGAACTGAACCTGGAGCTGTGGCAGCTTTTGCAGTTTGTTTCCAAAGTGACGATGACAGGGGATCCTAATTTTCCGTCTCAGATCTGTCAGACCTGCGCCCAACGGCTAATCAGCGCCTATGAGTTCATCCTTGAAGTGGAAAACGCCGAGAAGAAACTGCAAAGCCTGTGCCTGCAACAGGCGGAATTAGCTGAGACCAAGCCGGACGTGGGCGATGTGGAGGTGCTAGAGCTTATTGACCAGGAGGAGGTAATTCATATGGATAACTACTTGCCTACTGGTTACGAGGAGCAGCAGGCAACCCTTGGGGAGGTGGAGGAGGCTCCAAAATCTGATGTTGAGGATGAACAGCTATATGCCGCAGAGGATCCAGACTTTGAAAAGGAAATTAACATCAAAGAGGAAGAGGACGCCGTGGAGCCACCAAATGATCATGAGATCCCTCTTCCGCAAACTACGTCTTCACGCCTGGGTAGCCGTCTGACTCACTCGAATAATTTTACGTACAAGTGCGCCATATGTCCACGAGTCTTCGCCAAGAGCGAGTCCCTCCAACGGCACTTTGACCTGGCTCACAGAAAGACGGCGGACATGGCTGCCCAGGAGCTGGCCAACGAGAGCAGCGGGACTGGCCTGCTGACCTGCGAGCACTGTCCGCGCACATTTAAGCGCCAGGACACGCTCCGGCGGCACATGCAGGCTTTCCATCCCGACGCACCGCTGGCTGGTGGTCACGTAACGCAGGACAACTCGTCCCGCAAACGTGTTGCCAAGCGCAGAGACTGTCCCTATTGCGGCCTAAGCTTCCCTGCGTCCAGTCTCACTATCCACATCCGAAGGCACACCGGCGACAATCCATACAAATGTACACAGTGCGAGAAGGCCTACCCCCGCAGCCAGGATCTGACCCTCCACATGAGGCAGCACACGGGCGAGCGGCCCAGCCAGTGTAAAATCTGCTCCAAGAAGTTTATATCGCAAAACAAACTGGCTCGTCACATGCGTCTTCATACGGGCCAGCGGCCATATGTCTGCGACAAGTGCAACAAGGGTTTCGTGCAATCCAACGACCTCAAGATCCATTTACGACGCCACACGGGCGAGCGGCCGTACCAGTGTGGAGTGTGCGGTGATAGTTTTGTGTGCGGCTCCCTGCTGACTATCCACCGCAACCAAATGGGCCATCACGAAGTCAGGGACAAGGGCACAGACGCAGAAGACTCCGCCCCAGACGACCCATATGTAAATGCCAGGGTGAACAAGCGACGAGCAGAAGACATTGAACGGATGCGCCTGCAGAGAGCTGCCGAGGATCAATTTCAACAACCACTGGAGGTTACTCATCAGAAGAAGTCGCCACCTATTCTGTCCTACAAATGCGGTGTGTGTGAGATGAATTTCAAGAGCGGCGCCCTGCTGACCATCCATCGCAATAACATGAGCCATTACGAGCTAGGAAAGGTTAACTATGGCGATCCCTTCGGGCAGAAACAGAAAGGGCTTAAGTATTAATTGACATGAACATGATTAGGACCTAGAACATTGCATTTAGTTTTAAGTGAAAAGTTAATAATTTGTTTGTACCATTATCTAGCCTATTCTCCCTTTTTCCTTAAAATTTGCAAACATTTTTAAAGTTATGAATTAAGAACTTGCCTCAATGTTTTAGCAAATATATATAGTGTATATACTTTTATATTAAACAATGAAAAACTAATGAATTTATTTCTTCTTGATGTAAATATAAAAAAAACTGAACCTATATTCCATATTAATTGTTTTATTATTTAAAAGCTTGGTTTAAAACTTTTCTTTCTGAAAGCATCTTAAACAGAAGAAAAAGAGAGAATAATATATATATGTATAATTTAACAATTAGCTGTTGTCATTATCTTAGTGGCGCTTGCGCGAATGCGACGCGGAAGAAGAGGAGGTGTACGCGTTGGAGCTGGATTTGTGAGTGCTGCGCGATTTGGATCGTGATCTCGTGCGGTGACGCTTGCGACCGCTGGTGCTGCTACCGTGATCATGACCCCGGCTACTGCTCTGTCGTGAGGAGCGGTGGTAGGTGCCACTGGCGCCATCATCCTCTGCGGAGTGGCTTGAGCCGCGATGTCGCCGCTGTCCCTGTCGGTGACTACTACTGCTGCCTCCGCTATAGTGACGGCGGTCGTGACGTCTATCCCGATCTCGGTCCCGTTCTCGCTCCCTTTCCCTGTGGCGTTCCCGACGGTTGTATTTGCTGCGACTACTGCTGCCATGGCTGCGGTGCCCATGGCGAGAGCTGCGCTTGCTCCGATTGCTGGAGGTTTTCGAGCCGCTGTCGCTGCTGGAGCTGCTGCTGTCATCGCTGTCGCTGCTGGAACTGCTGCTCTCTCCGCTGCTGCTGGAGGAGGACGATGTGGACGAATGGCGTCGCTTGCTTTTAGACTTGCGCGACGATTTGCTGACCTTATTCAGCGCCTTATCCGCCGCACTCAGCATGGTTGCCACCGATTCCGGCATCTGCAGTAGATTGGTGGCCGGATTCGGCACAGGCTTCAACTTGGGCGGCCCAGAACTAGAGCTCACACTAGGCAGCGGAGCAACAGCGGCGGCAGCCACCACCTGTTGAACATAGCTCTGGGACTGCTGTTTGCCGTCCTTGTTATCGCTAAAGCGAGTGGTACGCTCCTTACGACTGGGACGTTTGCCTGCTTAAGATCGAGACAATTAGTGAAGCTGCCATGAGAGAGACAGATTATAGGAATTCCACAAACCATTGTATTGCTGCAGCTTCTCGTGGGTTGGGCGGCTAGCCGTCTCACCGAGTGAATCGGAATTGGGCAGCGGACGACGCTGCTCACTGGCAGTATCGGAGCGCTCGAGCTCGCGCTTTCGATGCCGCTGCAGGGTCTGTTCATCGCGTTGCTCCTGCTTGGCCACTCGATCCTCGATGTCGTCAATGACTCTTTCAAAGGATCGTTTGCTGCGCCTTATGCGAGCCTAAAAAAGAGAATAGGAGATCGTAAGAGGGTCGTAATGTATTTCGATGGTCAACGAACCTTCAACTCTTCCGCGCTTAGGTGTACGCTCTTATCGACATCCTTGCCAGCATCGGCCTGGCGCTCTCCATCCTCCTCGTCCTCATCCTCTTCGCTTTCGCTGGAAGAATCGCCATAGGCAGCTAAACCTATAATTCAAATCAGTGAAGTGCTAATTGTGGCTAACCAGACATCGATGTATGCAGAGATTGGGCGCAGTTTTAGTTATATTTTTCATCGATTTTAGTAGAGGTCGTTACAGAAACAGGGAAGGAAAAGAGGCAAAGCCTTTGGCAATTCGCATGAGAGAAGAAACTAAACCAAAAGGGCTTGATTGTTTACTTTGGATCAAAGTTATTCGAAGCTAGGAAGGGGCTTGTAATCCAATTCGTTGTCATTAGAGAGGGGTAAGGATTCAAAGAGACAGAGACGGAGGGGGATAAATGGGAGTTCAAGCATAACTCAGACTACCTCTAAACAAAAAAAAAAAACATAAAAAGGGTGCAAGGGAAACTTACAAACTATGGATTTTGATTACTTACCCAAGTTGCCGGTTATGGAGGACAAGGCGCTTTTGCGAATCACTTGGGCTGATGACGCTTTTGATTCACACATAGTACATACATATATATATAGGTATATATTATATATTACGATAATAAGATTCAGCAAGTGATTTTATATTGTTTTGTGTTCATAATTAGGATTCAGAATTAGCAGAGACAAAGGATTATTAATAAAGGTGATAACGCGCGCTCGCCGATATTGGTATTCGTATTCGTAATATCTGGGTCATCCAATCTTGGATTAATGGCTATTTTCTATATATCAGCTACTTACACACACACACATTAACAACACGCGCGAGCGCTGGAAGAGATCGGTATTGGGTGAACTTAAGTTTATTGCAAATAATGTACCTTTGGCGCGGTGCGCTTTCAGAGTCTCGCCAGCAATGGCCGCAATCTCTTCATTTGTGGTTTCCAGCAGGATTTCGGTTAGTGTGCGACGCACCACAAGCATCTACAGATGGGTATTGGGTATTCATAGATTGATTTCGAACTTAACAAAAAGGGGGTCTTGGGTTTGGATGTGTCGCCGGCTGGCCAGGGAATGAAAATCCAGAGCAGAGTTAATTCGTTTGTGGACTCAACTCGATTTCATCGCCTAGCTGAGGGCATGACACATCCGGGTCAAATGGTGATTGATGCCTACCAGATCCGCCAGTCTTTCTTCGTAGTTTTTACCATTGACATCGCCGTCACCTTTAGCCGCTGCTGTTGCTGCCTTCTCCCCTGCCGTTCGGCTTCCGGATTCATTCTGCTCCTCCTCGTCGCTGCTGCTGCTGCTGCCATTGGCGGCCTTACTTAATAATTCATTACCTATTTGCTGCTCCTTCAGTTCTCCGCCAAGTTCCACCCCAGCAGGCAAGCCAATAGAATCTTCGCTGTCGCTGGCCTGAATTTCAAGGGCATGTTTAATCGAAAGTCTCTAGTACTGCCTTTCGCTACTCTGCGGTCTGTCACGGTTTCAGTTTGGGTTTATGTTCGCTTATTAAGTTTCTGTTTAGTTCAGTCCCGTTCTGGTGAGGAGTGAGCAACCAATTGGTGTGATATGTGTGCCTCGTTTTCGGCACTTTTCGGTCCGTATTGAGAGTCAGTTAACCCTGCAAGCCCTGACCACCATACCCATACTTACCACGTTCGAGATGTTCAATAGATTAACAGGTGTTGTTAGTGTTTTGCTTGATACTTGCTTAACGTGGACATCGATCTCAGCATCAGCCGTGTCTGATGGCACATGGGAGGAGGACTGCTGGCGCTCCAGCTGCCTCTGTTTCTCACGCTCCATTTTCTCCAAGCCCTCTCTGAAACAAGTTAGAAATTCAAGTCAATATAAGATACTTTAATATAATGTCTACCGTCCCCGTGGCCTCACCTTATCCAAGCTGGCAACATTTTTCGTTTGTTGGCATCGATCTCACCGCTGGCACCACCGGCGCTTCCGCTGTCTAGGTGCTGCTGATGCTGTAGATGTTGCAATTGCTGCTGATGTTGTTGATGCGTTGCGAGCTGGTGTGACTGCGCTGTATGTTGCGATGGCTGCATCTGCAGCTGTTGATGCGGCTCATTGGGATTGCTGACGTTGAGTTTGAGCAGCGAGGGAATATGTGCAGTGGGATTGCCTGTGTTGGGAGTTTTTCCGGGCTGCGTGTGCCAATTGCTCCATTGCTGTTTGCCCAGCGTTGCAGCTGTTTGGGAAATGTTCCGCGATCAGATCATGGTCCATACTCACACTATTATGTCCACTCACCCGCTTCGCTGGACGCCGGCACGGACAGGGCTGGCGTTTCATTGAGTGCCATCCACTGGGATTGCGTAACCATAGGGGCCGGTGGCGGCGGCGTTTCTGCGCCGTGTCCCCGCTCGTTGTCATCATCCATGTCCATGTCCGCCTCGCCTTGCTCCTCCAGGATCGGATATCCGGCCCGCGCCATATTAGGCATCGGCATGCTCATTTGTTGGTGATAATCGCGCACATTGCCAATGACGGGCGGAGGCGGGCATGTTGAAACGGGCATATTGACGCCTGCCGGACCGGCGTCCCGCATATGGATCCACTGTTGGGCGAGCTGCGCCCAATCGATACCGGCACCGCCCTGCATGGCCAGCGGCAAGCTGGTGGCCATCAGAGGGTTCACGATGCCCGGGCCGCCACCAGTGGGCAGCGAGAAATGAGGGGGTGGCGGCGGGGGCTGCGCCAGGAGCTGATTGTGGCTATGGCCGTGTCCGTGGCCATGGCCATGAGCATGCTTGTTGTAGCCCAGATCGGCGTTGCCGTTGCCGCCAGGAAACATTTCCACACTTTGCCTAATTAAAACGTTAGGTTTCCGAACGAGTTCTCAGTTTTTCAAGTTTTTCCACAATTTTCCTTCCATTTTACTTTTTTGTAATGTGACCAATCCAGGCCAAAAAATAAATTGGTGGTTTTCACTTTGGTGGTAATTTTCTGCTCAACGGCAGCTGGTCACATTTTTTTTTTGAAAACCGGTAGTACCGTTACGTTTAAATTTTGAAATACCTTATTTACTTTTACTTTTTTTTAACTATTAGAAGGATAAGTTAAGTTAAGAATAAGATAAGTAATATAAATAGCATAGTATTTATCAAATTACAATTTATAACTATCTACATAGATATGTAGACGTAATGCACAACAATTAATATAAAGGAAACAATTAAACAAATTCAATTAGTAAATCCATATCTTGTTATTTAACAGTTTTTCAGCAACATATACGTATATAGTTTTAAAAAACCTTTTATCAATAAAAGTTAAAAGGCAATTTAAACAGGTAATCTTTATATATATTTACTTCATACTCATATATAGGAAAACACTGCGGAACGAGTCAAATTAGTGGCCGCACCAGCGAGAAGTTTAATATAAATCTCTCACAGTGCTGGTGCGGCGAAGGCCAATTGAAATGTCTACGCATCCAAAGCTTTAACATACGAAATGCAACCAACAACAGCGGGTTAAATTATACACCTCTAATTGTACACACTATTGAGACAGTTAATGCAAGCTTATAATACAATCGTTCAGTGGGTAAAACTTAATTGTATCTATAGTCAAACACGGGAGTCCGTCATCGAATCCTGTACAGGTTGCTAAATGCACACATCAAGGTTGATCTCGGCCGTTGCTTTATGTCCGATATTCAGCTAAAGCCCTGTGCGTTACCAACTTAAAGTTAAGTGACTAAACAACTAAGACGTTTCGAAGGCAGTGAGCAGACGTGGGATTGCTGCATCTACATCAAAACATAAACTCCATATCAAGCGAAAGAGCCTCACAGCTTGTTGGCAGTGAAAGTCAGGGGCGGGGCGGCGGCACCACTAATGGATTTGTGATCCGCGCGCTCCTGATCCGAAAGCCAGGCCATCTGCAAAAAAAAAGGTTGTAGCTGTACATTGAGAGAGAAACGACGTTGTTGCCAACACTCACCTTCTGCTTGTGCTGCTGAGCGGCGGAGTGACACCTGTCCAGCACCATCTTCTCGGTGAGCAGACCATCCTCAGAGGCATAGACTGCCGCCTGCCATGACACGCCCAGCTTGGAGATTTCACGACCCGACATACCCTCGCACAGAGCGGCCATCTTTGAACACGTCTTTCCATAGTCAAAAGTGTCCAGTTTGAAGCGCCTAAGGAAGGGTACAAAAACGTAAATAACAATATCTTGCAAGATCATCCCATGATGTATACTCACTTTGCACCTGCTGAAGCCGGCTGCAGAACATATTTATCGAAATAGAGTCGCAGCAAGCGCTCGCGTTCTTCCAGGCCCGGCAACGTGAACTCCACCATTTCGTCCAGACGATCGTTGATGGCATAGTCGAATTGCTCGGGCGTGTTGGAAGCAAGCACTAGCATAAACTTGGGGTTCTGCTCGGAGGTACGGTACAAGAAGGCGTTAAGGGCAGCACGCAGATCCTCCGAGATCTTCTCCGAGGAGCGCTTGCGCAGGAAAGCGTCCGCCTCATCCACGAAAAGCAGCAGACCGCGCCGCGTGGTGTGCGACCAGTCAAACACCTTGTGGATGGCCGTTACTCCTTCCTTGCCCATGGGTGCCACATCGCCGCCAGTCATGATGGCAAAGTCCATGCCCGAGTGTTCAGCCAGCTTCTTGGCGAACATTGTCTTGCCCGTTCCGGGTGGGCCGTGCATCAGTACGTTCCTGTACATGCCACGGTTGATGCGCGTGTTCTTCGTGGCAATGGCAATGTCACGTAATCTCTCCTCCAGCTTGGGGTTCAGCACCACGCCCTGCAAGGCATCGGCGGGCTTGGCGCGTAACCGCTTGAAATAGTTGACCGGGTGCTTCAGGGCGTCCAGAAAGGCGAAGCGCGAGGTCTCGCCCACCAGAGTTGGCTTGCCAATGCGTGCCTCCACGTACCGGGAAACTACGCCAGTCGCTCCCTTGGCAGAGTATACACCAAGAGCGAGCAGCGAGAGACCACCGGCAGCAGTCAGCACCTTGTCCCAGTCGGTGAGCATGGCCTCGGCGCCAGCGCCAATCACTGAGCCAGCAGTTCTGGGGATCAGAGAAGGATAAATAAGTAGCTCATCGCAAATTGAAATATTAAAACCCACTTGATGCCCTCCAACACGGTGGTACGGTGCTCCTGAGCCTTGGTTCGGATCTTCTCTAGATTGATATCACGATTCTCACGATCCACTCGGGCCTTGGCACGTAGCTCGTGCTCCAGGAGCTTGAGTCGGTTCTTCTCCTTCATCTCGATCTCATGCTCGATGGTCTGACGGCGCATTGCCTCCTGACGCTGCACACTCTCCTCCTGCTTGCGCAAGTTTTCATCCTGCACGCGTTGCTGCTGCTTCAGCTGGTCCTCGTAGCGCTGGCGGGAAAGCTGGTCCTGGTATTGGGCGCGCTGCTGCTGCTGCTTCGTCTCCTCGATGAGTGTCTTTCGGCGCTCCTCGTGGTCGATGCGCTTCTGCTCGACCTTGGCCTGCTCAATATGCGCCTCGTACTCCTTGACCTTGGTGTTGTACTCGGACTGCCGGGTGGCCTCCTGCATCTTGGACAGCTCCAAGGCTTCCCGGGCGTGTTCTGCACGATATTAACATAGATTACCCCACACTCACACATTAAGTTGGACTCACACTCCCGGACACAGGCGCACGCACACGCAAAGGCATGCCGCGATAGCATGGCGCATGTCGGTTATGCAATTGGCTGACGAAATTTCCGCTTACTTGAACGCTCGAGAGTCTTGGCGGCATCCGCCGCCCGCTCCAGCGCTGAGGAGTCGAAGCGGTACGCCTCCATCGCCTTCCGCTCCGCCCGGCTCAGCTGCGAGTCTCCGGACCTCTCGCCGGCCGTCCTGCCTTCCGGATCAGCCCCTCCACCGTCCATACCAGCCGCCGGCTCCTGCTGCGGTTGCTGACGATTTCTGCCCAATAACCACGACATGTTTGTTTCTGCTCACTAGCTTCTCAACACGGCACTGATTTCAAGTACGCTTCTTGCGTGTTTCAATTAAAGGACAATTTTGTTTAGCAAACTAAAAATATTACGAAATTTGATTAGCTTTTGCTTTTCCATTCAGAGAACGTGATTCTAGAAGAGTGGGGCCAGGTCCAGAAATTATTTGCCAGCTGGTTGGGTAAAAAATACTGAAGCATGGCGCGAAATTATAAGCAAAAGGGTAATACTTTTCGCACGCAACAGTTGGCCGGCAACTTTTCTCAAAACAAGAACAATAAAACAAATAGTCAACAGTTTGAAACTATCTACATATATATATTCTTTATTCACACTCAAATTTCCATATGCACTAATATAACAAGTTTAACAGACGCAGCACGATATTTAAACATTCAGATTTGACATCAAAGCTTTATGACATCCTAATGTGACCAGACGGTCTCGGATACTGAAAGCCAAAGAAACAATGCTGCCAGTTCCACGTCACATGTTCATCGATGTATCGATAATATCGATATAAATTTCTTACCGGCCGGAACAGCTGATCGCTTTGAAAACTACTCCATGAAGTTGTTATTTTAATTTATTTCATTTTAATTAATTTATAATTAAAACCCGGTAATATTATACAACAGTTTACGATAATAAACTCGGTATCGGTGTGAGAAAACGCGTCGCGAGTGTTGTTTGTAGGAAAGTTTTCTCATGGCAGGACTTACAGTATCCGCCGGTCGGAGCGCCATGTTCGAACGCAACCAAAAGACCATCTTCGTGTTGGACCACACGCGCTACTTCAGTATCGCCAGCGAGGAATACATCTCCATGGACTTCCTTAAGGGAAAGCCGACGGATGCCGGCGGATCGGGAGTGGCGGGCGGAACGGGAGGCACTGGAGCTCAGTTTAGCAAGAGCCTGTGGACATGTGCCTGCGAGTCATCCATCGAGTATTGCCGGGTGGTCTGGGACCTTTTTCCTGGCAGGAAGCACGTGCGCTTCATCGTCTCGGACACGGCAGCGCACATCGTGAACACCTGGAGCCCCAGCACTCAAAACATGTCGCACGTGATGAACGCCATGGTGATGGTGGGCGTGCCGTCGCGCAGTATGCCTCAGTCATCCGACTACTCGGTCATACACGGCCTGCGAGCCGCCATCGAGGCGCTGGCAGAGCCCACGGACGAGCAGATGGCTGCCCTGGCTGGCGGCCGACCTGAGGACCTGCCACGCATACCCAACGAGGGACGCGTCATCTGTATTACGTCGGCACGTGACAATACGAGCATGAAGAGCCTGGAGGACATTTTCAACACGGTGCTGTTGCAACAGAACGCTCTGGCGGCGGCGCCTTCCAAGAAGGGTCTGGCCATTGACCACTGCCATCTGGTCATCCTTAACATTGTGCCGCTGGGCGTCGAGTCGCTGGTGACTAACCGCAGCCTGCTCAAGATCTCGCCGCTGCTGGATGTGGAAATACACACGGTCAGTGCACCGAATATTTCCTACAAGCTGACGCACCTTATTCTAGACCACTACGACTTGGCGAGCACAACGGTGACCAACATACCGATGAAGGAGGAACAGAATGCCAACTCCAGTGCCAACTATGACGTGGAAATTCTGCACAGCCGGCAAGCCCATTCGGTAACCTGTGGCTCCGACTTCAGCCTGCCAACGAGCATTAAACAGGGCGCCACCTACGAGACGGTGACTCTCAAGTGGTGCACTCCGCGTGGTTGTGGCTCTGCCGATCTGCAGCCGTGCCTGGGCCAGTTTCTGGTGACGCCCGTGGACGTGACATCGCGTCCCAGCTCCTGTTTGATCAATTTCCTGCTCAACGGACGATCCGTGCTGTTGGAAATGCCGCGCAAAACTGGCTCCAAGACCACCAGTCACATGCTCTCCGCCCGTGGCGGTGAAATCTTTGTCCATTCGTTGTGCATCACACGCTCCTGCATGGATGAGGCACCGGCGATATGTGACGGGCCCGGTGGACGGGTGCCTGACTATCGCATTGCAGAGCTTGGCCAGCTGCTCAAGATGTCGCGCATGCTGCCACTGAAGGCGAAAGATCCGGGCGCTCCCAACTTGTCGCGCCGTCTGCCCCGCTACTTCCCGCTTAGTACTAGCTCAACGATTCTGTTTCACCTGCAGCGACAGATAAGCTGGTTGCCGCACTTCCTGCACCTGGTTGTCAAGGAGGACATGGACAAACAGGAGGAGGTTCGCTGCCAGCAGCATATCCACGAGCTCTATAAGAGTGCCTCGCGTGGCGACGTCCTGCCCTTCACACACACCAATGGCGCCAGGTAAGGGAAAGAATGTTTTGTTCTCTGTTTAATGGAAATAATTCTATGACATATACTTTGTAGATTGAAGGTATCCAAGGCCAAGGAACAGTATCGCTTGTTGTACAGGGAACTGGAGCAACTCATTCAGCTGAACGCCACAACAGTGCACCACAAGAACCTACTGGAGAGTCTGCAGAGCCTGCGTGCTGCCTATGGCGATGGGCCGCTTAAATCGGATTCGGGTTCCAGCCTTCTACGCTCCTACACGGAATCACCGCTCTCGCCTGAGCGGTTGGAGCCCATCAGTAGCGGCAGTACCAGTGGCAGCTCCAACTCCAATAGCCTGCTCAAGGCCAGCAAGAGACGCATGTCCAGCAGTGGACAAAGGTGAGTCGTGGGACGCATTCTTTCTATCCTGAATCATTTAAAGCTCTATATCTATTGTATTCGTCAGATCCCTGCTGGACATCATCTCCTCAGCGGAGCGGAGTCAATCCAACAAACGCTTGGACTTCTCAGGTCGTCTGTGCACGCCTATGGGCCAAGTGGCCAAATTATATCCGGACTTTGGCAACAACAAGGAAAAGGACTCTTTAACGACGGCGGGCAATGCAGGGCCAAATGTTAAAGAGGACTCTATACGGATTTAAGTTGAATTCGGAAAGAAAGAAGAGTTCAATTCTTGATGTTTTGTGTTGGACTCAAGTATTTTTCTGTGAGTTTTTAAGTTTGGACCATTATCCAATTGATTTAATCCCAACAAATGGACTTAAAAGCTAAGATAAGTTATATTTTTTAATTGCTATTGCTTATTATTCCTTATTGTGAACTGCCTCAAGCTGAATTCGCTTTTGATTCAAACTGCATGTTTTAAACTAAGCTAGTTTTTTACTTTTGTCTACCATTTAGTGATTATTTTGAATTATTTCTGGCCTTTTGCTATTTTTAACTATTAATTGTATCATAGTTAAGAGAAAGATGTGAATTTTAGATTAATTAATTATAAATAAATAAGGCCTTTAATATCTTATATATCTCGATATAATATTCAAATGTCCCAACGATCCCTAGAAGGCTGTGCCCCAAGGTACAATTCTTTAGTTTCTTTCGAAAAGTAATGTGTACGTAAAATTTTCAAAAAACATCCAAATTTTCTAAATTTCAAAATTATTTATAAATTAAAGAAGCTGTGGAAATGGCCAATAATACAAGCGTGAGGCGACATGTAGTTCAAGTGTCCGAGATCCCAGTGGGCCCAGCTGTGCAAAGTGAGCTCGAGCCTCCTCTTGTGACTCCTCTATATTCCCTTTTTTCTTTATAATAGCACTGTGCGTTGTGGGTAACGAGTTGTGCGCAGTCACCCAGCAGGATATACGAAAAGTAGTGGACTTCCGGATGTTTACCCTCGGTCCCTGGTTGAACCATTGTCAACGTAGTCCAGAGACTGCTTCATCAACAATTTTGCTGGATCTCTTTGCCCAGGAGCCACCGAAGAAGGTCAAGCTGGACAACAATCCGTATGTTAGGCGAGAGGTGCTAAAAGTATCCGAGATCCCGATGGCTCCCGCTGTACACAGTGAGCTGGCGTTTTCTTATATGACTTATTGTATACATTATAAATTCTTCCCTTTTCATGCAGTTCCAATTGTGGTAGGATGTGAGCAATATGTAGTGATCCAGCAGGATATACGGAAAGAGATGGACATCCGGATGTTTACCTATAGTCGCTTGGGTCCAGTTGCCTCAGCAACGGCTCCTGTAAATGTTTTCGGTGGCCCCGTTACGAACCTGCAACCTTTCTCACTCCTACCTTCGCAGATTCCTCATGTGACATTTGATCCTTGTAATATGCATATAGGAATTCTTAAAAAGACAGGAAACGATGTAGCTCTGGGAAGATCCAACAATCAAATCTGTTACAGCGCCGGCACCTCGACTGATGGGCTTATGAAGAACAACGGCTGCCAGCACTGTCCCAAATCTGAGGATCTCCATTCCAGCTGCCAAACTCAGACCAGTCTAGGTGCAGATTTGCAGAAGAATGTTGGATGCCAGACACAGCCGGCCACAGCCTGCACTGGATGCAATACCTCATCTAGCCTGGATGTGGTCTCAAAGGAGGAGATGGAGGTGGAAGAGGAGGATGAGAGTTGCGACCCATGCACCGAACGGGAATTGTTTGTGCAGCAAGGACCTATTCTTCGGAATCGTAAATGTCCACAGGATGAACCCTGCACATCCCGGTTAATCAATATGGAAGATCGACGGCGATACGACTGCATAAGGGCAAGAATCTGGGCACAGAGATTGGCCGAGCGTCGAAGACAACGTCAACAGGATTGTAACACAACTCCACAACCACCTCCACCAACGGAATGGCTGTCAAGCTACGAAGATGTTAATAGGGAGTGCAGGCAATGGAATACCAGATAAATTGGTCAACTTTCGATGGAATTTTTTTATCGAATTCATACAGCTTTGTAGTCCTTCTTAATTAATTCAATAATTAAAATTGTGGCTTAACCGGATGACATTCTATAAGTTGTTTCTGAAAGACACTAGTAGGATTATATTGCTCATTTAAATTTAATATTTGTATACTTAAAAAGTAATGCTATACAAAATAGTCACCTTTATATATCTAACTAACTCACAGTCTTCCGAGCCGAAGAGTTTTTAATGAGCTGTTTTTTCTTCTTAACTGGTTTCTCCTGCTTGGCATCTTCCGCTTGCACCTTCCGCTTGTTGGGCCTCAAAGCGGACGTCACTTCTGGCTGATTAAAGTATCGCCTGGGCTGCAGGTGTTCGCGCTGTTCCCGCTTCAGCTCCTCCGGAGTGGAGATGCGCAGGTAGAAGTCCTTCAGCAGCAGTTTAAAGTCCTCCAGCAGGGTTTCCCTTAGCACTTGGACCTTCCCATTGCCGCACGGCGTGCAAGCCTGCACTTCAGTGACTTTGAATGGCTTAGGTGCAAATTCAGTGTACGGTCGCCATACAACGGCCAGCTCCTTGCCGCCATGGGGATTGTAGAAGAAAGCCGCAAAGTCGGAGTAGGCAGACTACAAAGAGAAAAACCAAATGCAAGGCTGTAGGACACAAAAGATCATAGAGACTGTCTGATTGGCTTACCCTCAGCTGGCTCACAATCTCGGCCAGTCGATTCTCTGCTCCCGCTGGGGCCAACTCGAAATTCGGCTGACCAAAGGATACAAATGGGGAGCCCAGGTCATAGCACAAGCTGTTGGCCACCAGATCCGGCTTGAGTTGTATGACCAAATCGTAGCCCTCGTTGGAGGCTCGAAACAACTGGGCGGGACGCACGAAGCGTAGATCCTTTGACATCAAACTGGTCTCAACGATTTCGAGGGCATGACGGGCTAAGCGCGTCACATGTCCCAGTACTCTCAGACTCGGGGCCTCATCCGACGTCCACAGGCGACCGACATGCTGTTGATCGTAAGCGGTGGCCACCACCAGAGGAGGATAGCTCTGACGGTCGCTACGATAGCTGTGCTCCAGATCCGCTATTTGTTGTTCTGAAAAAGACATCTAGGATTAGAGAGCTCCAAGAAGTTATCACTTCAAAGAACTACTCACCTTGCCAGCTGTTGTTAAAGTTAAGCAGGAAGAGCTCTCCGTTCCAGTCGCTATGCGCTAGCAGCTGCAGGAATCGAATGAATCCTGTTTGAGGGGCCACTATGGCCTGTGGTGCGTGTCGCGGCTGGAAGAGATGTGCCACCAAAAGCTCGGTGGCCATCGCTGGCCACAACCCGTCGTCCAACAGTTGGGTGGCTAGCCATCGCTTCGCCAGCAGCACTGTGGGTCCAAAGGCAGAGTGCGTCTGATGCAGCGAGTGCAGAGAGCCCGTTACCTTGGGCAGAATGTAATGCTGGCGCTCCAAGAGGCGACTGGCAGGATTATCAACGTACGTCGTAACGCCTTTTTCCGTTACCTCTTGCTTGAGCAGGGCCAACTCCTTGCTATGGGCCAGTTCAATCAGGAAACAGAACCCTTGCTTAAGCACCAGGAGACCTTTGGCGGTAATGGCCCATTTCAACAGGCATTGCTCCTCCAGCTTCTCGCCGATCTCAATGAGGAAGGCCGTCTTCAAGGCACGCAAGGCGGTCAGTTCGTTGGGCCACTTGCCACTCTGGCCCAGCTGGATAACCACCCGCTGCACATGCTTGGCAAGGATGCGACCATCAGCAAGGCGAGCTTGTGGCAGAACTGGCTCCGGCTCACAGTAGCGGAAGACAGGTGAGATACCCGATATGGACACTATATCCAGAGGCAAATCGTCCAGGCCATGAAGTTGGCGGGCCAACTCATCGTAGCAGCGTATAACGTGCGGACTAACTGCCTCCGCGTCCGTGTCCTGAGCCAAGGGCAGCTTGGTCTTGAGCTTTTTGATCTTATACCAAGGGGACAGCTGGTAGACCTGATCCAACTCGGCGGCAATATACTGCACATCCTTGCTCTCCAGCTGCAGATGATGCTCCAGCAGATGCAGCACTATCTGGCGTACAATCAGCCGCTTCTTGGCCGGCGAATCCTGTGCAGTGCCCCAGACAACGGCCTCAGTAATGCTGCCATCTTGAAAGCGTCGCAGATTTGATTTATCGCCCCAAAACCGTCGAAACTCGGCAGCTCCCTCGGGATCCTCGTTGGCAGCCGGTCCCTTGTTCAAAACCTCGTAAGCGTGCTCCGGATTAAGTATTAATCCGAGTTGAATGTACTTCCCAATTACGGGAGCTTTGTCGTCCAGAGACCAAGACTTTGTTGGTGTTTCCAAAGGCAGAATGGCCTGGACACGCTCACCCAGTCCCTTTTGCAGAAGCCTGAAAGTAAGGATCGTTAATGGGTGATATTTCTTTCGAATTTGTGCAGTTTCTCACTGTGTCAGCAGTTGGAAGAGCTGGGGATGTCCATATTTGGCATAATCGTACTTGAATCGAGGCTGGGAGTGCAGCATGAGCATCTGATTAATACACGAATAGTTGGTGATCCTATTTAAGCCAAGAATTAAGGATTAACATCTCGTATTATCATTTCTTGATTAGTTACTTACTTGAGGATATTGTCCACTCGGCTGTACAGTGGACACTTCTGCATGAAGATGTGCGGGAAACTGTTGATCTTCATATCGTTCAGCAGATCCACCGCTAGCTTGGCCTCCTCCCGGACTCTCTGGTAAAGCGAGAGCGGTAAGTTGGAGCATAGATTGTACTGGCCAGTGACGTCCATGAAACAGACATCATAGAAGCTAGCTGACTTCTTGCCAGCATCCTCCTTTTGAACGGAAGCTGGCGCCAGACTAATGCCGCCGCTGGTCCAGTCCGTGTTGGCTAGCTGGTTCCATACGGTGCGCGCCACCTGGTAACTGCTGCTCGACTGATGCAGGATCCGCTGCTGACTGAGGTAGACAATAAAGGCGGCCAGGATGTGGGAGCCAAAGCCGCTGTAACCAATGTCTAGCTCCCGTTGTCGCAGCCAGACTTTGAGCAGGAGGAGGCCGTCCTGGAAGTTACGTCTGCCCTTAAAGGTCTTATCAAGGTGAGCCTGGTTCTCGGCCAGTGTCAAGTCAAAGAGCACATTGGCATTATAGTGTTGTGTAGAGGGCAGCGGCTCCTCGCTCTCGTCCCACTCGTCGCCATAGAATGCGGGGCGAATGTTGTTGTTCCAGGGCACAAACCGGCCCGGTTTAAAGCTGCTCAGCGGAGCGGTGATGAAGAGGCGAATCTGCAGATGCTTTGTCACCTGCTTAGCCACCGGCGTTAGCTCCAGTACGGGCTTAAGCGGGTTGTTGGCATAGTAGTTAAAGGCAAATTGGTCCTGGTTATATTCTGAAGATTCCCGCATCCTTTCCGTCACATAGGTGAGGTACAGAGCTCGCTTTTGGTCGTAGCGTAGGTTCAAGTAGTCCTCCTTATGGAGGTTCTCTTTTGGCATCTCCAGGGCCACGTCCACCACAATCTTGGGGCCCAGTAGCGTGCCAGTGGAGGCGGCACCAATAAGGTAGGGTTCCCTCGTCGGTTTGGAAAAAATAAAGCCCGACGCTTTCTGGGGCAGACTCAGGGGCACCTCCAATTCCGATCGCTCCATCAGGCCGTCCTTTAGCTGGCGGGTAAAGGCCGCAAAGGACTCCAGCCAGGTCTCGATGAAGTCCGTGTACTTGGGCTTCACCTGCAGCTCCTCCAGCATCTCCTTGACTTGCAGCTTGAACAGATTCGAATGGAAGAGATTGCGGGTGTCTCGCAGCTCCTTCATCTCCTCTAACGTCGGGGGTTTCACATTCTTGGACGGATCATTCTGCTTGAACTTGTTCCTCTTCGCTGGCTTGGAGGTGTTAGTCGCTGCTGGAGTCTTTTTGGAGACCGTGGGCTCCTCGAAGCCATCGTCAGAGCTGGCAGTGGGATGCTCATGGTCGCTGTGATCCTCGCCAGCGGAATCCTGATCCAGAACTGAGTCTGTGGAATCCGATCGAACGGCTTTTGGTGTTGGCTTCGCTGTCCGCGGCTAAATCAGGGAAATATTACTTCAATACATTCCATTATTTATGTGGGCTTACTTACCGCCTTCCCTGGGTTTCTTTTAATCTTTAGCATTGTCTATTTCACCGCTAAAATATAATATTAAAATATTTATTATTTGGAAAGAGAGAGCGAAACTCGCACGTGTTGCGATTGCGGTATTTGACCTGCGGTATTTTATCGGCACTTTTCGGGTGATGGTCACCCCAATTTTAGGCAGTGTTGTTTTTTAGGCCCATATTTTGAGGTCAGTCGCGTCAACAAACTGTAAAAATCGAACGTAATTCCGATCAAGATCATGACTGAAGTTATGAAATAAGTTCATAAACTATCACTTAATATAACAAACTTGGTGGCAAAGTTGAGAGCTACGAAGATCCATTCTTCTCTCTGTGGCTTCGTGTGTAAGTGTGTGTATACTTGATCCCATTCTGTGCCATCAGGAAACTACGTGTTCGATGCTTTTAAGTATTAGTGAAGTAAACATTAAATGAAAAGCTAAAACCACCGTACAGAGTGGTTTTCGAAACACAATTTAAGTGTAGATAAACAAAGTTGCCGGCTAATTGGCCAGGCCAAACGGCGGTATTCGATCTAGTATTTTTCATACCTCAATTTTATTTATAGTTTTTCAAAACCAATAGTTTGAAGTGTTATTAATTGTTAAAACAAAAAACAAGCAATAATAAGCATAATCAGCCAAGAAATTGCAATATTGTACGTTTTTATATTTGTTATTTGTGTTGTAAGTTTATTCAGTATATTTACTGCCCGCAGTATTTCTGTTTCCCGGCTGCATGGTCATACCTTGTCTCAGTCCGTGTTTGAGTGTGTGTTGTGTGTGTGCAGGCAAAGGAAAAAATCGCACCATTTTCTCGTGCTCTTGCGTGCGTTTTTTGGTCTATTGAGGACAGTTTAATTGAAAATCGAACCCGTACAAGCCAAGCTAAATATGTAAAAAGTAGTTCTTTAAGTAGTTACCGAGGCGCCATCGTGAGAAACCGACAACCGCACACAGTGTGAGAGCAATTCAAGTTGCAAAAATTTAATTCGGTCCGAACGTGTGTAACTGTGTCTGTGCGTGCGTGCGTGTGAGTGTATGGGTGGAAAAATGAGGCGTAGTGAAAATGCGTGCAAAACTGTCTAAAAGGTAAATTGCCAAAATCGAGGCGCCGAATTAATTACGCGTGCAAATGGTTCAATTAGGGAAAAATCAAAGCCGCCGCAAAATAATGATGCGTTGGCAGAAAGGCGGCCCATTGAAAAAAATATGGCCAAAAGTCGAGTAGTTACACCCTCTCTGCCTCTGCCTCTCCTTGGCTTTCGCCCTCTCAGTTGCTCTCTGTCTCACTCTATCTCTCTCACACTCTGTCTTTGGCCGATGAGCGCTCTTTGCCTCGAACAACACAAAACGTGAAAATTTATAAAATAAAAGAAACCACGTACGGAAATATTTACTTCGACCTTGCGCCCAAGACGAAGACTTATTTCCAACATTTTCTGTGTGGTGTGTGCGAGGGCAACGCAACTAATTGGCCTAATTTTTTGGCATTCGCTTAGGTTGGCGTATTTTCTGAACCACGAAAATGTAACTTTCTTTAACCCAAGGCTAGGCTAGGAGTGTGTTAAGTGCAAAGAGTTAGGGGCTAATCCAATAAGCAATAACAAGCCAGGAAATTAAATGAAAATCAATGGGCATAAGCAAATTTAGTTAGTCTAGCGCGTCTGGTGTGACCAGGGTTCGTGCTATCTGACAAAACATACCGGAAAATACCGCAGCAGCTCACCTGCACTGCGTTAAATTTTATTTAATTCCATTTTGTATATGTGAATGTTGATATTAACGACCTTTTTCTTTTGTTTTGCTTTTGTTTTACAGGGGCCTTGTGCTTAAAGCCACCAACTGACCGGTTAAATTCGTAAATTTAACGACATCATCCATCAGAAATTGTTTACTTACTCTCTCTTGCCTAACAAGTCACGGCAGCAGCAAAGGCAAACCTGAATGAAAACAATTCGGTGTGTTTTGGGTTTGTTGTCTCACAGAACGTTGGATAAAATGTGCAAAAGTGTGTTGTTTGTCAAATTGTTTAGCCAAAATTATTTGTTTACCTAGTTGTTCAGCGTAGCTCGAGACTGTTTTCCTTGTTTCCCTCGCCTCTGAACACACACACTCTCTGCAGCTCGATCAATCGTTCAATCAATCAGCAGGAGGATCCAAGGATAAGGAAAAAGAAGGAACTAATACGAGAACGAGAACGACAACGACTGCGAGGGAGCGAGAGCAACAGGAATAATAATTCAACGACAAATAGCCCGCCTTTTGACATATGTACACATACCTACACGGCACACACACATACACGAACAGACTACCAACAAAAATAACTAAAAAATTCAAAGAGATGCTGCTCAATTTTCAAACTTAATGTCAAATAACGCAGCAGCAACAACAATAACAACAGCAACAGCTACATCTATAGCAGGAAAAGGCAAAGGAAAAGGAAAAGGATTAGCTTGGAGCTAGCGAAGAGGACGAGAGCCGTGCATACACACCTGTCAGCTCACCACAAGCTCAACATCCAACCCAGTCTAGCCATCCAGCGGAGTGGGAGTGGGTCGCCGTTTGACCGTGTGTGTTGGCCGCATGCGCGACATGCGCGGACGCTGAGTTTGTGTGTGTGAGTGCGAGTGCGAGTGCGTGCGCGAGTGCTCGTGTTCCAGAGTGCGTGCGTGGGCGTTGTGGATAATTCGCTCAATTCGCACGCATCCTCCAGATCCTGCAAAGTTGCAAGCATTTGCTGCCGGATCAAATCTATCGCCAACGCAAAAAACAACAGAAAATCAACAACAGACGCAGCAGCAGCAGCAGCAGCGGCCGCAGCAACAAGTTCCAGCCGATTAAAATTCATTATCAAAATTCCCGGAAAGGCGATTGAGCCTCTGAGTCAAAATTCAACGGAGATTAGCTAGCGAATACCTGGTGAAATGCAGCGACGCGAACGGCAAGCCAGGTGAGTTGTATGTCCTACCGAAGCACCTTAACAATTCCCATGTCGCCACAATGAATTCCCGAATCGTTTAATCAATGGGGGTTACCCCATTTCCCTATCTAGGAACCAGTCCTAGAGCTTTCTAAGATTTTAATTTAAAACTTAAAAAAATAATCCATCTTCCTTCTGAAACAGAGAAATTATTGCTTTAACCCTTGGATAGGCAACTGAAAATGTATATTCTTTAGAGCATAATTTTTAACAGAAAACGCACATCCTTTGAATGTTTTGTAGATTTTTATGAATCAAAGGCTCTGATATTATTTAAATTGTAGTTCTCCTCTCGAATCCAAGCAAAAGCCCAAAAAATGGTGCGTGTACTTGACTATTTTTTTTTACAGTTTTTGTATTGATAATACTTATAAGCACCGGAAGAGTGGGTTGTTGTTTTTACGAACTTCTATGAAACTACAAATGTATGTGCTTTAGTTTGTGTCTCAGTTATTAGTCTAAACATATAAACGGATGGATATTTTTATAGCGATAAGATTAGGACCAGGAGCAAGTGTTTTTCAGTTATTGAACTACTTATTATCGGCTCCAAATGTTTGTTGGCTAACCAATCCCTGAACTCTCATTTCGTATTAGTTTTTTTTTAATGCGAAAGTCTTATATAATTAAAGATAATGTATAACGAAATACATTATATATTATTGAAGAAATTATAACACCTGTTCAACTTTTAAATCAACAAAATACAGTGGGTACAATTTATGTTCTGACAACCACCTATTTTCTCTGTGTCTTCCTTGAAAAAATCTGTTTAATTGAATTTTATTTTGTATTAGGTTTAAATGTACATTCGGTATTGATAAAATCTAATTTGCGGGCCCACACTGTACTTGTTTAAAAGTTCAACCATCACTTGAATGTGGTTTTTATTTTGTTTCTGACTCTGTTTATTTGTTTTTTTTTGTTGCCAAAAAGATTTTATTTTTAGCCAAAGAGATTTTTCTATTTTAAGTGGGGTGTTTGATTTGATTTTATTTTCGCAACTGTTTCTTCTGCTTTTGGTTTATCGTGTCTTCTCTCTTGTGGCACGCCATGCGTATGAAGAAGAGTGCGGAGAGCACGGATGGGGTAGAAGGGGTTGAATGAAATGGGTTTCCAATCCAATACATAATACCCACAGATGTGTGTGCATATTAGATGCCCTCGGACAGTGTGTGTGTTTTGTGTAAGGAAGCGGAAATACCCATACCTAAATACAATAGTGGGCAAAAAAGTAGGAATTTATTTGGATTTTTAAGTACATTTTAAAATAACAAGAAAGGAAACTAATTTTAAAATGTAAAATACGTATGGATAAGGCCAAAAAGCCTTCAATTTTATTTGAGTTTTCCTCTATTATTTTTTTTTGCGGTTAATAAATCTGCATACTTAATTTAAAATTGAAAAAATGTAAACTTTTACACTTTTTGCCAATTTTAACCCCTTATAAAATTTTTAAAAAATTTGTAAAATTGTATTTTTCTACTGAGATGGCTAGATCGATTTGGCTTTTGATGCTGATCAAGAATATATATGAAATGACACTTTCACAACGTTACAAGTTTTTGACTAAAGCTATAATACCCTGGCAAGGGTATAAAATCCCACTGACCTTAATATTATCTTAAAACATTTTATTAGGCGGTATTATTGATTTAAAAGATTTTGTGATTAGTTTTATTAGTCATAATGGTATTCTGAAAGTCATAAAGTTCACACCTGCTATTTTTGCCTCTGGTGTAGCTGCACTCACGCACTTAATAAATGTTTTATAGACATTTTAGTTGATCGGCCTCCTTGTGTCAGGCCAACGGAAAGAAAGCGACGTTCTTGCGCCTTGGACGAGGATGTGGGTCTGAAGTTGTCGCTGTCGATGATGTTACCTTGTGCCTCCTCGCATATTGACATTTCTAGGTTCTTCCCTATGCGTGTATATATATGCGACTGTGTGTGAATGTTTTTATAGTTCTTTATACGCACGTCTGTTTGCCATTGGGTCTCCCCAATGTTTGCTGTCTGCATTTTTGGGTCTTCCAGGGATATATTTACACACACAAAACACTTGTTTGCTCTCCGTTCATCATCATTATGCGTCCCAGTTTATCGGGGAATGATTTTTCGGCGATTCATTAGTTGCCCTCAAGGGATTGAAAATAAGATACGACAATCTGGGGAACCATTCCTCAAGATTTTATTGATTCCAGGCTTTAAGTTTAAGGTACTCATATATAAAGGGGAAAAACATTTAAATAAAATTCATTGAACTTTATGAAGGTTTCCATCAAAACAAAGTGATATTTTATAGCATACTTTCAGACGCATTTCGGGATATATTTAATCGGGATTTCTGTTATTA